GGGGGGGGAAGAAAAAAAAAAAAAAAAGGTCAGTCTTCTTCACGACTCTCTGAGTCTCTGCCGCGTAATTGAAATCGCCACGCTTCGCCAAGGACTATTGGGTTCCGCAGAAGCCGTCAAAGGCAACGGTAAGGTACCCGATGACAGTGCATTCTCGGTCTTGGTAACCGATAGCGAGCACAGACAACGGGCCCTGGTACATGGCCCCATGCTGCTCCACCGTTTCTCGATGACTGAGCCGTGGGGGTAGGAAGAGACCTCCTTCGATGCTAATCTCGATGGAAACCTGGGTATTACGGAGTCTGGCTCGAGGTGTACCATGTGTGCTACTGGCTCGTAACAGGAGTTTTGCGGATACTGACGGTAAGAACTCGTTTTGTTATGATTACTGTCTTCTCTCATCAACTGACCTTCTTGACATTGTCTTTTGAACACCCGTTCTTAAGCATAATCTCGGATAGAAATACTTAGCATAAGCCCTGCATGTGCTTGAAGAATCTCTTGTAGGGTCTCTACTGTAGGTGATTCAAAATGTATCGTCAGGTCTCAACACTCGAGCCCTACACAAATTTTCAGGACTTACACGATACATTGCTCAAATCCATGTTGCGTGCGACATGCCCGCCGCAACATCGTTGGTCATCTCATGCAGGTTTCTGGAAGGTGGGAGTGCGTCGGAACCAACAAAATTTCCTGAACAAGGCGATCGGAAGCTCGCGAATGCAGGAACCTCTTCCACAGGAGCCTCACCTGATTATCCGGATTGGGTCTCCCGCTCGGGACCTTGTTGAGAGCCCGCACTAAGTACCGGCCTTGCATGGGCAGCCTGGACTGCATTGAATGCTTTAGCCTTTAGAAGCTTCACTGGTTAACTTAAAATTCCGACCTCGGCGTCCAGCCTAATTCCAGTCCCAAGTCCGAACTTGGGACTTTCATAACGCTCGAAAGATCTCGGACAACAGCCGATCGTCCGAACGGCCTCTAGAATCTCGACTGATCGCGGTCTTCACCGACTGAGTGAACAAGCCTGTTTTAATCGGACATGAGCCGGGCCTGTTAGTGGACCGTAAGTTTCTTTGCCTGTCATAGTATCCGTAAGGTACGGATATATCCGCAGAAACGACCCAGTTTCTCACACAACTGGCCGACTCTTCGCCGACCGGGACGCACCCGTCGCCTCCGCTTAACGAATGCGGCAATTCGATTGTCGATAAAGAGTTAGTCTTGCTGAAGAAGGTAGGTACATCCCGTCAGCACAGATGGTGCAGCGGTCCAGAATTCAATGCCAGAGCTGGACCTTGCCTGGCGCGCCTTCATCAAAAGGCCAAACCGCGCGCGTGGGCAAGGTGGGCTCTTGGTGTCCACAGTAATGAAACCTGCAATGGATGCCAGATATTGATCTGCAATCTAGCCCAGGGACCCGACCACTTAAAGCTCCAAATCACTCCAGTTTTTGTCATGGGCGGTTAGGGTAACTCCGGGGGAGGATTTCTTTTTAGAGTCTCCCCATCGGAGCACTACACCAGCACCATCCATAAGGTTAATTCGGCCCCGTGATTTAACTGTAACTCAATCCTTATTCTTGGTCGTAGCGATGACACTTTGCAAACGTCCTTGCGCAGGTTTCACCCGGCCCCCGCGACTCTCACTGATTGACGAAATGCACCGCTGAGAATAGAGCGGGCAGTGTCGTAGATTGAAATGGATTCTGGCAACTTCGTTCTATTCTTAGCTGATGAGTTTGGTCGCAGGCTGAAACTAAGCGAGCCACCGCCACCGATATGAGTAGGAGCGTGGTCTACTCACTTATGTTGCCTATAAACGTGAGATTTAGGGCCGTCTTCATGCTGAGCAGTTTTGTTTAATCCTAGGGTCTGTTGCAGGTCAAAGTCCCGTGTTAGCTCACGTTCTTGCGTCAAGCATTGTGCATATGGAGGCTAATGCTGGTTTGGGGGCCATTGTTACTACAGTCTGCCAGCTCATCCCCCAAAATAGCTGTTCAGTATACGAATGACTCAGTACCTGCAACTTTCATAACACTTCAAATGAGTATTCTGATACATTGATGCGTACATGTAGGTCGGACGGCGGAGCTTCTAGCATGCATGTGGGTTTGAGGCGTAGGAGCTTATGCTCGTTTCTCAGGGCTTGCAGTCCCCGTATACATTTACTAGAGTTATACCACGTTATTCTCAGTATCCCATGTTCAACAGCAAAAGGTGTTGATTTCGGAATTGGAATCTGATTCAACGTGTTAGGGTCATTGGTGAGAAGTGAGAGACGTATAGAGGGCCAGTCTTAGAGAGTAGGTGTGTGTATTAACAAACAATCGAATCTACTCTCTCTGGTCTGCGGCCTTGACCCCTTTTATTATTTTTAAAATAGGGCCCCAGCGGTGGATCCCTTGACTGGCAGGCCAGGCACCTCACACAACGTAAGACTCTGGTTTTGGGAGCTCCATCCCGACTGAACCCGTATTCAAAAAGAGATAAGCTTCGGAGTACGATACTTTTCGGTCTCAACTACGGAGGTATATCTCCCGATAATTCGCTGTCGCATTTTCGAGAGTTCAGCCGCTTGTATTACGCATCTCACTGCCTCCGTTTCGTAACCGATCGGTGTCTCCGATGCAGATACTGAAGCGGGGAGGACTAGACCTGAACCTTTGGTTCGAAGTTGACAGACTCCAAATGGCGTGGAACCATCAATGAAGTCAGCATCCTCGCTGAGAAGCACAGTTCTATCATATATCGCACAGCGGTGCCTTTCTCAGTGGAGATAAACACGAACCTTCCGATGAGATCAAAAGGAGACCACCCGGCAACTTGACCTCACAGAGACTTAACCCCCACCCAGGAAAGAATTGCAAGGTGAGATGAGTGAGTGACTCCTACGCATCATTGTGAGATTGTTCCAGTTCTCTGGAGGCCGAATTAGCACTCGCACTTCGTTGTAGACCAGCACATTGCCTGAATTTAACTAAAAATCTTGATGGACTTGACTTTGGAACCTGCATGTATAGGACCATCAATTGGGAGGTTACGCACTTAATTGACGGCTGCAACGTTAATGCATCGGATCTGGTGCTACCTTAATACGGTTGGTTCCTCAGGTGAAGATGAAGGAAGACGTATTGCGCAGACTGGAAGTCGATGGAGTTCGACAACTGGTGATCCTTCGAATGGAGCCAAGCCACTGATAGGCGAATCAAACCTTCTTCTTTCCAGGCTGCAGCTAGTAACTGCGGGGCATTGGCGGTCATTTCGTCACCACCGCTTTGACTGTGCCTGTCCGAACAAGGCCTAATTAAAACCACGCCACCTTATACAAGTAAAGCACGCTCAAATTTCAACACATCCATTCATTTGTTGCAATAGTCAATTCAAATTACTCGCTCTGCGATATTTCTGCAAAGAAGTCCATGATGGCTCTTTTAAACCTGCCCGTTGAGCTGCTACAGCGCATCATAGCTGAGACGATTCCCGACTCGATCGAGAACGTCGCAATCACATGCAGCACATTGTACCGCGCAAGTCAAATATACCTGGAACAGCACAACAAGCTCCGGCGGCGATATCGCCACTTTTCTTACTCCAAGCTCTCTAGGTTTGTCAACGTGTTATGAGAATCTTAGAAAATACATATACTGTCAATCGGGGTCGTACGCGTTGGCGTCGTGATTAGTTTGGCTGACAATAGTGTTGCCATATAGAACTAGCCCTTCTGACATACGAGCCGAGGAAGAATGGGATATTTGCACCAAAGATACGGGACTTCGCATTGTTAATGCCGTAGACTTCATTTTGGCAATCATACGCAATCCGCTGATTCCTCGGTACGTCGAAACGGCTGATCTCAAAGCCAGTTTCGGCGTGAGAAACTTCGATCCCGGGGACAATTCGCAGGGAACAGGACCATTGTTTCCCCGGGTCAGAGGAGAGGCCGACATTGAAGTCCTTCGGGAGTTTCTGCGCACATCTCCTTATTTGGAGCAGACTGGCAGCAACCCAGAGACCTGGATGGAAGGGATACAGAACGATGTGGTTGGCCATGCTGAAGTCTTCCTTCTTACCCTGTTGACCCATGTGCGGGAGCTTGCTCTGCCAGCTGCCTGGGGCGAGCTAACGTTACGTCCATTCAAGTCAGGTGAAGAGGGAGAGGAAGAAGATGAGCATCGATCTGATAGATCTGTCATTTGGCCTATGCTCGATCACATCGTGTGGCGTGCTAATGAGCCTGGCGTGAAAGATGCCGGGCTCTCTAAGCTGGATATCTTACGGCCGTTTACCGGATCAGGGTACGATTGTAGGAACGCAATGACCTTGAACACACCATTCCTGGCTATCGGGTCGCTTCGGGAAGCCTACATCGGGGGTTGCATTGCCCTGGAAGATGGCTACACTGGTATACCCTTTCACCCAGAGTACTCGACTTACAGCCCACGCCTAGAAAAGCTGGAGTTGGTGGGCTGTACATTCGAGCCATGGGAAGTGCGTGTCTTGCTCTCCCGCATGGCCAACTTGAAGTGTCTCCACTTTGCATACGAGGTGAAATGGCACGGCTGTGGCATGAGCTGCGACACGGGACACATTCTGGATACAATCATGGAATGCACCGGCGAGACATTGGAGGAGCTTTCGGCGTGGATGATGGAGCACTGGGGCTCGACAGGGCGTACTCTCACTGATATGAAGGGGTTCCGGCGCCTCAAGTCTCTTGAGATTGATAGCTTCATGTTTATGGGACCAGAGTTCCGCAAAGACGATGTAGAAGACTTCGATCTTACCGACGCGCCGAACGTTTGGCCCGTGGAGGAGATTGCTGCACCGCGTATGGTCGATATGCTTCCTCCTTCGCTTGAATCACTCAGGATTCTGGTGCAGGGTAACGATGGGGACGACCGGTCGGCTCAGATTGCAAAATGCTTGAGAGCATTGTTTGACGGGTTTCCTCAACACAGGCAGAAACTTTTACCAAAGTTACAGGAGGTTGTGGTTGAAATCGTGGGAACGAATGTAGACTTGAATCTCCAAAGGGAGATGGAAGCCCAGGGGGCCAAGATTTACGTTCGAGAGGGACTGGAAGTTCAGCCAAGCTTCCTCACCGAGTTCTACACCAGGTTCGACGTTGAAGCAGAATAATAGTAAGGACCACGATGTCCCCCAATAATTCGTGTACGTATGTGTCATTTGCATCTTTCACCACATCAATCAGGCTAAGCCATGAAGTGATGAAGCATGATCGAAACAATATACTCCAAGAAACCAATTCTTGAAAGATTGCCGGGATCTTAGGTTCTCTGCAAGCTCCATAGCTGCGGACAGGAGTGAGCCGCACCTTACAGTACCTTTGAAGAAAAGCGTCGCATGAGACGCTTGATCAGATGAACGGGCATTTGGGATGTCCCTAGATACTCGGATTTACACGAGCTGCATCCAGCCTTCGGCAGTCAAGCGATGTATGGGACTTCGTAGTTGCTGGTGTGGTTACCCGCGTTTCCGTATAGAGCTTGTATCGCGTTCAGTTAAGATACTAAGCATTTATATGCTAGATACTGCTGCGTTCATAACTGATGCGAACTGCTAACTTTGCTGAGCGACGTATGGAGGAACCAACTGGGGAGACTCGGGTCGTCCAGAGGGCTACAGATCCTATGATCAGGATACATCAATCAGAGAAATCGTGGTACTGATCGAAGGCAAACATCCAGGCACATTTCCTTCATGCTTGTGAAGCCTACCTCACAGCCGTTTCCTAGAACGCCACAGCTGAAAATTTTGTCAGCACACCGGGAGCTCCGCATCGTTCCCATCGAAGTAGGGAATACAACACGTTTCTACCTGCTACGTCATGGCGCTTAATCTCACTCAATCACACTTCCTTTAAACTTAACGTGCCCAGCTCTGGCGGCAATATATCAATTTCCATGCTAGACAGTCACTTGTCCCTGCACGGGCGAGCCTTCAAAATTCATGTCACGGATCATGACATTGGCGGCATCAGCTTGGTCTTCTCTTCGGCGGAGACCTTCACCTGGAAGAAGTACTGAAGCATGACATTGTTCATCCTGTACGGCGGCGACGAGCACGAATTTGCCGTGCCATCCTCGTCGGGGAAACAGTGCTTTGAAGGTACATGTAGCAAAGCAACGACACTACCGAGCGGAAGCTTCAGAGCTGTTCATTGATTGTTCAAAGAGAACAGGCAGGTGGTGCACTTTAGTAAGTTCGAGGTTCACCTCATATGGTGCAACGACGCCTACCGGCATTGGGTTCTTGACCTTCCCGATTTTGACGATGGACTGATCAAGCCCACTTACCTTAAGGAAAGTCGTCAATCATCGTGCGGAACGCGACTTTCACCGGTGGTTTCCTCCACTTGAAGGGAGACATTGATGTTACCACGACTCTTGAGATCCTGGGCGGGTTTCTTTTGATCAGCTCCATGAGCTTCGATCGTTTCCCCCTTTCTAACCTCCAAAGAATCAACCGTAGGCTGCGGGATGATTTGATTGAGGGGGCATTCCTTGCGCCACGCCATGGTTATCATCTCCCAGGATCAACCACGTTCAACTGGACTTAAACCCCTTGTGACGGCACCAAGAACTCCGGCGCCGCCTTCTACAAGACCAAATTTCCGTTGGATGTGCCAATCGATCGGCTATGATATTCCTTTGAATTGTGTCATTTCCAACGTGGCGTTGCCAACTATATAGCCAAGTCTCTTCTGGACGCAACTTTTCGTTCAGCTTACTCTCACGCAGTCAACTATTTCGGGGCGCAAACACGCTTTCCTGCTCCAGAGAGGATTCCTCAACTATCACGTCAACAACACCGTTGCTATTACCCTCTTGGCCTTGGTCGGCTCAGGCGCACGTCTCGACGGCCTTGAGTTGTCAGTGGACCAGATCGTTCAGTCAGGGTACCGAAAGCCTGGGCAGACGGCTCAACCGTTGGGGGTAGAAAGGATTAGGGCTTATCAAGGAAATTCTCAGTGAGAACTCTTGTGTAGTCTATTTCTTCAATTCTGTTCTGTTTATTTTTTCTGCCCTGTCTTGGCGGCTCTCGGCAAATTCTCGTCGCGAGGCCTTGCGGGTAAGCCCAGCCAGCCTCTCGGCTCCGTCGGAGACGATCAAAGTACCTAGGAAGACAAAGCATTTCATGGTAGTAGTAATTATTCAGGCAAAGATCGACGAGCTGAAAACCGTTGCATGTGGTGCTGAGGCGCAGCCGCTATTGATTGAACATATTCAAGACACCAACCGGCTTCGGAGGACAGAACGTAAAACAGGGCGAGCAAATCTGCCTTGCGCGCCATTTCAGGGCACGTAAATCAATTCACGAATGACCTTGGAACCAACCTCTCTCGGGCGGTGTGCATACCATCGGCATTAGTGACGCTAAGCCGGATTCTCTTACCGCAGCTTCGGCAACGTGTGATTGATCGCTCAACTAGTTGGATCCGGGTTTAGCGTCGCGGAATCAGTACCGCTGTCGAGGTTCACAGCCGACTTGGCAGGCAGTTCCTGAGATATCATGCGTGACCCTTGCATTTCAGTTTTTAACCATAGATAAATGCCTGTTTGCCGTTTCTTCAATGCCGTCAAGTATTTTCAAATACCGCAGTACTCAGCAACATAAAGAATCATATCATGCCGGCCATATTCGAGGATCCATGGCCTGAAGATAAGGTCAAGATATCGCTACAAACCGCCGCAGTTGTGAGTGACGTCTTAGCTGACACATCTGTATGATAGCCCAATCCTGATGAGTATACAGAATCATATCCAAATTATTGAGATCTTTCTCAAGCTCATACCGTACTTCAAACATGATGATGCGGGTGGTATTCATGATGAAGCTCTGGCGTACTCAGAGTGGCGCTACGTGAATTACATCCGCTATTTACGCATTTTCGGAGTGGCACCAAATGACTATCCACCTCCATGGTAAGTAAAAGTCGCACTCTCCCACTAGAGTCCATGAGCAAGTCTAAGGATGCGGCAGGGATGTTGCCATCATTTGGTACTGCCATCTTCTGTCACCCGGCAAATTCCACCGATATCTTTGGGACGGCCAATATCGCAGTTATGGCTTGAACCATCACCACTTCCCACTCACCCGCTTGTTACAGCTGTACAACTCTGGCATATGGTCCGATAAAAAGGCCCAGAAGAAATGGGAACTCTACAATAAGAGGAACTATAGTCCAAGACTACCATTCCAACTTTGGCGGTACCCTCCATGGCAACCCGAGCGAAAGTCTAAACTGCCTTTGCCTTTTTCAAACAAGCAGCCATGTATGCAGATGAAGGCGGACCCGGCGATCATAATGCACGACTTCGACGGCAAAGTCGCCTGGTGCACCATTATGGGAAAGAAAGAGTGGACATTGTCTGAGTGGACAGATGTCAGGATAGGAAGAAGACGAGATCTTTGCGTGAAGAATACCTTACACAGCAAGGACGGGGAAATTTGCCAGCTAGCTCCTTGGCCGACTCTTGATGACCTGCGCGATACCTTGAACAGCCAGATTGCGTTTTGGAGCACAATCATCCAGGCACGAGACAGCCAGGCCTCTTTCGCGACGACTCTCGGCAGCTCAATTGGCGATTACGAACGATTCATCAAGTTGCTCGGACGGCCTGCCGAAGGAACCTTTACTTCACGCCCACTGGAATACGACATGGACACAATCTTTCGCTTCAAGTCTGGAACCCACTTGCTGGGGAGCCGCTGCATTATACCTCCAACCCTGGTGATCGATCTTCTTTGGCACACGCATCGGCTTTACCCAGGCAGCTATTGGGTGTGGAGCTTCAGCGTCGCAAGGAGACTCATCGACTATGAGCACACCACGTCAGCAGCGGCAGCAGCCATCTTTCTCAACGACACAAGGATCGAGTGGGCGAAGAAGTATGGCGGACCTTGTCCCACGGATCTCGTCATGGATGAGCTGGGAGGAGATGGGTATGTCCCTGATGCGGCGGCTGTTCCACCTGGCCACCCTGCCAAGGTGAAAGCGAAATGGGTTCTGGGTGGTATCAATCCCATTCGGAAGAGAAAGAGGCGGACAAAGGGCGAGTATCACGTTTTTGACGGAGTATATGTATCTTTCGACAGCGGTGATTTTGGTGGCGGAGGAGATGGAGGAGGTGGCGACGGAGGATGTGGTGGCGACGGAGGTGGAGGAGGAGATGGCGGAGGAGGATAGAGGATTGAAGACAGTTTGCGTACTATGATTATATGATTATCTCAAAGTTGACTAGTAAACTACAACAAGCAAGATTTTGTTGATGGCTATGCCGCTTTTCCGACGCCATTAGCCTCAAGCCAGCGTGTGTTTGCTGAAGAATTCCATAATGTACGACGACGCATTGTACGATGCCGGACCATCTCCATGCTCCTTGTTATCAGCGTTCTCCTTAGTGTAGGGCCAACTATGATTTACATCGTGTTCATAGACGTGACTGACAAGGCCCTCCTTGTTACCTTTGCCCCACCGGTACATCTGCGCACGCGAGGTAATGTTCTTCTTGCAGGCCTTCTCGTCGAGGCCATCGCGGAGAGCCCACTCGGTCGCCCAGTGGAAAACGTCAGGTAAGCACGCGCCGCGGCGGCTGGAACTGCCTTCGTAAGGGATGGTGCCGTCGATTCCGCCGTGGAACTCAATCATGGGAATGTTGGACCGTCCCGGCGTGCAAGGGATCTTCACGGTCTTGGGATTGCAACCTTCTGCCCCCTCGATGTAGAACGAGCCGGAGACGGGCGCGAAGGCGGCAAAGCGTACTGAAAGCTCTTTATGGCATGCGGCGTAGTTGACAAAGCCACCGCCGTTGGATTTTCCCGTCATGAAGATGCGGCTCGTGTCGATGCAGTATATCTTTTGGAGGTCGTCTAGAACATTGCTGGTGTACTCGACGTCGTTTCTCTTGGTGATGTTTGGGGTGCCTTCCCACCGTTCCTGTGTTCAGCTGTCAGTAGGCCTCGTGGTGACCTCGAATCGACAATAATTACCTGGTAGCCACGGAGATACACGACGATATGGTCGGTATTGAAGTAGGGCGTTTCCAGGAGGTCGAGATCTCGCTGCGACTCTGGTGTCTCAGTTCCACCGTGGTAGGAGAATATAATCGGATTGTTGGCCTTTGTGGAATATTTCGGTGGTAGGAACAAAAGGTAGCTTCGAGAACGTCCTTCCTTGTCGGTGTAAGGAATCGTATAGTCGTTACCCGGTGATCGTCCCGTGGGCAGAGCCTTGTTGCAATGAGCAGATGCCGTCTCACTACTGACTGGCGCCCTCAAACTTGCCACTGCCGACACTGACACGCTGAATACCAGCGTCAAAAGTCGTGAGGAAACCATGATGATGTTTTCTACTGAGAGATGTAATGCTTTCGAGATAACGTAGCAAGCTCCGTGTCGTGGACGGAAACCGCGCGAGTATAAAAGTTCGGGGTCTGCCGTGAGAACCTACATGTTTTATTCATACGCACTGCAATCACGGATCACAATAGCCGGACTAGGATGAGCACTGCCCGGGACTAGTTCTCACTAAAGCCTTCCGGGTCTCACCGTGTGCCGACAAAAATTACGAGAACACGCTGATCGGCGCCGGGCGTAAGCACATTGTCCTAAAGGATGACTAGGCAACGACCGAAAGTCCCCCTTCAAAGCCCCTCTCAAACTGGGGATGATTCCTGCCTAGTGTACTTGTGTTTTGGCTTATTTACGTTGCCAGACCTCATGCCCCCCGGGAATTAGGCCGCGTAGTGCCGAAAAAGATAACCAAGAAAGCTTGTACCCTGCCTGCGCGCGCTTCGGATCTCAAATGAGGGGACGGGCTCGGGATTACGGCATGCTTCCCGCGAAGCCACATTTCTCCGGTTGACAGCCGCCACGTTTACGGATGAACCTGAGCCCTGTGGCGTATTTGTGATACCAGACACTTGTAGATACTATGCATGTTGTGCATAAAATTCCTGGACAAGCAATGTCAAACTATTCCTACATGTACTTATGCAGGTTACGTAACTGCATAGAAGGTAGGGAACGTAACTACTACATCGTTCAAATGGCATCCAAGCCATTCAATATGTTTCCTATCACAGGTATCTTTTCCGGGCAATTCGCTCACTTACCTAGTGAAAGGTCCAGTATAATTTGGAGATGATAGGATCGCTTGCTGGAGGAGTCGAAGCTGTGGGTGGCCCTGAATCGGGGCAGGTGTTTTGGCTCTTTGTCTTCAAAGCGGTGCCCTATTCGCTTGCAATCTCACGTCCATAAGCGGACGTGGTGAGAAGAAGTCGCCCAGTTATGCAATATACGCCTGTGGAAATATGAACAAATTGGCTACAGGTAGAGATTCGAACTTCTAAGTATTGATCGTGAATTCAAAATGCTTCATTATCGAAGTCGGGAACATATCGGGAACATAGGCTTAATTCGGATATTTTGGCAAAGCCCGGTGAAAATTGCCCAATTGGTCTCGTGTCATGTTAAAACTCCGCTCCGCAGTTCCAGACTAGACCTGGAAGTGCGCGGAGTTGAAGCACTAGCATGAATCTTTGACAGTTTCCTACAGCAGGTACTTACTTTATATATAGATCTTTGAAGTTGCTTAAAATTACCAAGTTACTCAAGTTAAACTTTACTCGAGCAGACGACCCAGCACTTTATTCATTCACTTCATGGCAAAGACCAAGATAACGGAAATGAAGGATAGGATGAGAGCTTGATGAACTGTCAAATACTACGTGTAATACTAGGTGGGTTCCGGTCTCAACAGAGCTTGAATTCGGATCGCATTGCTGAAGTCGAAATTCGGGGATGTTTGCGAGACCGAACGCAGGAGAACAGGCAGACGAGTTAATTGAGAAATTGTTAATTCCGAAAGGATGAGTAGAGGAAGCATAAAAGGCGAGGTGAAGTCAGCTCGAGATCTGATAGGGGATTGTGTTGTCGTATTTGTTGATGGGATATAAGTATTGGCCAATCGCACTGGTCCCTGTTTGACGACAAATCCACATCGGCTTGGCCGCTTGTCAGCCGTTTGTTTTGTGTTTCTTCCATACTTAACACAGACGGCTTGATGCGTGTCACGCTGTTCTTAAATTGGCAAAGGCAATCTCTTCAGGCCAGAACATGATGACTTTGTGGTCTCTGAAATTCGAGTGAACGAAGGAAAGAATGTGAGTGCTTTGGAAATAAAATGAAACTTGAAATTCTCCCTCACTGATAGGACTCGGTGAGAAAGAATGAGAGGGAAGAAAGCGACATGAGCGATGAGATGAGAGTGCGATGAGGATGAGTTGCATTGAAGTCTGCGCTGAGGGAGAGACGCTACAAGTCATGACTGGGAGTACCACATGTGGCCGCGGAAAGACTCCGCCAACCGGTGTTCAGCCGAATAGCCCCGCCTCTCCGCGCCGCGTCCCGCAGCCTTGCAGCTCGCAGGAAAATTTCTTGACAGAGCTTCTGCCGTTGGCCGGCGCAAACACTCCACCTGCATTGTCTGGACGATGAGAACATCCGCCACCTCAATTCGAACATGGCGACCGATGCTCCTCCTCAACCGGCCGGCGGTGCTCCCGCGAGGCAGCCTGCCGATCTCCCGACCGGCGACAAGCCGTCGGTTTCATCAGAGTCCCGCGCCGAGAGCGCAGCCCAGCCCGGTTCTGCAGAGGACAAACAACAGGGCGGTCGACGCGGCGACCGGCGCGACGACAGGCGCGGCGGAAAGTCGCGCGGACCGAAAAGGAAGCACGATGTCGGTCGCTCTGCTTGGAGGTGAGCATTGCCCAATCGTCCCCTTGCCAATTGGCCGTTGATCTGTTTGCAACTCGCGCCAACGATGTCTAACCAGGTAATAGCCGTGAGGCCACCGACAAGCGCGGACGCAATTCCGAGTACCAAGAATTCAAGCGTAGGAAGGTAGACAAGGACGGCAACCCCGAGGCCGTAGAGAACCCCTTCACCGCCGAAGAGATCGCCGCCGAGGGGCGCAAGCCGAAGCGAAAGGTCGCCGTGATGGTCGGATACTCGGGCACGGGCTACAAGGGCATGCAGATCAACAATGAGGAGAAGACAATCGAGGGAGACCTGTTCAAGGCCTTTGTTGCCGCAGGTGCCATCTCCAAGGCCAACGCCGACGACCACAAGAAGTCGAGTCTGGTCCGATGCGCGAGAACTGACAAGGGCGTCCACGCGGCTGGCAATGTCATCAGCTTGAAGCTCATCATCGAAGACGAGGCCATTGTCGAGAAGATCAATGCCGCTCTACCCGACCAGATCCGCGTTTGGGGTATTCAGCGCACCAATAACTCCTTCAGCTGCTACCAGACCTGCGACTCAAGATGGTACGAGTACCTCCTACCGACGTACTGCCTACTCCCCCCTCACCCCGACAGCTGGCTGTGGAAACAGTTGGTCGAGGCCGCGAAGGAAAAGGGCTACTATGAAGAGTTTCAAAAGAAGCTTGCCGATGTTGAGGGCTACTGGAGGAAAGTCGACGAGGAGGACATCAAGCCGATCCTCGACAAGCTCGATCCCGAGACTAAGGCCAAGGTGATGGAGAGAATACACGCCGACGAGGATGCGACCGCACAGGCGGATGATGCCAAGCCGGCCCCTGAGACCAAGACTGAGGAGACACCGGTTGAACCCGCGACCGAGGAGAACAAGACTCCCGCAGAGGTGCCTGAGGGAAGCGTCAAACCCAAAAACCGCGACCTCACCCCCCTCGACTTCGCCCTGCGCGATATCAAGGCCGCCTACATCGCCGCCAAGAGGCGGTACCGTGTAACCCCCGAGCGCCTCACCCAGCTCCAGGAGGCGCTGAACATGTACTGCGGTACAATCAACTTTCACAACTACACCGTCCAGAAGAGCTTCAAGGACCCCTCGGCCAAGCGTCACATCAAGTCCTTCAAGGTCAACATGCAGCCGATCCAGATCCGCGACACCGAATGGGTTTCCACCAAGGTTCACGGCCAGAGTTTCATGATGCACCAGATCCGCAAGATGGTCGGCATGGCTTCTCTCGTCGTCCGCTGCGCTACCCCGCTCGAGCGCATCAAGGAGAGCTACGGCCCCACGAGGATCGCCATTCCCAAGGCGCCTGGACTGGGTCTTCTCCTGGAGCGCCCCGTGTTCGACGCGTACAACAAGCGTGCGCAGGATAACTTTGGCAAGGAGACGATTGACTTCACAAAGTACGACGAGAAGCTGCAGGCTTTCAAGGACAAGCAGATCTACCAACGCATCTTTGAGGTTGAAGAGCAGGAGAATACGTATGCGACCCCTACATCTGAGTGATATGACAATTCAACTGACCGTGCCTACAGCTTCCACATCTTCTTTCAGCAGGTGGATAACTTCAAGTCTGACTACTTCCTGTGGCTTACGGCTGGTGGCATCGAGGCTGGTGGTGTCCGAACTGGAAAGGAAGAAAAGGGAGGCAAGACTCTCGAGGCGGAGCTTGGCGACGAGGATGAAGATCCTGTGAACGGTGACGGTTAAGTCAACTGGTAGTGATGTCAAAGACAGAAAACGGGGGATGGTATAGATACTGCAGCGGCTACTGCTCATAAAACGTGATGAGATAAAAATCAAAAAGCATAAAAGTTCCTTTTCTGTCCTTTTTGGTATGCGGGTATCAGCGTTACGTCCTCCGAGACACATTTACCTCGTCTCGAGAACCCCATGTCCAAACGCCAGTGAATGCAAATCCTTCATTTTTCAGGGCCAACCCCGATCCCATCCCTCATGCAGCACCACCCGCCCCATTCGACGCCGTCGGAGCCGCAGGCGGGGGAGCAGCAGCAGCAGCACCACCACCCTCAACAGACACGGCATCGGCGCGGCCCATCGGCACCCACTTGCCCTCCGCCGCCGCCGCGAGGCCAGAGAACCGGGTCTCCTGGATGGCGTTGAGCAGCTCCGCGCACCGCACCACGTCAGCCTGGAGCTTGTCGGCCTGGATGCGCGCGTCGCCTTCGCCCTGGCCCAGCTTGCCAAAGAGCCAGAGTTCCTTGAGGCGGCGGCTGAGGGCGAGGAGGTCCTTGATTGATGTGTGCTGTTCGATTGTCAGAATGAGCAAAAGTGTGTCACGTTGCATGGCCGAAGCGCTGCCGCGGTTCGACGTACCAGGCCTTCAAACTCCATTTGCATCGACATGCCTGTGACGGCGACGGTCTGGGGCTCGGCGTTTTTGCGCTCGCCTTCGGCTTGGATTGTCGCGAGCATTGTGAGCATGCGGAAGCGAGAGAGGACGTCGGCGATGAGGCGGTTGTGCGTGTCGAGAAGGTTTGATGAGTCTCGTGAGGTGTCCATGGTGGAGGGTTGTGTGGTGTTGAGATGAGAGAGAGAGAGAGAGAGAGAGAGAGAGGTTGGAGGATGGCGGCGTTGAGGTGAGGTGAACTCTGAGGTCAGAGCTCCTGCTGTGAGGCGAGAGAGCGTCTTGGAGTCTGTTGGTGGGGCGGTGGGGGTTCCTCGGTAAGAGGTGACCTTCTATGCAACTTCACCGAGAGCTTTTCTCGGTAAAACTCGGTGAGATACAGAAAAGAGACCCTGCTGCGACTTCAAAAAGCGCCAGCCAAAAGTCGAAAACTTCAAGAAAACAATGTCTATGTCCCGGTTTCAATTAATTGACAAAAAGCAAAAGATCGGTCTGACCCTTTCTCAATGAACAGTATAGCTGGACTCGCATCGATATACCATGGTCGAACCGAACGCAGAAAGACCATATCACAGTGGCCTAAGAGTACAAGTGTATCTGAACGGTGGACAACTCGAACTGAATTCTATCCAATTTTCGCGATACTTCTGACTTCTCCTGCTTTTCTAAGAAAGCCCTATAGATCTCTATGCAGCATTTTGATTGCCGACAGGGCTCTTTGTTGCATTACACAATCAAGGCAGCTGAGTCAAGTTTGTAAACTCATCAATCGTTCCTTTGCCAAAATCCAAGGTCACTTTGAGTGTGGAAATTCTTATAAGGATATGGAATGGAAGGAGAGAAACCATAATTCAAACCGCAACCCCTCTCCATAACTACGAACACATCATATCCCGCATCCAACAAACCACCAGTCACACTGAAGGAAAGCCATTATCTACTTCGTCAGCACTTAAACAGCCTAAAAGATGTCCCAGATTGACCCGAATGGTCTCTTCCCCGACGTCGACGTCCTCTGTGGCATGCCTGAGCTCGGCGGTGTGGCCGCTTGCGAGTTCCAAGTCCTCCAGAACGACTCGAGCAATTGTGCTTTCATTCTCGATTTGAAAGAAGAACAACCTCCCTATGGACTCCCGAATCAGTTATATGCACGGATCAGAAAGTCTGAGAAGAATGAACCCCTTCTTGCAACTGCTGCGCTGCAGAAGCTAGCCTACGCCGTACTTCCTCACCTGGTCCCGAAGATCTGGGGTTCTGGACATAGCCGAACGGACGACGGCACCGTTATTGCTTATGTTCTCTCCCAAGTCTACCCAAACGCCTGTACGCTTGAGTCGGTCTGGGGTGATCTTGACGACAACAATAGAGCAAAGCTCATTGACAACCTTTTCGAGGCAATCTCGAAGTTGCGTCGTGTCTCATTACCGAAGCTAAGCTATGAGCAAAGAAAAATTTTCCGCAACACGCCATTTGAGATAAAAGACGCAGAGAATCCCATTTCCGTCGGTGGTCCATCTTATGGTTATCATAGCGGCATTGGCTCTTTTCTGCAAGACAACCTCTACCCCAGAGACGCGGAGTCTACGGTCAACACAAAGCCCGATGGGACTGTGGTCGTCAGCGTCTACGCCCCCAAAGAGGAATCTTTTGGCTTCCCCCAGACGGATCTAGATGTGCTAACGCAAAGCTCCATCTTTTGCCACAACGACTTAGAGCCCTGCAACATCCTTGTCAACAAAGTCTCCACACAGCATGGCGACATGTATGAAATGGCGGCCATTATCAATTAGGACGAGGCAGGCTTCGTTCCCTTCGCCTTTGAGGTTGGTCGCAAAGACTCCCACCTGGGCCTCCAGAACGTCACCTGGAGTTGGTATGACATGTACCGGCAACTTGCGGCACATCATCTTCTGGACACTCCAGGTCACTCCATTTGGTCAAAACTGATTCGATGCCTGATGTCTGTTGCTGCTTGCCACCAGGACAGTGAGGGATCGACCACGGACGGCCAAGCACAGAGGCTGTGGCAGGAAAAGGAAAAGATTACATTCTCTACACTTACTGAAGAAGGATGGGTGAAGATGGGTGGCAGTGAAGTCTTCAACTTCAAGGTCGAAGAAAATGAACAGTACCAGGGATGATGCCCAGCAAGTTGGCTCAATCTGGGGATGGATGGTAATTGACGATGTGGGGTGGGAAAAAGGAACATTTTGGTCGGTAACTGTGACTTGATACAGAAAGCTCGTTTGCTGTGTATATAGTAAGTGATTCTAAGGACTCATGAAATCAGCGATATTCTGGTTGTTGAAGCTGGACCTTCATCTTGAATGGAAATAACCGTCGCCTCAAATTGTATTCAATATAGGGAAACTGAAAGTGCAAGACCACACAATAGAATAACAGTGAGAACCAAAACATGCCTAAGACTGTTTGTGTCAGAGGAAAATGTTTCTGTCCAATGTTTCTGTCCCTTCTTGGACACTTTGTCTTTGGTCCCATCCATGGCTGCATTCTGTGTATCCGTAGATGGTCGCGGCAGGAGGGTCGGAGGTCGAAGTCTGCTTTGAGACGGAACGGAAACATACATTGTACTAGTAGGCTTACCAGGGGAGCTTTGCGAAGACTTTTATGGATTTGGTAACAACTTCTTGTCGCTAGATTCGTTAAGCATTTGCAAATATACATGCTCGTTACCAAATTTCCTCGCTTGATTGTGGACGTAATCTTGGTGCACACACGCATGTGTACACTGTGATTGTGACATGGAATTTAACCTTATCAATTCTGTTGAAATTATTCTAAATACTGATCGCGAGCGTCCCTAAGACCTTTGGCAGTGTTGCGATATTATGCTGAATGTATTTACTCGGGGAGCGGAGAGCCGGGCGGAGGGTCGGAGGGTCGGCCCTTAAGTCCAGGTCCGGTCCGGGATTAGCGCTTACATGCACTCTTCTTCATACTTAATGCGAAGAAGACAAACGTTACTCTCATGACCAAACCATCGTTCTTCTCCTGACATAAAAGCAATGAAGTGGTGAGCTAATACGCATCATTCTACAGCGTCAAATCTTGCTCGGCTTTCATCTCCAGGCGTTCACGCTCAATCTGCAGAACCAATATGGCACAGCCGGCATTAGTCGCAACACCTTCTACAGGTGCACAAGAAGATGTCGTTTATCAATCTCGTCCCAGTGCTAGTCGACGCCGAGATAAACCACAGCTTTCATGCAATATTTGCCGACGCCGCAAGTAAGCATAAATCGCCTTTTCCCAACCCAAAGTTTCACACTGACTTATCTATCAATTACATAGGATTCGCTGCGATCGCAGACGACCCTGCGGGAATTGCTCTTCAAGAAGCCAACCCTGTATCTACCAAGAGACTGACATCACCAGCCCATTTCAGAAGACCGCACCAGGTGGCGCTGTCAAGGTAACTCTGCAAGATCGCCTAGCACACCTCGAGTAATTGGTGACGATGCTGGGGTCGTCGGAGAAACAAAAGATCCACCTTGGTGTGCCTGAGGGCTTACCTACACCAATCGATGATCGTTCAGAGACAGGTAGTATGCGGCCAAGTGTTTTGGAGCATCAATACGTTGGCAGTGACCACTGGTCAGCGATCATGGACAGCATTGCTGATCTAAAAGAACATTTCGACCGAGAGGAACTATCAAAGCTCGCAGAAACTCCGGCTTTGGCGGCAGAAAGTCACGGTCTAGATGAGCCGGATTTTCCTGGGCCATCCCGGAAGCGACGCCCATTACTTTTATACGGATGTCGGCCTGCAGCTTCGAGGTCAGAGATTCTATCTGCTCTGCCGCCAAAGACCGCAGTAGACCGTTACATCTCTCGGTATTTCAACCGTCTTGACCTTGTCTCTTCATGTGAGTTATCCGCTGCCTCGTTCGAGCTATCTAAAGAAGTTATACTCATGCTTAATAGCATCTGTTCATGGTCCTACATTTCTCGAAGAGGTAAGTTGAACGCACCTGCAGTACAAGCACAGTCAAATGGACACAGACAATTGGTTGACTATAACAGTACAATGATTTCTGGAGCAATCCCGACCGAGCTTCGGCCATGTGGATTGGCCTCCTATTCAGCATGATATGCTTGGCTGTCATTGCGTCAGACCCGGCCACTGACATATCTGAACGGGGACAACAGCAACTTCAAATCGACTTGTACCGTGAGAAACTGGTACAGTGTTTGCTGATGGGAGACTACACTCAGGGTGGCGATCACGCTCTCGAGACTTTCATAAATTACGTGTATGTCGAGTTTCGGATACACGATGATGCGCAAAAAGATGTCTGGTTTTTGCTTGGTCTGGAGGTGAACTTGGCCAAACGCATGGGTTTTCATAGGGATCCCAAGCACTTCCCCAACATCACTCCGCTAAAGGCAGAGATGAGGCGCAGAGTATGGGCCACCGTTTTGCTCGGCGACATCTTGATATCAGGGCAGATGGGAATGCCCCGCATGATTCGAGATGGCGAGTTCGACACGGCCGAGCCTCGAAATTTGAACGACGAAGACCTGAACGACGAGATGACCTGTTTACCACCGCCGAGGCCAGAGACTGAGCATACAACAGCTCTGGGGATCATTGCACAAAGGAGGCTTCTTATCGCCCTTGGAACCATCTCCGACCTTACCGCATCCGTCAGTCCATGCAGCTATGCGGATATAATGCGCGTCGACGGGATTCTACATCAGGCACGCATCAGCGTTCCTCCTCCACTCCAACTGAAAACCATGGCTTCTAGTGTTACTGACTCACCTCAAGTGATCATGGCTCGCCTATTCCTTCGCCATATGTTCTGCAAGGGTCAAATCATGCTTCATCGCCGATTCCTCTTTACAAAGTCAGCTGCAGAGAACCAAGACACGTACTCGTACTCAAGAACAGCCTGTCTAGATGCCTCTCTTGGAATGTTGGACATTCAACAAATTCTGGACGAGGAAACCTGTCCCGGCGGTCAGCTCTTCATGATGCACTGGCGGGTCGGCTCAATCATGAATCACCACTTCTTGACAGCCACCATGGTCCTCTGCTCGCTTGTCCATCGAAAGCAAACCCTTGGTCGAGGGGACGAGATAGGTACGGCGTTGAGAACAGCACGGAGCATATGGATGAGGAAAAGCGACGACTCAGGCGAGGCGAAAAAGGCAGTACAAGCAGTCAGCATTGTTCTTGCACGAGCTGGGGGTCCCAGGTTTGATGCCACTCTTATAGCCGAGCGGCCACCCCAAAAGCCAGCCGGGGGCTTCGGGAGTTCTAATCGGAGTTTATTGGAAGACCTTGGGACGCAACAAGAAATGCTTGAAAAGCAAATGTTCTGGGTAGAGGCTTTCACGTTGGATGATGGCGACCAAAGTATGAAGCTGAAGCAGTAATGAAGATTCACAACAGCTGATAGGTTTTAGGCGTGGATCTTTTCGCCGCTGGTAGCGGTGATAACAGCAACCCGTCCACCGGGACAATTTACAGCGAACAGGCCGGGGCCACCCTCAATCATGAATACCCAATGCTCGGAGAATGGGTGTTTATGAATGACCAAGAGCAGTGTTAGCAAGGCGAGGATAATGAACTCAGGCTGATGGCCTCTTCAACAAAAATTCATATATATTCTTTTCAGACCAAAACTTCCTTGCCGCAAAGATCCATGAGAAGAGTAAAGATATTACTTCATTATTTTTTCTCGCTATTCAGAGTGCTGGACGAAGGAACCTGACCGGAAATTGAGATCCTTTCCGCCACTGTAGGTGATCATGACCAACCTCGAGTTTCAAACATGAATGTTTTATAAGCTGGATAGATAAGCGTTTAGATAAGACTTGAAGTCTTCAGCTACATGGTCAGGCAAGGCCATGCGGGGCTGTGATCCAGGTGGTTGATCCTTCGAGAGTTGATCAGCTGACCGGCGCTTACGCGCCGCGCTGTTCAAAAGAATCAAACTACTTCGGATGAAGTGACGAAATCTTGCATGATTGTTGTCAATATCCATGTTATCAGGGGACAGTCATAGCCTACTATCTCCTTTATCTTACCGCGCTCAAGCGAGACAATTTCACCCGCGACATCAGCGACCTCGAGCCTACCAAACCAAACCACATCATGGCAGCGGCGATAGATCTACAAGATTTACCCCGCCAAGGGGCACGATTCCCGACCAAGTATCGTCGAAACTTTCCCAGGTCCAAGAATGGCTGCTTGACATGTCGCGCCAGGCGGAAGAAGTGCGACGAATGCAAACCCTGTTGCACACCCTGCATTCGCACCAGGCGAGAATGCACATGGTCTGTCTTCACGGAGAACGCGACGAGCGATGAAAACAGTACCACCGTGTCAAATTCAAGTCAGCATACGAACCTGTTGGGCCAAACTGGAGCAGTCATTTCAGCAGCGACGACCATCTTGGAGGCACCCAAGGACTCCTCGTCTTTGCGGGCATCTCTAACATTCGGGACCCTTTCGCATCTAAGCGAAGTTTCGAGGCCACTTTACGACCAATATCTCGCCGTGACTGCAGAAATACTGGCACGTGGGCCCAGTGTAGATGGCAATCCGTTCATCAATTACGTGCTGCCTTTAGCCGTCTCTGATAGCCTCGTCCTGGACTGCGTTCTCGCCATTGGAGGGGCTCACTTGGTTGTTCTGGACCCCAAGCAGCCACACTCGGAGGTGATGACTCGCAGGCATTACGCTAGATTGCTAGCAGGGCTCCAAAAGGCCCTCCTTGGCGAAGTGTCTTGCGCCGTTGGCGAAAGCGATGAGGACAAGAAGCAATATATTCTCCTCATTCTTCTTCTATTGTGTGTTTTTGAAGTATGTTATTCATCTCATAAATAGTATGATACGTCCAACTGATCTCTCGCAGGGCGTTCAGGGTGACAATACCGGTGCTATTTATCATCACGTCCGAGCCAGCCGTCACTACGTTATTGACTTGGCGGCTGATATCGACAAGCCGTCAGCTTCATCCAAGAAGAGTAAGCATATTCGAGGCTTTCTCTTAGAGATATACGCCATGTTCGCCTTAAAGCTGGCAGTCACGCCACGCGGCTTGCAAGAAGAGAAACCTGTGACATTGGATCCTTTCCTTGGCTCTCTCAAGTTTCTGAGTGAGTATAAGTCGCGAGGATTCATGCTTAGTTTCGGACACGGGCTTTTCGCCATGATACCGGAAATCTCAAACCTTCTCGAGAGACGCCGGCTAGAGGAACTGTGCCAGTCCAAATCTGACGATCTCTACGAATCGTATAAGTCATTTGTAGAGACGCTGGACTCATGGGATTCCTTATCTGATGTTCTCGAAGGGGAAGGCGCATGCCCCCGCTACCAACAGTCCTCAGCCGTCGCCATCTACCGTACCGCCCTAGTTCTCATCCTCCACTCCGCCTTCCACGAAGGTCTGTACAAGAACCCAGAGCTCATTGCCGAAATCAACCTTCGTATAGACAAGATACTGCCCTTGTGCTGGGCCGTCTACGCCAGCAACTCGCCGCTGCGGAGGATGCTGCTGTGGCCGGCGTCGATCTTGGCATCCTGTTGCAAGAAACCAGAGCACGTCAAAGCTTTTCGGTTAGGGCTGAATTCAAATCCAAGAGCGCTGGGTGCTGTCACAGAAGCAGCAAAAGCGATTGAGCTCTTATGGCGAGATGACGACCCGAGAGCGTACGGGCCTCGGGGTTTGAATATGGTGATGAAGAATCATGGTCTCAGTCTCAGTGTGTGTTGAGTGGAATTATTATCTACTATGTGCCAGGGCGGCTTCGTAGGCTTCAAGGACGTTGCTTACCATCAGTACATGCGATTTGCAGTGCGTGTGTTGTGATCTTGTCTCGGTAGGGGCGATTTTCTTGCAAGTTGGTGGTGCCCTTGGCGATTACGGCATCCATGTACTATTAAACCAAGAAAATTGCAGGCATTGCGTTTTAACGATTTCATTGTCTAATGCAGTAACGTAGAGCAGGTATCTCAAATCAGAAAGGGATCAATGCAAAGCTTGCCAACCTCCGACCCGTGCCTCAAGCTTAGCATCCACCACCTCCTCCTCCATCACCACCTCCTCCTCCTCCATCACCACCGCCGCCGCCGCCGCCGCCGCCATCACCGCCCCCTCCACCTCCGCCACCACCACCACCATCGTAGCCGCCTCCTCCATAATGGCCTCCATGGTGGCCTCCTCCATGGTGACCTCCATGGTGACCTCCACCACCCCAACCCACTGCTCCGGCGTTCCCTCCACCGTAGCCACTGGTAGGATAATTGCTCGATGGCCTGGTGCCGTAGTTTGGAGTGCGGCTCATTGCCGGTCCTGGTCTGTACTGCACATCGATGGACCTTTGCTTCTTTCTGCGGATCGGTAGACACATTATTGGTAGGATGAGATATATGTAGGACTTGTTTATGGTAGGTTTGAGTTGCGGTTTCGTTTGTCTCTTCTGCAGGGACGGTCTCTTTTTGAACGCTTTACGGAAAACACAGTTTTATATCTGCTGGTCTTCGCAGGGATGATGATTGAGATGAAAGTGGTTGATATTGTCGTTGATCAAGTTGGGATGAGATGGAAGGAATCAAGAACTTAAGTAGGGAGACCACGAAATATTGACTCATGGAAAAAGGCAGTCACATGGCCTATTTTGCCTGTCTGCCTGGGAGCGAAATACAAGGTTTGGCAGAAGGCATGATCACTGACAAGTCTGCCTTCCAGAGGGCTTCTAGCGGCGTGAAGGATCAAGGGCGAGCTAGGATGAGCCCATAAAACTCCGACTAAGCGAATCGCATGGTCCTAAAAGCTGTCACCTAATGAAATCAGCCTTGGGCTAAGCTGTCCTTGCTGCGAGGTGATTAAGAATAAGTCAGACAGCCCACTTTTGGTCTCCACCACTTTTGACCTCCCTCCACGTTTGCCACCGGGCTAACACCAAAACATACCTGTACCTAAGGTACTCAGGGTACCTTTCAATATTACAAAGGGGCGGGCCTTATCTTGCGCAGCTGATCAGGCGACGCGAACATTTTGCCCATCTTCTCTTCAACAGTTTCCGTTACTTATTCCGTTACCTACCTTATATATAAGACTGTGTGCCGGAGCAGTGCGACATGTTGTATTACAGGGGTATTGATAGGGCCAAATTCTTTTATCCTAATTCCAAAGTGCTCCCAATCATACAGGCGTGGTGTGCACTGTAGCACAAAGCACAAATACCGTAACTAAAGGATCATTACGGATAGTTGAATAAAACTCTTCGTCTTATTTCTCACCCCTCCACTACCTAACATCCTCCCTTGATATCATCCACGTGCGTGATTAAACACTTCAATATGGATCGACCATCATCTACTTGTTTACTTACTGCCATGTACGACGGATTGTTCTATACTAAAGGCAGCGAGGAGTTCAATGATTGGAAAATGTCGGCCATCAATCCCACTGTTATCAAGGAGCTGGAAGAATTCGTCACCGAGCAACTGAAGGACTGTGGCCCAGCTACGTACGTCGACAGGGCAGAAGGGTCCTACAACATGATATTCCGGTTCCGCTTTACCACCGGGACCAACGTTGCGCTGTGCATTCCTAAACCAGGGCATACGCCTTCAGCTCTCGCTGCCGAGAAGATTGCGAACGAGGTCGCGTGGATGCGGTACCTCAAGGCAAAGACAAGCCTTCCTGTCCCCAACGTGTACAATTCTAGCTCACAAACGCCTGGAATTCAATCGCCCCTCAACTAACCCTTTATCTTGATGGAATTCATCGAAGGCTATAACCTCCGCGAATTCCTGGCGAAATTGCCGCCACCAGGCCAAGACGCTGCTGCTGACGCGACGCGATCAATTGTGTACGAGCAGCTGGGAGACTTCTATATCCAACTCAATCGCTTGCCCTTCGAGAAGATTGGGTCCATCACCGAAGACCCGCTCTCAGGTCAGTGGAAAATCACACAACACCCGCTCACTATGGACATGCATCAACTCGTACTGGGCGTTCCCGCTTACCCAACCGAGGAATGGCCTACCAGGCCGCTCCAGCGCTCTAGCGACTACTTCGATTTTGTTGTGGCTCAGCAGCACAACCAGCTCTGGAAACTGCGCAACCTTAACGCGGACCAGCATGATGAACAGGACGTCGACCTAGAACAGGCTGCCAAAATTGCTCGTCTCCGGTTCAAAGCCCGCTTAGGCTTCAAACAGCTGATTCCCCTGTTTCACAACCAAAGTGACGACAGCGGCCCTTTCCTCCCCTTCAACCCAGACCTCGATTCGCGAAACATGGTCATTGACCCTAACACCAATCGTATCACTGGCATTTTCGATCTTGAGTTCAGCAACGCTATGCCGACGCAGTTTGCACGCGACCCGCCCCTGTGGCTACACAGAGTACTTCCGGGGCAGTGTCTTGAAAAAGATTTCTTCCCTTGGTTTCTGCAAAGCTACCAGCCTTACCTTGACCAGTTTTTGGACGCTATGAAGCGTGTAGAAGCGAGGAGCCAGGCTCGCGACGGAGAGAAGCCGCTATCCACTCTGATGCTTGAGTCTTGGACCAGCAAGCGCTGCTGGCTCAACTATGCAGCTCACCATGCTGATCATAGTGACGCTCTGTATTGGGCTGAGCTTCGACAACTTCATCCGAGTGGGGACGGGCCTGAACTGTCGCCTGATATGGAATCTGAGATGGAGAGCTATGTAGAGCACACCAAAAAGCAGATTGCGGCGTACGAAAAAGCGTGGGTGGCGGAAGAGACTGTGTCGACAGCTTAAGCTTTCTCTTCCCCTATTAAATGTGTTTTACATATTTTCTACTCTTTGATATAATTATCTCAGCAGTATTGTCTTCTAACCGCTAGAATGCTACATAGATATCTTTCTATGAACAGTTTTTTAAACTAAAATAATTCAATAATGAAGTCTGACAAATTGAACAATGTAATTTAAATAAGATAAAAATTGTTAGAGCTTGTTATGAGGTAGAAAAAAGCTCTTTTACTTGAATAATTATGATGACTTTCAAATGTAGGAGTTGAGAAAGGGTTGAAACCTGGGTTCTCTGACTAAGTGCAAACGGGTAAGACGATGTACAATGTATCCGATCATCTGACCAGATCAGTGGATGTACGGGGCTGTTCCGCTGTGTGGGTTCCTTGCAGGTCGCTCGAGGCTAGCCGGAGCGGGGCCGGATCGGCGTCATCGGCGAATGGCGCTGCTCCACCGGCACAGCCGGGCGCCGGGGCGCAGTGCATACAGCCTGGCAGCCTGGGCAATGAATGGCAAACCGCCCAATATCTTCAGCCAAGTGTGTTCAGCCGCACTCTCAACCCTTGCGTCATCCTTGATGTGTCAATCACGCCAACGTGTGGGATGACTCGTTATGCTGAAAGATTCTTGTCAAGTATGCAACGACGTTCCGCCGCACGGTTTGCCCAGCTGTGGGACTAGGAATTTGACGCAGGTAATGAATGGAGGTTTATCGCGCACATGCCATATTTTCGGTGAGGAAGAGATCCTCTGTCAGTTATTGTTCTTTCTCAGCTTGCGCTTCGCCTTCTTCGGTTCTTTGATGTCGGCCGGACCGGGCTCAAATGCCGGGTAGGAGCCTCCACGTGAAAGTCAGGGGTTGGATGATTCAATGCCTGCGGTGAACGGAATACAAGGCATGCTGTGAGTATAAGGGAAACGAGCAAAATGCTGCTCGAGTCTTCCCTGTTTGCGGCGACGCCTTTTGCAGACTGATAACCGGTATTTCCAATCTTTTGGCTGGCGCATAGTAGCGTATATATATGAGTGGAAAGTCGCTACTCCTCTTGCTTGAAATAGTTGATACCATGAAAAGAGAGCCCAGTCTAATTTTATTTAAATCATCACAGACCTTCGCATACCCGCTCTCCAGGGAGCGGAACACTATCCATTTTTCGAATACTTTCTTGGGCAGGATTGGCGCCATGCCACAGGATCACAGGTCGCACTGCCGTATGCTGTCAAGAACACCTACGTGTCCTTGTGACCCAAGTGGAACGAGCATCTCTGTAATGCTGGGTTGCCTACATCCGGAGTTGCAACTCCCCACATGATAGCAAAAGTGCAATGCCAACGCAAGACGCCGGAAAAGGCCTCGTTGGAAACAAATGGCCATGATGATTGAAACGACGGCGATCCCACGTAACTGTAAACATAAACATAGCTCTTGGCTCAGTCAAAGTATTTTGTCTTGACGCCCTTGATGATCTCGAGATCATCAACCGCATTGTCTCCAGTCGCCTGGCTGGTGCTGCCAATGTTCTTGATGATCCTCTCCTTAACCCACTCTCCCGCCTTCACGGGCTTACCATCGCTTCCAAGGATGGCGCCCTCGGTCAGCCCACGCTGCTGTAAAACAGGCGACTCCTTAATTGGGACAAGGTCTGTGTCGTCTTCTATCCGAACCATGTAGATCACCCCTAGCCGATCGATGTGTGCCTGGTCCTTCGGTGGAGCAACGACTCTGTGAATGCTGGACTTCAGGTAGCCATCTATGATAGTGTTAATGCCCACGATGATTTTGAAACTCTTTTATTGAGCATTATGCTTACTCGTGAGGAATTGCAGGGCGTCGGCAATGTTTACAGTTAGGGCATCCGTCTGGGGGCGCACCCACTTCCACGCCCCATCATTTGTGAGGACCTGGAGTGCAGCGACGGGTTGTCGGAAGAGCAAGGTCAAGCTGCCCATATCAGAGTGTCTTCATATTTATTGTCAATATCAGGCGAATCTTCCTGTCACTCGAACAGTGGCCTGGGTTCTGGAGGGAAGATTCTTACCCCTTCAACCAGACACCACCAAGCTTTCGATTCTCCTCTTCGCCTCGCGCGTAGTACTTCATGTAGCGTAGATGATCACCGCTGGATTCCTCGTAGCGATGCTTCTTGACGAACCACTCTTCATCTTCGAGGCCAAGAGCCAAGGCGAAGATGACGAGAAGTTTCCTGACAATTTCATCATTGACGTATCTGGAGAACCGCTCGATTGTCGCCCAATTCTCTTTGACTACATGGGGATGCGGTCGCGACGCGTGCTCGGGAATGAACTTTGGGATGTTGTAGATTTCAAAATTGTCCCGAACGCCCGGAATGAGCTCTCTCGTGCCTGCTGGCTTCCAGCCATTGAAGTCGCCGGCCTCGAGTGCTGCTCGGTATGGTGCCTTTTCTTCCTTGGATAGTCCGAGGACGGAGGAAGCCAAAGCATACTGCTCGTCGATAACTTCCCGACTAAGACCGTGATTGATGACATAAAAGAAGCCTGCGAGAACACAGCGTCAACATCAATCCTGTCCGAGAAGTGTTTTGAAGAGACGGTGATGATGCTACCTATTTGTTCGATTGCTCTTGTGAATTCTGCCGCAAGCTCTTGTTTACCCCCAGGCTTATCAAATTTAGAAAGGTCCAAGGCTACTAGATCTGCCCAATCTAGCTGCTCGGTCGTCTCAGTAGCTTGTACGTAAGGAACTGACGCTGTCTGTGTAATTGTAGCCATCTTGAAGAAAGAGAGAGACGAGGCTTGTACTTCCATCCGTCGGGGCTAGCCACTCAAAAAATGGCCTGTCGCTACCTTGATATAGTAAGGTCTAGAGTGGGTAGGATCTGGCGCAGCACGCACCCCATCAATTTGTCCTTTCCACAGGGACACAGGGAGATGTCCTCCGCGCTGATGATATTCTTGCCAATCAACCCGCAGCGAAATGCGTGTGTTGCAAGGATTCGGGCATGGCGTTGGTAATCCTATCATACCTACCTACTTACCAAGCTCGCAAAGAATAGGCTCTCTCTGCATGTGGTTGTTCCTGCGGTACTGAAGTGAATGTGTTGGAAAGAGAGCGAGGCCGAAGTCGGGCTGCTCCAATCAGACCACAATTACTGGAGGCTTCACTTGAGACTTTACAGATGTGCCGCTTATCTCGAGGTCAACCCTTGGCGAAGGATGCAGCGCTGTGGGGCCGGCGCATTCGTCAGGACGGATCCAGATGAGGCAATCTACTAATGGCGCTTCGGGGCGTCCTCGGGAGACATCACCGATAAACCAGGCTCTCAGTGTCGCAGGGATTCTCCACGTGCTTTTTGAGATTTGTTCCTCCGATATGAGTTGACATTCTGTTGTCAATGAGGGGACCATATGGTCGGTTTAAAACCACATAGTATCTCCTTGTCTTTGATACGTAAGTATTTGTCTAGTAGGAGCAGAAGCCATCAAGATGACAGCCGTCATCACCAAGGAAAGCCAGCATGCGGCTCCCCGCGAGGAACCGTTTATGATACCAAGAGCAGACGAAAAATATGCACCGGACCAGTCATTCAACTTGGAGGCAATTGGAGAGGAAGCTCTCGCCATCGACCCAGTCATGGAGAAGCGAGTGCTTCGGAAAATTGATCTTTTCCTGATGCCAGCCATGGTGATAGGTAAAGTATTTCCTCGATGACGAAGAAAGTCATAACTCCTATGCAAGGCGACAGTATGCTGACATAGAGTGACTCGATCAAGGTTATGGGTTGGTTTACTATGACAAGGTGGGCGCTCAAGAAGTCTCGATCCATTTGTGAGCACGACTCACATCAGGTACATGTAGGCAATTCTTGGGAGTGCTGCTCTTTTCGGCATGACTGGTGACCTGCACCTTTCAGTTGTCGACACCTCTTTCACGCCTCCAAAGACGGACACAACGCGACTTAGTTGGGCAACTTCAATCTTCTACTTTGGTCAGCTAATTGGTTCGTACCCAATGACGTACTTGCTTCAACGCTTCAATACCAGATGGACACTCGGCCCTGTTGTCATGATTTGGGCAGTCATTTGTGCAGCCACGGCAGGGGTGACAACGTGGCGAGGTCTCCTGGTTCAACGATTCTTCTTGGGTTTGTAGCACGGAGTCAACTTTTTAAACTTCAACGGCACTGATCTCCTATTACAGGTTTCACCGAGTCAGTCATTCCAACGGCTTTCATGACCACCGTCAGTGGGTACTACACTCAAAGAGAACAGGCACTTCGCCAGAGCTGGTGGTTCTCAGGCACAGGCTGGTTCACCATTATCGGAAGCGCTCTAAACTACGGGTTTGCTCAGATAAAGGGTGGCGCTTTAGCTCCATGGCAGTACATCTATGTCCTTGCTGGAGGCTTGACGTTTCTGTTCGGAATTTGGTGTTTCTTTCTCCCAAACTCTCCCCTCACTGCTTGGTTTCTCAACGAGGAAGAGCGGGTTGTTGCAGTTGAGAGACTACGCCAGGGACAGACAGGCGTGAAGAACCAGACCATCAAAGTCAGCCAAATCAAGGAGGCATTGCTGGATATCAAGGTCTGGCTAGTCGCTTTGACAATGGCCTCAGGGTAATAGGCTATAGCTGAAAAATTCTTTCAAAGCCGAACACTAACAAGCAATCAGGTATACGGTCAACGGAGCTGTGTCCGGCTTCGGTCCCCTCATCGTTTCGACATTCGGTTATTCGGCGTTGGAAAGCATTCTCTTCCAATTTCCACTGGGTGCTGTTTGCGCAATTGGCATTCCCCTTGCTGGCTGGGTTTGCTCCAAGTACCGCAACATTCGGATTCCAGTGCTCATAGGTTGCACATTACCAGTCCTAGCAGGTTTCATCATCATTTGGAAATCAGGCTGGGGCCATCGGCCGGTTGCACCTGTCGTCGGGTACTCGCTGATTGGCTTCTTTGGGCCGGTCGTGAGCTTAACGGTCACTCTCGGAGCTGGTAATGTCGCAGGAGAAACCAAAAAGAGTTTCATGGCATCTGCTGTCTTTGTCGCCTATTGCGTTGGAAACATTGTGGGCCCCCAACTTGTGAAAAGTGAGACCAAGGAGCAGCATTATCCTGAGCTCTGGACGGGGTTGATCATTTGGTACGTCACGATCCGGTTTGGGTCTTTTTCCAACTCTTCTAACAGAAGTCTTCCAGCTACTGCATCACAATTTTGTCTTCCTCGGCTCTATACGTCGTTCTCTGGAGAGAAAATAGGAGACGGGATTCTCTACACTTGGATGAAAACGAGCGAGATAGGAATGCATTCAAGGACTTGACAGACAAGGAGAACGAGCACTTCAGATATGTTTTGTAATAGTCTTTCACCAGCCCACCCAACTCATTGACGTCAAACATGTTGATGAGCAGCGGGTGGGTTTAAATCAATTGACTTGCGCTCCTGGTCCTTGGTCAGTCAGTCATGGTAGTCCATTCTCAAGATAATGCCTCTTGCCGTTGGAATGAATGTTTAGCCTGTTCTTGTCCCGTTTGAAGACATTGAGTAGCCTATCAAGACGCGCATCCAATCTCGTGAAGGATCAAGTCTCGCGTTGCGTTTTTACCAGGGGTTGTGATGCAATCACCAACGGACCCCACCTCAGCGGCAGTCTCGGTAAGCTTCTTATGTTGATCGAGGGATCTTATCACAACATGTCGGACCATGGCCGATATGAGCTGATGATGGGGCCGATATCGCCAATGGGGACTCGCGGGGCGGCTCATCGTCCGATGGGACGGCTTGGGGGGGAAGCTGTAGATGTAGAAGTGTTCTTCGCGATTCGCATTGAATTTCAATTAGCACCACTTTCAATTTCTCTCTCACACAATCCCAAAGCAGAGCACGACAACCTCAGCTTGCTACAATGTCAAAGAAAGTTCGGAGAGTGGCTGTCATTGGGGCCGGTCCGGCTGGGGCCATCGCAACAGACGCTCTCGTGAAGGAACAGGCGTTTGATGTTGTGCGCGTCTTTGAAAGGCGGGACTTGGCTGGAGGGACATGGTGAGTAGTTGAATGTTTGGTTTCTGGGACCATCTAGCGTCTTTTAAGTGCTGGGAATAGTTGAGTTGGGCTTAATAACACTCGAGTCTGTAGGGTCTATACTCCGGAACTGCCACCTCGGATCCCATCCTTGCGTGCGTTAGTTGAGCAACGCGCGAATGCCCCAATCGAGATCCCGAGGAGCTTTCCTACCGAAACACCAAGATCTGAAAAGAATAATTCTCACCAACTACGATACTCAGACACCGGGGTTCATGAGACGCTCCACAGCAACATTACGCCCGAGCTCATGGCGTTCACACAAGAGCCAATACCCCAAATCCTGTCCGACCGGACCCTGGCACAGTACGGCCCAGGCGCTCCATTCAGACACCGAGAGCTGATTAGAGAATGGGTTGAGGGAATCTTCACTCGAGGTGGCCACGACAAGTTGATCGAGTTTAGTACTACAGTCGAACTTGCGGAGAAAAGGGGCGACGAATGGGTTCTTACGTTGCGAAAGGTGGTGCCGGGGAAGTCGAAGGACTACTGGTGGCGAGAAACCTTTGATGCAGTGATTGTGGCATCGGGCCATTTCTATCTGCCTTATGTACCAAATATCCCCGGTCTTGTCGAATTCGACGAGAAATTCCCCGGCAGGATCAAGCATAGCAAACATTTCCGCGACGCAGAAGAGTTCCGGAACAAGGTACGCCGGCGGTCATCAAGTTGCCCTTCTTGAGTCGGAGCTAATATCCGACAGAAAGTATTTGTCGTCGGGGGTTCCGTGTCTGCCTTTGATGCTCTCCACGACATCCGACTCGTCTCACAAAAGCCAGTCATCGCATCTTTGAAAGAACCGTTGCCCGCCTTCGGGTGGGCACCCTTCACTCACCCCGATATCACCATAAAACCGGAGATCACCAACTTCTGCCCCAAGACTGGACGCATCACATTCAGCGACAAAAGCACTATTGACGACGTTGATGTCGTGTTCTTTGCCACTGGTTATGACTTTAGCTTCCCATTCTTGCCCAAGCAAAAGTTGGAGAACAGACGGGTTCCTGGACTGTACCAACATGTCTTCAACATCGATGACCCAACACTTGCCTTCGTCGGAATGGTACGTTGCGATTAATATTTTTCAATGCGACTGGAGAACTCCAGACTAATTTCCGCGCAGGTGACTGGAGGCTTCACTTTCCGCGTCTTTGAGTGGCAAGCCGTCGCTGCGGCGCGACTCTTTGCGGGCCGCGGGAAGTTGCCGCCTCAACTTGAGCAAGAACAGTGGGAGAAGGATAGGTTGGCCTATAAAGGAGACGGTATCCCATTTTTTACTCTTTCACCCGACTTTGAGCAATACTTTGAGGCATTGAGAGCAATTGCTGGTGAGCCTGCGCAGGGAACTACGGGTAGAGCATTGCCCAAGTTCGATCCGAAATGGCTCGAAGCATTCTCGGAGGTCATCAACGCAAGGGTTGAGTGGTGGAAGAAGGAGACTAAGAAAGCTGAGGATCAATTGAAGGTTGTGATTAAACCAAAGCTGTAGAGAGAAGATGGTATTATATATTCAAATTGTTTCAATCTTTTTGTGTTGTACGTTCATGCTGTTAGTGTTACCAAAGATTCAGGCACATTTTGATGGATGAATCTTTCCTCGAGCGATGCATATGATATTATCTACCCCAAAAACGACTATTCACTCCAGCTTTCGAGGCGTCAGTCTCACATTCAACGGACCTTTCTTCCACAAGCCAAACAATTGCTGATCCGTCCAGTTCTTGCTGTCATCTGCAATCTGCATGTCAAAGTTCCAAATGACTCTGGCAAGAATTACTCGCATCTCCGACATTGCCAAGCTATAACGTTCACATCAGCACAGCTCTTGTGTCAGTTATCTGATTGATTCAACTTACTTTCGGCCAATGCAATTCCGAGGACCAAAGGAAAAGGGCTGGAGTGCCGCTCTATCATCATTCTCGAACCGAGCATCCCCAAGCCATCTTTCAGGGATGAAGGAGTTGGGCTCCGCAAAGTACTTCTCGTTGCGATACATGGGCCACTGGGAAACCATCACTCGCGTCTGTTAGGAAATCGTTAGCAACATGATCTTTGTCGATTTTGTCAAATGAGATATAAATACCCCTTCAGACACGTATCTCTCGCAAACGTAGTCGCCGCCTGGCTTTACAACTCGGGTAAGACCCATCGGAACGACTGGGTAAACGCGCATACTCTCGTCAAGAACTGCCAGCATGTAACGGAGTTTTTGGACACTGAGAACGTCGATTTCTCGTTCCGCGCTGAACGATGTGCGGACTTCGTGTGCCAATTTGGCCATGGCTTCGGGGTGCGTAGTGAGGAAGTAGGTCACCCCTGAGAGCACCGATGCCGTAGTCTCTGAGCCGGCGATGATCAAGGTGTCTGCGGTTTGCTCGATTTCCGCCTTGGACATGGCCTAAACAGCACTTTCTGTCAGATCTAATACCCGGGAACGAGGAAAAATGTCACTGGCCAGACATACCAAAGGGCCTTCCTTCATCATCATAGACTGGACAAAATCTGGCCTCGACTCGCCAAGTGCCATGCGACGCTGAACCTTCTCCATGCTCATTTCGTTGTGGAACTTTATCTTGTTCTTCAACTCCGTCGGGATCAACCATCTCGCAAATGGACGTGTGATCCAATACCTCTGGAACTGATTTCGCCATACACCGGCATGGATGTTGTCGAATATGATTGCCACCCAAGGGTGGTAGTCCGAGTTTTCGAGACAACCAAACGGCTCACCAAAGGCCAGGTCGCCAATGATGTCAAACGTCGTCCAATTATACCACGAGACCATATTCAGCGCCTTGCCTCCATCTTCACAGTTCTCGTGAAGTCGACGAATCAACAAGTCGATCTGGGATTGGATGAGAGGTTGCTGATCGACCATAGCCTGCGCAGAGAACCCGTGGGCCAGGACCCGGCGCATGCGTGCGTGATCCTCACGCTTGGAGTTGATGATGCTGTGCGGCTTGTATCTGGCATTGATGGGGTCCTTGTAGTTCTCCACGCCGCCGCCGCCCTTGCTGTGGCCCATCAGGTCTTTGAAGGCGCGCGGGTCAGCCCAGTCGATCGTATCCGGGCCAAGCCTGACCACAGGACCATATTGTTTGTGCAGCTCTGCTAATATCTCGTGGGCCTTGCCGCTGGTGCTCATTCGGCTGAGTGGGATGCGCGTGGCGGCATGGAGTTTTGGGCCCGGGTAGTCCTTCAGGGGGTGGAAGTAAATGTTGTAAACCATCCTCGAGATGAGACGGAAAACTCCCTGCCTCGCCAATTAGCATGTGACGTACTAATGATATTGTCGCAGTCTTTCAAAAACTTACCAGGGCAACTAGGAAGATGGGCAACGCGACCGCCAGCCGCACATTGCCCAGTCCTGAAATGTCGTGTGGAATAATCATGTCGCCTATTTGTTAGCTAGGAAAGTTCTGACGGAAAGTGAACCCTTTCTGCCCAACATTCCCCCATGTTATGAGCGGGATAAGGAGCAGTTTATATCAGCCCCTAATGCAGACGAACAATTTGTTTCCGGGTACATGCTCGCCGAAGACATGAAAGATACGTCTATGACCGGAGCCGAACCCGCCCCGGGGATAAACGGTGTGACCTCCACCCAATCGATGCAGCACGGCTTCCCGTCCGATGATCTCAAGTGACGTTTTACAGCGAGATATCGAGGCGGGGAAGTCGTGTTTGCCGGGGGCTTGAGCGTTGGACGGCATTTGGGATGGTGGGCCGCCGCGTTTCATGGCCACCCACATCCGACGGTGCTGACCATGAGGCGGCGGATTTCGGGCTGCTGAGGTGTTCCGGAAGATGGTCCAATGTTTGTCGCCTCAGTAAGTGTTCGACGGAGAGCATATCGGGGTGTGGTGACTTTGTGAGCGAGGAAACGAATGCGAATTCTGGATTACGACGGGAGTGGCAAGACTATTTTGGGACGGATTTGCATTGATACTGGCGTGAGTCGTTTAGATGACAGCTTCCTTGCGCCATGTCGGCGCCCTGCAGCTGGATGATTTTCAGGGCACTCTTTCGTATCCGGACAACCGCTGCCGGCGGAGCGCGGAGTGCAGAGGCAAAGGAGCTGCGCGGGGTTGGGAAAGATGGCAGACTTTCCGGCGGCAGGAATTGGAGATCTTTTCGGCGCCGAATGTTCTCCTCCGTGTCAACGACACTTGGGTTGCGGCAAAGCCACGGTTTGTGGCAACGATGCTGACTAGTGACAAGATCGGCAAAGTTATGCCATCGTTGCAAAAATGTGTTCAGCTGAGGCAGTGCTAGCTGCTGATGCGAGCCGGTGATCATGCGAGCCGGCTGACATGCTATGGTTGACTTATCCAAAGTGCGGTTACATCCTCGCGATGTGAAGTCACTTGGAGCATAGCTGAAGCCGCTGGTCTTAAGAGCCTTGTTAACATGGCCGCCAATAGCCCCGCGTGATGTGGCTCGATGCCAGATTTATCAGTGACCGTTGTCTACATACACATATTGTGCTGTGCATATAAATAAATAATGTTCATCTTGAGTCTCAAAGTTCATCGGGGAGCTCCTTTAAACGTTGTCAAATCGGGAAGAACCCGGGCAACTCCACACAGACTAGGTATAGGAATAAGTTTTGGTCATCGGGAAATTGATCGTTAAGAGGTGGTTCCTCAATTAAGACTACCTAGGTGAGAACCTCTGCCATGTTTCCGCATCACTTACCATGTTTCAACTCTCAGTCTCGTCTCACCGAGACGACAAGGACGCTTTGACCAGTTGACCCTGTCTGAGAATGCTGCTGACTACACAGCATCAACGGACCCATGAGCTCTTCTCAACACTTACCAGCTTGGCGACACGTGATGAGACACTTCCAGATTCATCACAATCTCAGGGGGCTCGCAATCCCAGAATACGAGTCTCAATAGGGAGCAGCCTCGAAGAAATCTCCCTGCATCATCTTTTTATCGTAACTCACTGAAAACCGGAGTCACATGCCTTATGACGCCGATGAGAGGCGCTTCTGAAGGAAGACTACGCCCCCGCTGCCATCAAGAGGATCTGAGTGACCGGGAACCCGGCAGAAGAGTCATGGAGGCTGCTTTCAAGCGCAAGCCCCTGCCGGGCCCTCCGCCGGGCCCTCCGCCGGGTCTTCCACCGCCACCGAATTTTGACCCCTTTCCCCAACATCAGCGTCCCCTTCGTGGCGCCCGGTCGACGCCGAATCTTCGGCAGTCTGTGGCGACATCCATCTACGACCCTCCGCCTGCCTATGAGGAGTTTCCGGGTGTCGACTCTAACGGGCGCCTCGCTTTCGCCGATCCAATCACGAACCTCGGAGCCGGGAGAGTTCCCTCGCCGGCCCCGTCAACCCCGGGACCACACTTTTCTCCCTGTCCTCCTCCCGCTGCTGCAGCACAAAAGGAATATCTGCCTTACCGCCCGTCACCGTCACCGTCAATCGCTGTTGATGGAAAAGACTTGCCCCCGCCAGCCACCCCAGGACCATCATTCCCTGGTCCTTCGGCGGCACAAACGTTTCCCGTGGCAGGTTATCGTCCTTCTGTCTCGCCCACACCGTCCAATCCGGGCCCTTTCTTCCCTGGCCCTCCCGCAACAGCAGAGACCTTCCCGCTGGCACATCGCCCTCCCTTGTCACCCAATTACGCCCCATCAGAAGTCACGTCAACAGATTCTCAATCAAAAGAAAAGACATCCTGGCAGACAGCTCTGGACGAAACAAAGTACTTCGCGGGCGGCCTGATAAGCCATCCATTCGAGTACACCAAACACTATGCCATCCTCCGCCACTCGGGCGCGCTTGTCTGGTACCGCGGCCCCTCCACCTCCGTTACCGTCACAATCTTCTCCGATGCTCCTCTGCCACCCACGCGGACGGTATGGCTCCAGCAAAAGGGCTTCTCGGGGAACATGGGCATGAACTTGAAATCTCTCGTCGGCGCAAACACATCCTGGCTCGACGTCACGCCTTCCGCGCAGGGTACCGCGGCGGCCATGGCCGAGGGCGACGAGAGGGGATGCCAGCGCGACATGAAGAAGTTTCTCAAAAAGGCGCCCAAGAATCTGGCAAAGCATACGCCGAGGGAGACGCTCGTCGTGCGCATCCCCGCCGCCGCCGATGACGGGTACTTCCGACTCGTGCTCTGCGCCGGGGGCGGTGTTGACGGCACCAAGAGGAAGGTTCTTTGCCCCAGTCCCGTCTTCCGTGTCGCGAGCACTTCGACGGACGTGAGTGTCGTCCGTGGCGCGAGCTTCGCCAGCATGCCTCTGGAGCTGGGAATCAAGGCGGGCTCGGTCGTTGCGACGACGGTTGTCAATAAGTATATCGGACCAGCTGCCGCCGTAGTGCAATCCCGGACGAAGAAGATATCGCAAGCAAAGTTTGTGACCAAACATGCCGCTCACATCGCATACGCAAAATCGGGCATCGAAAAGTCCGGCATCAAGACGCATGTAGCGGCATATGAGGAGCAATATGCCACCACCAGGGGCGGAGGATATGATGCCTGGCAATCTGGCGAAGCTGGGTTCCAAGAAGCGCCCCCAGAAGTCATCGGTGCCGACTCCGGCCCTACCGATCCATTCCCGATCAAGTTTGACGGCAAGGTCGTCCGCGGTACAGGGAGGGGAGGCATGGAACTGGGTATCCCGACTGCGAACCTAGAGGGCATACCGGAAGACGTGAGGATGCGAATGCGAGGCGTCTATTTTGGCTGGGCGAGGGTCGTACCCCGATCGGGACTGGAAGCGATATCGACAGACTGGCACGAGAGCATCATTACCGTTGGCCCCGCACCGTACGCCACACCGCGCGTAGCCGCCAAGAACGTCGCCACGGTACACCTGATCCACGAATTCGGCGGTGCTCTCTTCCTCGAGACAAAACTCAAGGTTCTCGTCATGGGCCAGCTGCGAATGGCTGCGCCGCCTGTGGCTGGCTCAGAGGCCGCGCTCGCGGCCTACGGCGCGGATGTGCTTCTTGCCGTGGCTAGCTTGAGTCGTGACAACTGGTGTCCCATTGAGACGCGTGACAGGATGAGAACCATGCGTAGCGAGATGAGCCTGGCTGATCGATACGTCGAGACGAGGGAGAAGGTCCAGAAGCAGGTGGACCGGATTCCTGTGCATTTGGCTGGTGTTAGAACGGAAGGGGCTGCCTTGAGAGATCGGGCATATGGGAATGGAGGAATTTGGATCCCGAGATGATGCATTTATCCATTTGAGAATGAGTGTGATCCTCTGGAAACCTCAACTACCTGTAGATATTCCACATAGATCGTTCACTTCTTGAGAGCTACATTGTGTAGATGTGTTAACGATAGATATTTAATATGTACAAATGCAGACAGATGCCGCTGCGAGGAGTGCCTGCCTCATCGCTAAGTTATGTGATTCAATTTGATGTCAATATATGCTTGTAACATGAACATATTTGATATCAACCACAAGTTGAGGTATTGCTCATATACATGCGCCAGGTTGGGAAATATTTGGACACTTCGTCTCCGCATCTCCAGATTGAGGTTGACTCATCGTCGCCTTATGATCAACCAACTTCATGTCCCTCCAGGTCTTTTCCGATAGCCCTGATAGCTCCATGACGCCGGCTCTCACTGGTCTAGAACATACTTCTTAATGGCGTCTCAACAATTATCTCAAACCTCATGACTCCTAATATCCTTTACCGTCTTGACGATCTGCTGATTTAACTATTAGCAGCCTGATGGCCCAGCTGTAGACAATACCGTAAGTCCTTTAGTGTTGTTAAAAGAAGAGAAGGCTTACCTCGACCAATAGCCAACTTTCTACCCAATCCCGCCTCTGCCCTTATCTTTCCCCAAAAAAGTAACGATGTAAGTGGCAGACGTGAAACCGTTATCTTCGCCTTCGGCTGGAGCCTGCTCATGAGTTGCTTATGAGATGGGTCTTAACATGCGGCTTTGTGCTGGCAACAGGGACTTTGCGAATCCTTCATCAACAATAACATCAGTCTGCGACGAACTAGATCTCTAAGCGAGCAAGTAGCTAAGCGCCGAAGAGGCTATGGCAAGGCATAAAGACATCTATCTTGTTGGTGGGTAGAACAAGTAGAATTAGGTGCCTCTGGGCCGTTGCAAAAGTTTGATTCTTTTCTGAGCCTCATTGTGCACTTTTCTATTTGCCCAGCAACTCATCGCTCTGTCGAAGTTCAGTGACGGTCTCTTCGGGAATTTTGTCAGTAAACCCAATACTGCTTGTCTCTGGGTGTCCCATCCGTGGCATGCAAGGCTCTGGTACAAGTACCATACAGAAACCGCACGTTAGGGGGTGAATACCGTGTCAACGCTGAGCACGTTTGTCCTTAGCCCATTAACTACCGTGTTCCTCGAAAGATGCCGAAATATCAGCTTTTCAAATGAAGCGAAATCTTCGCAAAACTATCCGCTGTTAAATCTATGATAAATACGTCTAACTTTTGATGCTATCGGTTTCTTGTGTGGCTCAACCCTCTCAAAACTTAACATGCTTGCAGCTTCTGTTCCAGAATTCGACTTTCTCGCTACTATCAGCCAGTGACAAAATCAAAGTCTTTGCAAATGCTTCGGACTGATCTATTAGGGTTTACTCTAAAAAGAAGAGGCGAAAGAGAAAATCTGAAAGAAAACCAGGCACCGAAATAGCATGGTAGATGCTTGTGCCAAGTGCTCGCCGGCCCTGTCTGTCAAATGGCCACATGTACCTTTTGCCTCGTAACTGTGGCAGATTGCAATCTACGTTGACACAAAATTGCTCTTTTGCCTCAGTTGTCCGCCGTACTTGAAAAGAAGCCAGGGAATGGGTATCAGAGGAAGGGAGAGAAATGCAAACACGCTACCGGCCCAGTGAACACCCAGCTTCTCATATATCTGGAGAGTGAAGAGAGGGAAAACGGCGCCCAGAATGTATCGAAGAATCCCATTCGCGGCCAGGGCTGAATGTAGATGTTAGCAATGCTTCAGCAACAACTTTCTGGATTGAGGTATGTGGACGCACCGGATGCCGCGGCTTTCTGACCATAAAAGTCCACCATGTAGGTAATGACCGACAACTTGAAAGTGTTAGATACAGTTTCTGACTATTTTCAAGTGATTCCGAACTTACAAATAGACAAAACGCGCCGAGCCCGAATGGGATGCCAGCCGCGACCAAGGCCGCCCAGTGACCTCCACGATGCGCTTCCCATGCATACCAAAACAACCCCACGGGGAGAGCAACGCTCCCCACGAGCGCCGCATACAACCGCTGCTCTGGGAATCCCTTGCCAGCCCGGACAGCAGGTAGTCTGAACTTTGCATCAAGGAATGCAAAGACAAATGTGGCAAGGATATAGCCAATGATGATGCTGAGGAAGCTCAACCCGACCTCCCTCAGATTGAACCCATAGTACTTCTGGAGGACATAGGAACAGCTACCAAAGTAGCTAAAGATCATGGCATAGGCGAAAGCCGTATAAATGGCTAGCGAGGAGACAATGATCTCAGTAAAGAGCATCTTTGTCGGCCTCATGACAGCGGTCCGTACAATGCCGCCAAGTCGCGCGAGAGTGATGCGTTCTTCTCCCGACTCTTTGCGCAGGATCCAGGCTTTCGATGTCTCCTTCATCACCATTGTACCGACCCAAATTGGTGCGCCTACCATAAGAAGGACATACTGCGTCCATCTCCAGTCGTTGTTTCTGTCATGTAAGATATACGCCCCAGCCAAAGGTCCCAACGTCGGTCCCAGGAACGGGCCGAGGATGTACAGCAGTGACGCGCCGGCCCCCTTGCCGAGTTCCCAGACATCAGCGATCGTTCCGGCACCGACTGCGATACCGGCAGAGCCTAGCGTCCCGGCGATGAACCGGCAGGCGAGAAGACCAGAGAATGTGCTCGTCGCCGACGCACCACCCAAGAATGCGAGTAGAAATGTGCAGGATCCGGCGTAGACCCACTTGCGGCCAATGACTTCGGAGAATGGAGCGATGAAGAGGGGACCGATGGCGAGGCCGATAGTGTAGAGCGTCAAGGGGAGGATGGACTTTGTGCGTGAAACGGAGAACTCTTGCATTATCTGGCTCGTCGCCGGGACTGTTATTGAGGTTGCAAACGTACTGCAGGGTTCCCAAGTTAGTCCAGAGAATAATAGCGGGCGCGAAGTTCTGGAGTTGAGCTTACATCTCGAATGCCAGGAAGCATGGAATTGCAGTATGGAAGAGTCGCATCAAAAAACTCCAATTCTTGGTGTTTCGCGATTCGCGAGGATCGTCCCATGGGAGTTGTTGTTGGGCGCCATCTTCAAAGGAGGTACTGTCCTCGCCAGCTCTTTTTTCAATGTCTTCTTCTGGTCCTTTCATGACTGGTAGTTCAGCAAAAGATGCAGGGCTTGTCGTACTCATTTCGGCGGCGTTAACGATGCCTCGGAGAGAATGCCGCGGATCCTTGAGAAGCTGGGGAAAGACAAGTATCGAGGCTACTCTAATGCGACGAACTGCACAATGGGGACGGGCCAATCTATACACCAGAAAAGCCTGAGTTGGATCTGTTGAGGTGCTTGGGATGTCGGGATCTAGAGTTGCTGAAATCCGCTCTGTAAATTGTCTTTACGGATTTCGGAGGCATGTGGACATGGTCAACAATTCACGTTGGGCGAATGTTTAAAGAGCGGACGACCATTCTAGAATATGGTAACATTCATCATAGTGTAAGCACTACCTCAATGTCGGCCTTCACTACCCTCGGCCTATGAGAACTGTGGTTGTTGGAGCTGATTACTGATCTCACGTTACCTGATGCAGGAACCTGCCGATAGGATGAAGGGATGAGATGAACTTGCGATCAGAACTTGATGCTGAGTTTGTAAGATCCATTCTCAACAGTCGCCTATGAACGCAAGAGCTAGAAAACATGCTCTTCAACGTTCTCTTACACAAATCACAACTCACTGTTACTTTGGATCTTGTCCCATACTGTCGGACACCCAAGATCAGTATCAGGTGTGTCTAAGATGGTGAGTTGGGGTGTAATTCGTGATTAGTGAACTATTAATCCTCGGCTGGCGCAATCGCGCTAGCGCCCTAGGAATTTGCACTTCATTGCACAATGACCCCTGTAAACACGGGACACTACGGTCTTGATGCATAAGCAGAAGGCTAGTTTGAGGTTTGTTGCGGCATTGAGATGCTGTGTGCTCGTAGCTGCCAGGGTCGAACTTGGGGCAATGACATAATAGTCGGGAGAATGAAACGCTCCAAGACAGTCATTTCTTACAAATATTTCTTACGTCTTCTGAGCTCAGCGCTTCCCTGTCCTTGCTCAAGAATCGGTGTCGGAAATCAAAGCCAAGGCCCCAGAGGCGTCACAATTTCAACCTTTGCATTTGATCAGGCGAGTCAATGAAGGTCTGAGATCAGCGAGCCAATCCTTTTGACAGCTGAGCTTGTTTATGAGGAAAGAGATTCCAACACAGCTATAGATGAGCCGAGTCATTTAAGCGTTCAAGATTGTGGTAACTAGGTGACAGGTTTTCTGGCTCAAATTCCTGTTGGCCAGTGGGCAAAGACCAAACGGCAGCGAAGTAGCCCGAGAGCACATCCAAAAGATTTTCGACAATAATACAGAGATAATGATATTCTTATTGTTCTCCTAGGGCAAGACATAACTCAACAGCTGGCTAAATTTTGTACCCCTGATGACACCAAGATCGCATCTTCGACTTTCTACTGCGCAACAGCTTTCGGGACACCGGTGCCGTCCTGACGCAGCGAGTATGCGTGAACTCGATCCGCAAAGTCAGCTTCCAACTGATGAATCATTCCCTCAATGTCATAGTCCCAGATCTTGTGGGATCTTTCATGGAGCAGTTCGAGGCATTTCTTCCAGTCGCGCAAAGTGTCCGGGTGATTCCACTCGTAAATCTCGCAAGCCTCGCGACTACTCTGCACCAACCACTTCCCGCGGGGTGAGCGACTAGTATCATAGGCTCGAAACATGGCTTCTAACAAGTAACTCTTGTCCTCTTGCGTAGGTCGGGATAAACCTTGCAATATCTCAGTGCCCTTTTCAAGGAGAGTGGCCAAGGCGAGTGCATCTTCAACACCCATGCCCGCGCCGGCTCCGTGATGAGGGGTGGACGCATGAGCGGCATCACCCGCAAGACAAAGCCTGCCTGAGACGAATGTCGGAGCTGGGTGGTCGTAAGTGTCGAATATGGCCCATTTCGTAATCTCATCTGGCAGCAAACCGATGAGATTCTTGACTGTAGGGCCCCAGTCTTTGAACACTGCGGCAACCTCCTCCCTCGTTGCAGGAGAGGTCATGTGGCCGACTGTGTCGTCCGCATTGTCCCAATCGGTTGTGTCGTCCGCAAAAGCCACAAAGTTGACAAGGGTGCCGCCTGCCACCGGGAAATGTAGCATGTGGGCTCGCGGTCCAGTGTGTGCCTGCTCATTGAAGGCTTTGAAGCTGCCAATGGCGGATACTACAGAATCCATAGGGATCAAGGCTCTGTAGGCAACCTTGTGGCTGGAGTGAGGGTACGCGGCAGGATTGTCCGCTCCGAGGATCAGCTGGCGGACTTTGGATTTGATGCCGTCACAGCCAATTACTGGTCATAATCAGTACCATCACAAACCAGTGAAGAAAATAAAAGCTTGATGGGTGTTATGAGTAGAGCTGAGCATCACTGACCTGCATCAGCGCTGGATGTAGTACCATCCTGAAAGTGCAGAAGCATCTTCCCTCCCTTTCCTTCGTCGGTAACACTGACTAAGTGCTTCCTGAATTCGACCGTTTCGTCAGGAATGCACTTTACAAGTTCGTCCAGGAGATGAGCACGATGACATCCTACAAATCCTTCGCGCCCAGTGTCTAGGCTGTAGAGGAGCGGATCATCCTTGTCAGGGCAGGCCTCGTCCCAAGTGTATCCATCGTTGAACCGGAGATAGTCGTCTGGCTTGTCCTTGTTCTCTCCGCTATGCGTGGCAACGGCATTGACTGCTTTCTCAATGGACGGGTTGAGGAGAGCCATGCACTTTCGTGCGTTGGTCGTGAAGCCAATTCCGGCACCGATTTCGCGAAACCCACGAGACTGTTCGTAAATCTTGACGGGAATGTTTCGCTTGAGTAAACCCAACGCGGTAATGAGACCTACAATACCACCGCCAACTATGGCAATCTCGAAGTTATGTTCGGTATCCGGCATGGTCAATGGATGACTGTTGATTTCTGTTGCCTCAATGCTGTTGTTGTGAGAAAATCCTGTGATCAATCAACCAGGTGGTGTGAAGGGAACAAGGATGCCAGGGCATATCTCATCATACGAGAGTGATATTTTCAGCCAACGGCGCTTGCTCATTTAACTGCAGATGTAATATCAACCTTTGCCAAATTTCATGCGCACGATCTGCAACACCGGATTTCTCCGTGTTCCTTTCCGCAGCATGATGATCTCATCCAAACATTGTTTTGAGCTATGACGGCTCCTCCAACGGAATTCGGCATCTTTTTTTCACCTCCTTAGCCAATTGCCTCTTTTCCTATCAGTATCACCCGGAAGGAATGCATTTATGTTGCATAAATGACGCCGTTATTACGGACAGTATTAGCGTCAACAATATCCTGCGACAAAGCATCATTGAGAGAGCCTGAGAGTGCCAAAGCGGTGTAAAGAAGTCATCCACATTTGGCACCACAGATTCTGTCGCCCAGTCTAGTTGTTGGCAGATTTCACAAGGGGGAGAAATAGCTTCGAGTCTCGAGAGCAAAACAAATCGCAGTCGAAATCAAAGGCCAGATACGGATGAGAAACAATGATTATACATATTTGGGATCAAAGTCAAAATTCCACATTTATGCAATACATGGACGTTTCAGTCTCCAATACTCGGTTCCCTGGTGAACAAGTCCATGATGGAGTCAGGCGTCGCCAAAGAACCATCATACTCGAACCGAGCCACCTCTGGCTTTGAGATGTCTTGGCAAAAGCCATTCACACTTTTTAACTCTCTCAAAGCTTGATCCATAGTTATGATGTCGTCTTCTAACGCCAAATCACAAGATTGAAACTTGAACGTTGCTTCCCGACATAAGTGAAGGGCAGCTGGTGTAAATGGATGGACCTGTCAAATGTCAGAAACTTCTCTCAAATGCGCATCTAGCGGAAATCTGACCCTGAATATGTTAAAGTCAGATAACAGGACTTTTGACAAGAGTGCAATCTCTCTGGCTGCGGCTAGAGCTCGGTCCTCACAGCCGGCGACGAGATGACCGTGCTCTGTGGTAGTTTGAGGCACCATCCTGGCCACTTCACACAGCGACGATAACGCGGCCTGTGTAACCATGCTAGCGAGCAGCATCATCGAATCAGCGCAATGGGACATGGCCGGGCTTTGCAGACGAGATATCTGGCGTGTCAGAACGGAGTCCAGAAACATGTGACGCTCCCGGAACTCGGCAGGCGCGGTCCCGCCCGCATGTCCAGCTTTCGATCGATTCTTGTGGGCTTGTATGCGTCCCATGAGTGAGATAGATAAGACGAATTCTCTAAATGGAGGTTGTCTTGCAGAGCTTTGCGACTCCATGGCTTCCGAGAGAAATGGAGAGACTACTGGTGTCCGACACTGAAATGCGTCGTCGGAGCAGGGAAGCCGAGTGTGTATCTAGAATTGGACCATCATAAGTCCAAATGACCTAGTATATACCTATCATAGGAGACGAGAAGGGCTGGGCCATGGGAAAGGATGGGGGAAAGTACCTCTGATTCGGCCAAAGTCGGAAGCAGGTCATGTACCACGCAAATGATAGTGTCAAGACACAATGCCATCCAGAAGGTTCTCCTCTTTTCCTCTGTCTCAACAAACGAGCCCGGATCTTCGCTAAGTCCTGAGGTCTTTTCCCAGCTTGCATCAACACTGCTCAGGCGCATAAGCTGTACCAAGCGTATAGCTCGCCCGGTACTCACCCAAGCACGGCGGAAACCGACCTGCATCAGCTCGTAGATTGCAATGAGAATCCATGCCTGTGCCTGCCTCAAGAGGCAGTCTTCTTTCTCGACTGGATTATCTAAAGAGTCAAGAGCCTTGAGCCGTTCGAGCGCTTCACGATACAGGGTTTCGCGCATGTGATGGAAATGCGAAGAAAGTGAAGCGGCAATTGCCCACATTGCATATTGTAAACATGCATGTGGACAGTTTGTTCCTTCTGAACCCGAATCAGCATTTGACGTTGGCTTCTGGTTGGTCTCTCTCGAGATACGAATGTATTGTGATTGTTGCAAGAAAGGCGTAAACGCGTGCGCCCGGTCAAAGTATAGTTGATCGCTGGATAAAGTACGATACTTAGCGGCAGGTTTCCAGACCTTTAGATTCAGCGTGTCCCGAAGCGGATACTCACAGATCAGCCCTCATCAACGGCTCTATTTCCCTGAAGGCCTGGTGCGACGGCCCCTGCATAGTCGGAAATACGCCGGCATAGTTGAAGGTATCCTCGGCAATGATAGGCAGTGCGGTGAAATCTACCGATGCGGACGGCTGAATTGGGATATCGGAACGAGCCTGGCTGGGCAAAGCCACATCGGGGAGAGAAGTGAAGAACTCTGTATCGCCAGAGAGGTTGCCCTGAGGGCTACAAAGACTGGCTTCACCAGAATACGAGCCTGAAGAAGCTCCGGGTTTCCTTTTTAGGTTGTTGCTTCTTTCAGGCGAACCATTTACGCCGCTTCTCGCCAGGCGCCGCTCAAGGGTAGCTATGTCCTCACCCTGTCAGCATCTTCAGTTGACAAGTGGGAACACGGCAACCAAAAATAGTGAGGGCTGTCGATACGGAGTTGTTGACTGACCGATTCTTGATCTAAGGACTCTCAGTTGATCTCTCTTAGATGCTGGAGGTGGGTTGGCCAGGCCGCCTTGGCAACGTACACCTGCACGAACACACCCACCACAAGGCTGTTTGCGGTCACATCCCAACTTGCGTATTCTACACTGCTGGCAAGCCAGATCAGGACTTTGGCGCGGATATCTTGTCGCCGTGCTGCTGGCTGTTTCAGTATTGTCTGTCGTTGATGCTGTCGCGGACGGGGGCGGCGTTGGGCCATGTCTTGGGTGCGACTGACACAAAACGCCACGTTCAAAGCAGGGGAGACAGAAATCGCTACCTGGTAACTTTTCCATTGCTGCTTTGGAAGGCTCTGTTGCAAACTGTAGAGACCGTGCTCAATGCAAATGTCAGATTCTGACCATTATTTTTACACGCTGCGCCGCCCAGCATGCACATTAGTCAATATTCTCACTCAGGGCCACCAAGAAGTGGTTATATATGCCAAATGCATGCTAACTACCGTAGCGTTTGCCACTTTAGCGACATGAGCTACATTCGGATAAGAAACAATGAACCTCAATCAATATAGGTAATGTGCGTGGTGACGATCCTTGTCTGTGATGAAAAACACGTGAAATCTGCGAGAACGTGCCATCATGAGTTTTTTTGGTAATCCTGAAAGAAAAGGAACCTGCCCCTGAAAGTTTTTCATCAATGAGGCTAGGAGCCATGTCAAGAGCAACGTTTGCTGTTTGTTTGCTACCCGGGCTGTTTGCCCCTTTCCTCGGGATGCTGATCCGGCGCGCCGTCCCCTTCATATTTCTTTATCCCGCCCCGCTTTTCCTTTCTTTTGGCCGTTGTGTTTGCTTGTTTGCTCCCTCGGCTGCCAGTTTGCTCGTTGGCCCTTGCATGATCATCTTTGCTAGTTGATTACCGGGCTTGCTCTTCCGCCAGTCACCCTTCTCACCGGATTCTACCCTGCGATTCTTGGTTCGGTGAGGATCCCAAACCTCTGAGGGAGAGAGAATCCAACCCCCCTCTTCCTAGATCAAACAAGATGGATGATGTATGTTTAGCTACTGAAATGGACGATGGGAAAAAGCGGCTGAATATATTTAAAGACAACGAAAACCCTAACCAGATTTCCCTCGTAGCCATCTTTCAGCCCTAGAAGCAGGTAAAGCCAACAGCTCGAGAGGTTGAGGTTGATATCCTGATTCATCGAGCTAGTGCAAGTTCGGAACAGATGGTCTTCTTCATTTTCTTTCCAACTGAATCTACAACGAGGAACTCTCATACGATGTCCTCATGTTGCAGCTGACATCTATCTAAAGAGGCCTCTTCTTATCGATCACGATTGCCTCAGCCTACCTAGTCTGTGACTGCCATTCAGAGAAATGGAACGCATCTGACACCTGAAATAACCAAGCTGAGGTGTCCGTTTTGTCCTAGAGACAAAATAATCACTAAAATATCAAAGACTAGGTAAGGTCCACAGAAATATTTATCACTCAATGGCCGGTGCGCTATTAATTGGTCTCTCGTTTACTTGGTATCTAAATTACAGACCAAACTCAAAGTCCTACTTATACATGCTTGCTATCCTCACTCTACTCGCTGGGTACTGCAAGAGCTTCGTCAATTGTCTTCCAGGTATGATCTGTGACCTTTTGAAGATCCTCCTCAGTCCAGATAGCCTTATTATCAACCACCTTACCATTCTGATCGATACAGCTCCAAAACTTGCCATCCTTCTCCGATGCTTCGTTCACTCCCTTTAGGAGTTTTTCCGCGCAAGTATCCGCCGGCACACCTGCAACACTCGTCAGGATCCGTGTCGGAGCCCGAAGATACCACGGCATTGTGTGGAAGATGTTGGTCTGCACGAGGCCCGGGTATGCATGGATGAAGTGCTGCTTCTTGCCCTTGTTCTCATTCGCATACGCCTGGATCACAGCATCCGTCATGGACAGGCAATGGTTTGCCGCGTTTTGCAGGCTAAAGTTCTTCTTCAGGTCCAAATCGTCCCAGATGAGCTTCGTCGGGCTCCCACGGGTGCTGTCTAGGACGATGAGAACTTTGGCGTCGTCCTTCAAGATGGGGCTCAGCTCGCGGATGAGCAGCTGCCTGCCGTAGTAGTGCAGGGCCATCTTGCGGTCGATGCCTTCAGACGTCTCGTTCCGGCCTGCCATGGTGAGACTGCCCTGCGTGAGGACGAGGAGGTCGAGCTGCTGGTCTTGTAGTGATTTGATGTCGTCCGTGTATCGCTTGATGGAGCGCATGGACGAGGCGTCCAAGGGGCGGAATTTGATGTTGGGATGGGGGAGGTCTTTGGGCTCGGTGCGGCCGCTGATGGTCACTTGTGATGAGGCCGAGGCTGCGGCGAGGCGGCAGGCTATGGCGTAGCCAATACCGCCGGTTCCTCCAACAACTAGAGATCGCGTAGCCATGATTGTCTATGATGTGTGAATGAGAAAGAGGAATGTGCTACAGGTCATGTTGTAGATTTGTAGTGTAGTTGTAGTATGGGATCATCTCAGGAATCAAGCTGCTTATCAAAAGTTGAGCTTGGCTCGGTCTGGGGTTAGGCCGATTCCGAACACAGTTAGAGCTCTCCTAAGTCCGCCACCTCGGCGTCGTCTGATTGGCTCAAATCAATTGAGGTCTTTCATTCCATGCAAAGAAGCTTTCTAACTCCGCAAAATCCGCCACAGGTTTGAGTTCCAGCCACCCACAACTCTGGTGTGAAGTGGCTTCCAGCATTAAAGCTATTGACTGTATGGATATCCGTACATAGAATGTACGTGATGCATGGAGGATACCTGCTTAGATAAGTCCCCAAGACCGCTCCAACGGTCTGCTAGGTTAATCGTTCCTTGCTTTTCACGCGTATCACTTCCGCCCTCACTCGCCTTCGTACGTCATCTCTCCCGCACGCAGAGCTGTAATCGAGGAGAAGTATCCCAAGGACGGGAATGGAATGGAAAGTGGTTTGAATGTCCCTTCCCGAGTCTCCTCCCCGTTCGGAATATCTTACACCCACTCCCGGGCAGTTTTATTTATAGCACCGTGGCATGTCCTCGTAGCACGTGACATCGCCTGGGAGCCTTACCTAAGAACGAGGGATGTGCCGAAGTGCCGGACTGGGAATCTTAAGTTGGCCACTTTACCAACTGCATCAGTGCATGGCAGCACCCCAAGAGTCCCGACTCCCCTGCTCGCGGCTCTGCGGCAGCGTTAACTCTGGGCGAGCGGGGGCCGCTGACGCGTTGTCTGGTCTTTTGGCGGCTCAGCGTTAGCCAAACAGAGACATCGCGGGACGCATGGGCTGCCGATGTTCCAGGCGAAGAGCTGGAAGCCTGCCATACCACCATACCTACTACTACTACCCCACTACCTACCTACATGATGCCTGGTCCGGCCTGGCATTCCGGGTGCATTCCAATGAGCTGAAAGGGGGTGAATTCGGGAGCTAGGGCCGTACCTATTACCTTCCCCATCTTTCCTCCCCTGGCCGAATGTTCCGTCGTCCGTCATGTTTTCCCCCTAGGGCTGAGGTTTCGATCTCCCGAAAATCTGTCCCCTTTCTTTTGACGCTTCCTCGCCTTGTTGTGGTCTCGACAAACGCGCGCGGTGGTTGGCATTGTCCCACGTCACACGTCATACAACACCACCACCACCGCACCACACTCAAAGGTGACAAAAGAAGGTGTTCACTGGTTAGGTCGTCTGGGATGTCACTCTCGGCCCTACCACACTAACTTCAGCCCTTTGGACGGATCCAACGTGCTGGGCCACACCTAAACTGGGTCTCTTCTCCGAATCTTTGCCCATCCCACTGATTGTCATTCCGTTCTTCTTGGCAAACTGCGGAGGGCCCCCCCAGTCTGGTTCATCAATTCGGCTCCTCGATTTGTTCCATTTGTTGAAATTTGTACCGCCCCCAGTCCGTGGAGACTTCTTCACGTCGGCGGTGCCGAGCTTCCATTCTTGTCCCGTCTACCCTACATAATCACGCTCTCCCCTCGCGTTCTGCGAGTCTTGTAGAGGGACGATGGGCATCATGGAGAAACTAGGGGTGAAGGACCCCTTGGCAAAGCTTCCCCACAAGCCGCAGTCTTACAACGACAAGTATGTCGTTGTCTACGACTTCAGTGAAGTCGGTATGTCATTTTCGCAGTCTTTTTTCCCCCACAATGATGTGGGAATGTGGCTGAAATGGATGGCGCCGACGCTGACTGCGCCCAGATTCTGACACCTCCGTCAAGGAGCTCACCACCCTCCTGAACGAACTCCAGTCTGCTGGTCTTCAGACGGAAGTGAGGGCCGGCTACGATCAGACCCTTCTCATCTTCGTCAAGGCTCCTAGGGAGCTTCTCGGAAACACCGTTTACAAATCGAGGTCAGTCGGAGACCCCGTCGTCACAGTCAGTTGAAAGCCTTGGCTAACATCCCACCAGAGTAAAGGACTGGCTCTATGGCATTATCCCCGAGCACCCCGGCGGCACAAAGACCACCGTCGTCGACGGTGCCTTCGAGGCCGAGGACATCCTCTCAGTGCACCACCTCGTCAACTGGCCCAAGTCTCTAGGTGGTGCTGGTGTCACCCCCGAGACGGGACAGTGGAAGAATGTCAAGGCTATTTTCCCTCTCCACAACGAGGGGACAAATCAGTCTCTCATGAAGCACCTCAGCAAACGTCTGTTCTTGACGCTGGACGATATTGATTCTATCCGCGATCTCTGGGGAACCAAGGTGAGTTTCCGCACGTCCACCCTCTTTTACTAGGCTTTCTGACAGACACTGCACCTAGGTCGCATTCTATTTTGCCTTCATCCAGACCTACCTTCTTTTCCTCACTTTTCCCGCAATCACAGGTGTCATCGCATGGCTGTACTTTTCAAAGTACTCACTCACCTACGCCATCTCAACCTGCGTCTGGTGCAACATCTTCCTGGAATACTGGAAGATCCAGGAAGTCGACCTCAGCATCCGGTGGAACGTGCAAGGAATCGGCAAGGTCAAGGTCAACAGGCCACAGTTCAAGTACGAAAAGATTATCAAGGACGAGGCCGGCCAGGAGAAGCATTACTTCCCCAAGTGGAAGCAGGTCTCCCGCCAGCTGCTCCAGATTCCCTTTGTCTTGATTTCGGCCCTCGCGCTGGGCGCCATCATCATGCTCGTGTTCGCCATTGAGGTCCTCATCTCGGAAGGCTATGATGGGCCTTACAAGAACCTGATTGTAAGTCCTTTCCATGATTTGTTGGTACTCATCATATGAGATGCTTACCATACACAGGAGTACGTCCCTACGTGCTTGCTCGCCGTCGCGCTGCCATACATCAGCAGCGGCCTCGAAGAAGTCGCCACGATACTAACGAACTACGAAAACCACCGAACCGCCGATTACCACGAAATGTCTCTCACGCAAAAGGTCTTCGTCCTCAACATCATCACAAACTACCTCCCCATTCTCATCACGGCCTTCATCTATGTCCCATTTGGCGACGCCTTTGTCCCCTGGCTCGAGAGTATGACAAAGGGCTTCCTCGGCGCCATTGGCCAAAAGTACATGGACGACGACCTCACCTTCCACGTCAACGCCGACAGGCTCCGCGACGAGGTCATTGCCCTCGTCGTCACGGGTCAAATCTCGGGCTTCTTTGACGAGAACATCAAACCCGTCCTCAAACACAAGGCGCAAGAAATCTACCGCGAGTACAAGCGTTCGCACTCAAAGGACACGATGCTCATGTCCATCGTCAAGGACGCGCCCGACGAGGCGAGGTTCCTCCGCAGCGCGCGCAACCAGGCGACACTGGACAAGTACAACGTCCAGGACGACATTGCCGAGATCGTCCTCCAGTTCGGCTACCTCGCCCTCTTCTCCCCCGTCTGGCCCCTCATCCCCATCGGCTTCCTCATCAACAACGTCGTCGAGCTGCGCACCGACTTTCTCAAGATTTGCATGGAGCACCGGCGCCCGCCCCCCGTGCGCACCGACGGCATCGGCCCGTGGATCAACTCCCTCGACTTCCTCACCTGGGCCGGCAGCCTCTCGACCGGCGCCATCGTCCACCTCTTTGGCGCAAACAGCATCGGCGGCGGCGCGTGGTGGGCGCTGCCCATCACCATCTTTATCAGCGAGCACGTCTTCCTCGGCCTGCGGTCCGTCGTCCGCTTCTGTCTGGAGAGCATCGGGTCGGAGCAGATCCGCAAGCAGAGGCACCAGCGGTACGCGACGCGCGTCAAGCACCTCGAGGAGATGGAGGCCAACAAGCAGGCCGGGCTGATGCTGTCTGTCGCCGAGCGCGAGCGGCGCAAGTCGATTAGAGCCATGGGACAGGAAACCTTCTGGACGACGCAGATTGACGACGGTGCGAGCGCCGCGGTGGGAATTGGTCTGATTCAGTCGGTCAAGAGGGCCGAGGTGTTGAAGAACGGACAACCGAAGATTGACTAGCAGGCTGCCTGTTTTTGATATCGAGGCCAGTCCATACTGTAAAACTGGTGAAACGCCGGTAGAGGCTTTGGAGCATAAATACCCATGCCAATAGATGTGATTCACACTATCCGCCCCGTCTGTCTGCTTGACGGGATCGTGACTAGAGCCAAGCGGGGAAGAGATGAAGGGGAATGGTAACATGTCTTTGATATCACATCGCAGCGCTGACATCATCGGACCTCCAATCCTTAGCCACGAGGTATTTCGACCAGGGCGACATTGCAACTTGAACCGACGACTACCCCTCCCTCTGCGAAGCCGGCAAACTAGTCCGCGCGCTATGCGCGCAGCTCAACGTCCAAACCATGGTGCTGCAGCACTGTGCCAACTTTTAAGGACGGCCGAGGGGCAGCAAGGAGAAAGAAAGGGCGTCTGAGCGCGCAAAAGGTTGGATGGAGATTATGAGCGCCGTGGGGACGGATATGCTGCAGGTCAGATCATCGGATTCATCAGGCATCCGCCGCCATGTGAAAGGATATCTGGAAGATTGTGCAGCTCGCTGACCGGCCCAATTTGTGTCTCTGCCTGGACACCTTCCAATCCGCCGGCAGGGAATGGAATCCGACGACGGCCATCTGGACGCATCGAGACGAATGGCAATAGTGAGGAAGATACCAAGGTGTCTTATGAGATTTCCTGACAAGAACTCACAATGGCGGTCTCTCCGGAGAAGATCTCCTTGGTCTAGATTAACAAGGAATACAAGGTCTCTTCGCCCCGGGGCGAGGAGCCCGACGAGAATGGGTTGAGGCCCAAGGGGCGGCGGAGTCACGACCATCGACAGTTGCCCTCTGATGGGGTTTGTTTGCCCATCTTGCAGTTCCTGGAGGCTGTCATGAGCACGGGATTCAGGTGATGGCTTTCGGTCGAGGTCTTTGATGGAGAATTCGGGGAAAAGTACGGAGGTGAGCTGCTGCGATACGCGAGGAAGGGGAGGGGCGGCGCGAAGATGCTGGGAGAGATGATTGTTGGTTTCTAGTTTAGGAGACTGCGGTAATAATCATACAGTAGTACATGAGTGAAAACCCACTCAACAAGCTCAACAAGCTTAATGCGTTGAGTCACCTTTCTGCTGGTCCTCCTCGACCGCGTCGAACCTCAGAGGCACCTCACTCCCGGTCCACGGCATCACTTTCAAATCCTTCCAAATCGCCAACCACCGCCTCGCCTTCGCCTCATACGCATCCCGCACCCCAATCGTCGGATTCGGCCGAACAACCATGGCAAAGTACTCTGACAAGCCCCGCGGCGCATACACCCGCCACTTCCCATCCCCTTCCACCCTGACCCCAATCATCGCGCTCGTCGAAATCCACGTGTCGATCCCGGCCTCGGTCGACTCGTGCCGCGGACACGGCGCCCCAAACTTGGCCTCGTACCACAGGTGCACCCTCGCCTGGTTCCGAATCTCCACCTCGCCGGAAATATCGGCAAAGATCTGCTTGCCGCGGCGGATCACGGCGTCCTCGGCCGCGTAGGAAAGGTCCGAGGCGTCGTGGTAGACGAGGTCGTAGTCTGCGATGCCCGTGGTGGGCGGCAGCGAGGAGACGTGGTTCCAGATTGTCTGGGAGACGGCGCCGCCGGCGAGGTACCAGTTGGGGAGGTTGAGGGTGGTGGCGAGGGAGAGGACTTTGACGAGCGTCTGGTTGGTTTCGAGGACTGTGCGGAGGAGAGTGAGTTGCTCGCCGAGCGGGAGTCTGGCGGGGTTTAGTGCGGGCATTTTTCTGCCTTTAGTCTTTGGTACTCTTGTTCTCGGTGAGGGATTGAGAGTGAAGTTGAGGTTTTGGTGATGTTTTCACTTTTTTTTCTTTTCCACGAAGCGAATGACTCAAAACGCGTTGGGAGCGTGTTGATATTGGTGTCGAAGGATCAATCACATCACGGCAGGGGGCTGATACGCGGCTTACCTAATTTGTGAATCTGTCGGGCTTTCTTTTCGCCAATTTTTCACATCGCTAACAGGGTGGAACATGTCGTGATTGAAAGGATCTCAGTAATCCATAAATGAGACTTTGGTGTTCTGTACAAATAAGATTGGATCCAACCAAGGAGTCTTGACTCACTCCGAGGCCGAGCAGTGTGGCTTCGTGAGCTGAGCCTCTGTGAAATCGATGAATTAGATAGAACTATTCAGACCAAAAGAGACCGGGATTGCTTGATCTATAACCAGTCCATGTTTGACAAGCGGCAGAATCACTCCCGCTATCTTTTATGATGCTTCCTTGCTTCCTGACGCGAAGCTGCCAATTCCCAAACCATCATATGTCTGGAATACATGTATGTTGTTGGGTGAAGCATGTGAGCAGATCTGTAGAGATGAGCGCGAATCGGTAGCTTGCCGACCCCGCCATTACCCCGCAATCATGAAGGGGCATCGCGTCGCGTGTTCCATTCTACATCTAGATGACGATTCCATCTTTCAGCTATGAAGGTCTGCATTGGCACACCGATGGCGACTCAGCGAGAACTCGCCCAATCACGCTTCATGCTGAAGCAAGCCTTTCCGTTGAGGCTGGCCCGGGAAACGGTACGATTACCCTCGATCTCATCGTCCCATCCGTTTCATCCAGTGACTTTAGGTGCAATCACTGCCGCAATGTGACCGTGGTATCGAGAGCGTACAGCTCCTCCGTCGCTCACTCACGCCTAGCTTACTACATGTAACGAACAGGCCAGGCAACCAGACTGCCGGCGAACATGATCAATAGAAGTTGCGACAATCGATGCTCCTTTGCTATTCAAAAAGGGTATTATGCTTTCCTTAAGATCAATCATTAGGCGTTACGTCTACCCAGCTCATGAACCATCCTGCTCATCAATGATGAGGAAGTTCAGCGGCACCAGCCTCTCGTTATCATGTGAAGCCTCCCTCGTCGACCTCCCCCCATAAGCCACTTCTTCCTCGCTACCATTCTCGCTGATGCTTTTAATGTGCGCCAAGGCATCCTCATCGCCTTTGCTCGCCCTCGTCGAGAATCCCCTGCTACTCGACCTCCTCCTCCCGGACCGTGTCTCGCTGTGCCTCTTTTGACACATGACGTTTCCGCAGCATTTGCAGGGGAAGTATGACATGTTGTAGGCGTCTGCGTGGCCTGGCCGCGGCGGACCACTGCTGGAAGTGGTAATATTGGTGGTGGAGAAGGGCGACGGTCGTTTAGCTGGGTCGTCGGTGACGCGGATCGGGGACGGGTCCGAGGTCATTCCCAGCTTGTAGCCGACGGTTCTGAGGAGGGGACGGAGGGTTGCGAGGCTGCCCGCTGTGATGGCGAGGCCTTGTTCTACTGATGACCAGATGGCGATGTCGAGGGTGGACCCTAGATTCTAGTCAGCCTTCATAATCCTGTCAGGGGGACACCTCGAAATAGTCGACTTACAGAGGAAATCAGGATCTTTGAGGCTCATGAGATACCCAAAGCGAACCAACACAGCTGAGCTGGCACTGCCACCTTGGTCAGTCCTATCCACGTCGAATTGGTACCGGATGATACCGCACTTACACGCAGCCCATGATCAACAGCGGGATCAGGGCGATCTTGGCCTTCTTCTGCAGCTGGAGTTTCCAGACAATAAAGGCAGGAAGGATGGCAAAAGTCAAGTCGGATATGACACTGAAACCACTGTACAAGAATGCCAGGGCAATGACTACATTGATGTTGATGCAGCTCCCCTGCTGCTTCTTTTGCCAGAAGAACGATATCGGCTGGCACTGGAACAGCGTCACGAAGAAGAAGACGACTCCGGCCAGGACGGTGAACATCATGGCCATGTAGATGATCCAGCTGTGGAGCTTTCGGGTGGTGATGCGTAAGAGGAAGAAGGCGATGGACATCTTTGAGACGATCATGCTGAGGGAGTAGAAGAGGTAGCAGAACCACCAACACTGTGAGTTCGTGTTAGTATTATTCTATCGTACCCTGACTGTTCAGGTTACCAACCTCGAGTGCTTTGGGGATCTGGTCATCTTCGATGTCTGCAAAGTGCCTTCCGGTGCCATAGTGAACACCAAGTATTGAGGAGGTAGAGTAGCATATGAAGAATGTCTTTGATCGAATTAGTCATGTTTCCTCACACAACCAACGCCGCGCAGTCGACTCATGCGTACCAAAGCCAAGACCATGAGCCAGTCGTCCGTTCCAAAAGCCTTTACCAGACCGGCCCGGACATAACAGCGCAAGGCAGTGGTTAACACTGTCGCAGAGACGAAGAAGAAGTTGACAACCAAGAGCTCGGGTCCACGGTTCTCAATCATGGGTGCCATATTTTCGTAGATCTCAAACTCAGATATCGATCAGGGGTTCCCTTTTCTGGAGCAGGCCCTCCCATTTCCCATTTGAAGAGATGCAAGACTTATGGGGATCGTGGGAGAGTGAGGGAGAAAGGGAGGGGGGAAACCAGGTCGTACAATTCTTTATAATTCTCCCTCCATGAATAAGAGTAAAACCGCGAGACTGACGCGGGCTGTGAAAGCTGCCAGACGCCTTCGTTCCCGTGCATCGGGCGCTAATGCCAGGGGCAGATGGGTCTCCTCTTGTCACATTTGCATCTTCAGAAGTCAGAATACGAAACCTTGAGTCGACGGCGTCAGATAGTGCGCCCAGAGAGCTTGGCAAGTGCCGTCCGTCTCTTGGATCGAGGAAAGGCGGGAACAAAACTTCGGTCCTACTCCACCGGGGCTCTCCTAGTACATGCGGGTTGGGAACCATTTACGATGAGGCAAAGTTGGCATACCCGGAGCAAAAAGCTTTGGCAAGCTTCACCTTGAAGAAATGCCATAACCCGGCGACAGACTCGGGATGGCGGCGGGAAGATATGCCTCGTCCGCGTCAAGTCAAGCTCTAGATCTAGCACCAGTCCTCGTTTGGCGATGGCCCCCCGATAGACAGACGAGGAGACTGGCCAGTGGTACTACTGCGGCTTGCTTTCTCGAAGGGGCGCTAGAACAGATCAATAGCCGTTCCGGCACGCCACGTCGAAACGGTGGCCGTGCCAGACCATCTCGCGTACGTCTAGCTTGGTGTCTAGCGGTTTTCTCGCTTGTATTTTCGCTGCTGCCGGTCCAGTCCAGTCGCTTGGAAGCTTCATTGAAACAAACAGGTGAAGGAGGCACAAGTAAATTTCATTTCGTCAGTGATAGCGAACACTGACTTTGTTGGAATCCTTGGTGTCTCCTCGCGGTCGGGATCCTTCCGATCCGCACCTCCTTGTTGGCAAGAGATATCGGCCCGTGGGTGTGTGCCGGGCCCCGGGCCCTGGAGTCGTCCCACGATGTAACACATGCTCACATCGGCCACGGTCACTCAAGATCTCAAGAACTCGATCAAATCGAACGCGTGGCCGGCCATCTCAGAGACGCCAACGGCAAACATCTGTCATTTGTCAAGGTGAGGGTTTGGGAGCTTACAACTCTAAACCACTCGTGCGGCACTCCTGTGAAGCCTAAAACGGTGCGGCTATGAACAAGATTGCGACGGCTCCAGCAGTCTAGGGGGAACTCTAGGGGAGCCGAGACATCCTTTGCGTCTTTTCTCTAGGGCGCCACAAGGCCCAACTTCTCCAAGATTTCAATGATGGTTCTGTCTTTGACGTTAGCAGTTTTAGTCTATTTGAGAAACGTTGTGAGCACGGATCCCCCCACGATTTCGCTTTCCTATTCGGGCATTGGGTTGCCATGAAAGACCATCACCTCACTTGTTTCTATTGTTCATGATGAAGACGCCTTTTTCGAAGGATCAATTGAAGGGTTGGAATGGTCAACGATGCGCTTGCTGGATCATCTTGGCTTCTGGCCGGTCCGCCGCTTCGGCATCTTCCCGACACAGGTTCATCGACAGATTCTTCCCCTTGTGTACAAGCCAGGAAGAAAAACACCCTGATTTCTCACGGCTCTCTATGAGACCTGTGCATCTCCTGCTACCAGGTACATATTTCACGGATGACGGACGGATGTCGGACCTGGCGATAGTTTGTTTGCAGTATGGGTGTGGAAGGGTCGGAGATGAACCCCTTAAGAGACCCCGGATTGGGTTCATCCTTATGCACGGTTTAATGGGCAATCCAAGCGTTGCCTGCAGAATGTCACACTTCTCATCCTGTCCCCTTTTCATCTGGATGACTGCAGGGACGGTAGGGCTTGTCCCGCGGGGCCCGGACAATAAGGAGGAAGGCATCGCGAGCTTAACTTCGGCATGCAGCGAGAATTGCTATTTCTTGGCAAGAGCATGTTGTTTAGAGGAAGAATCTAGTAATTCCTAAGGACCCATGGCGGATCGAATCTTGGAGATGAATAGCTAAACAACACCAATCTCATCCAGACGGCGCCGAAATTGTCACTGCGAGACTGTGGGCTCCTCAAAGTACGGCCGCTCCGCTTGCGGCGTGATTCTCAACATATGCCGTCTAGTCGTCCCCTCTTCCACCCGGAAATCTCGCAGAGCAGAGTGCTGAGTATTCCTGTTGTCGTATACCACAACCGTGCCCAGCTTCCAGTGGACGCGCAGGTGCCAGTCCTGGCCCCTCTCGATGTGGTCGAACAAGAATCCTAGCAGCGCGGCGCTCTCTTCCTGCTTCATCCCGACGATGCGCTTTGTGTACAGCCGGTTGACGTAGAGAGAGAGTTGCTTGGTGACGGGGTGGGTTCGCACGACGGGGTGAATCGTTTCGATGGGCTCCCTGATGTACCGGTCTCGGTGGTCGTGCACCGAAGCTTGGGAGAAGCCGGAATGAACAGCTTTCAGGCTGTGAAGCAACGTCCGGTACGTTTCTGAGAGCGCGTAGTAGGCTTCCGTCGTGGAGAGATAAAGCGTGTCACCTCCGGACGATGGAGTGCTCAAAGGCAGGAAAGTCGTCGTGCCCATTCCGTTGCTGCATGCTATCAGCTCCGAATCCGATGCCATTTAATCATGGGGAGCAGACTTACATCTCGTAGCTCATGTCGCTGTGCCACTTCACGCTGGTGACATTATCCTTGATCTCATTATCGACAGCACCTGCGCTGAGTGATGCGTCAATAAATCATCCAAGTCTTGTCACTAAAGTGAACTCACGTAAAGTCGCGGTACACGGGGAGCAATTCCGGATAGTCCTTGATCTGACCACCCATCTGGTGGACATGGAGTGGACCAAAATGCTTTCCGTAGGCCTTTTGCTTCTCGGGCCCAATGTCTGCAAAATCTTGGTCGCGAAAGATCACTACGCCACGCTCGGCTGCGAGTAGTGCTAGCTCATCTAGTTGAGCAGAGTTGAGCTGACTGAGCTGGATTCCGTGGACCTTGGTTCCGATAGCTGGGGTGACTTCTTCATGGCTGACTCCGGCAGCTCCTAGCAGGTTCTTCTTCTCCCGATCGGCTCTCAACCCAACGTCCTCATGCTGGAACTCTTCCAATGGTGGCTGAGATCCTGGCACAAAGTGCGGCAGGTAACTTTCATATTGATACTAGAACCAGTGAGAAGCTGTAATTTGCCAAGGTTGATGTGCACGAACATTCTCCTGATTGTAGTCAATAGAGGTTTCAGCGCGAAGCTGAAGCTTCGTGGGCTCCGTTGCGGTTATGGTGTTTACTTGTGTCGCCATTTCGATGCAGGTCGTCAAAAATGTATGAATCAATTCGCGAGAAACAACAAACACCCAACCTGATTTAAGCCTGGTCGGAGGCTTATTTCCGCGTAGATAGTACATGGAGGGCGTGCTAGCACGCGATCTTGTGCTTTCCGTTGCGACATCATCCTTGGAGATTCGTCATGATGTCTTCGCCCCAACATTGGTCAACACGGGCGCATTCTGTCCGCATCTTATCTTTCCCCACAATGTATTGCATGTCTGCGGCATCAAACCCTCCTGCAACAGGTTTGGGCCTGTGATAATCCTCCCCTTGATGAATTGCGGAATCGAAATACCCTGCTTATTACCGTTAAACTACCCGACAACTGTTCACCTGCCGGCATACCTCGTGCTATGTGCGTGGCTTACGTCGGGCGGTTTCCGATATCCTTGCTGCACTGAAGTCACGAGGGTACCTCTTCGAGAGTTTATCAACATTATCGATGCCAATGACGTGCTACAGCCTACAAGCAGAAACCGTGAATTCTATATGAATCGCCAGCGGCGAGGGGATCCAGACGCTTCGCTCATCCCAGGTAGCTCAGCAGCTTAAACTCATTTGTTCTGTGAGAAAATGGCCAGTGACAGCGGAAAACAAGACACAATAGTGTCTGCAGAGCCCGAACTTGAAGTAGCGTCCCCTGGGAATGTTAAACGGGGGATGTTCTCGAACATCTCGCACAAGATCTGGGGGGACGATCCGCAGGAAAGGAGATATGTTCGGAAGTTGGACACCTTCCTCTTGTGAGTCAGCTGCTAGACTCCATTTGACGTTGGCCTGACTGACTTTCAGAATAGCTCTTATGTGCTTCTCGGATATTTCATAAAGTACCTAGACCAGAATAACTACAGCAATGCCTTCATCAGCGGCATGCAGGAGGACCTTCATCTCTATGGAAATGAGAGAAACCTCCTCAACACGTACTTCAACATCGGCATCATATTGGGCACGATTCCGGCCCAGATGATCCAGTTGAAATACGTTCGCCCGTCGATATGGATACCCGCGTGCGAACTCGGGTGGTCCGCCCTGACCATGGTCATGGCGAGTGCCAAGAACGTGGAAACAGTATGTTAATGTAGCAGCGGCCAACATAAAACTCGAGATAGCTGACGCAGTCTCTTTAGCTCTATGCTCTGCGCTTCTTCATAGGACTTCTAGAGTCCTGCTCTTTTCCGGGCTTTGCTAGCATCCTGGGGAGTTGGTACGGCAAGTCACAACTCGCGAAGCGCATGGCGTTGTTCGAGCAGACCGCTGCCATTGCCGGCATGTTCAGTGGATACCTGCAGGCAGGTCTTTACACTGGGATGAACGGGACGGCTGGGCTATCTGGCTGGAGATGGCTTTTCATAATGGATGGTTGGTTGTCGGCAGACTTGTAACATGACGTGGAGCTGCTGTTGACTATTCGCAGGCATCATCTCAATCCCGATTGCCTTGTATGGTTTCTTTGCGCTCCCGGATTTACCCCACAACACCAGGGCCTTCTACCTTCAGAAAGAGGTAAGATGAGATCATTCCTATGCCAATGTACCGTGCGTATACTTCAGACTTACAGGAATCTACAGGATCGTGAATATGGCATGGAGCGCATCAAAAACATGGGTCGGAAGCCACCGTCGAAGCTTACTCTCAAAGGCATCAAGGAAATTTACACCTCGTGGCAGCTATGGGCTTTCATTCTTCCCTATCTCATGGTGGCTGAAGCTGGGTCCGGTACCGGTTATTTCAACCTCTATCTCAAGTCTGAGGGGTACGGTGTCGTCAAGACGAACATCCTCCCGACTATAGGTACCTCATACACTGAGTGCAACTTCAATGCGTCGTATGCTGAAATCTTGTCTACTCTCAGGAAACGCCATCCAGATCGTCGCAGCCTTTGTTGTTGGCTGGCTTTCGGATGCCACGGGTAGTCGTGTGCTTACTGTCGTGTTTGTGCAGGTATTGGTGCTTGTCTCAAACATTATACTATCGATATGGAACGTCCCTAAGGCGGCTTTGCTCGCGGCCTTCTACCTTAGTTATACGGGTGGTGCGGCGCAGCCAGTAGTCATCAGCTATGGGCATGAGATCACGCAATGGAATGCGAATCTCCGGCAGCTTCTGGTGGCTACGGGCAACATCTTCACCTACACCTTTAATGCTTGGATGCCCGGTAAGCCTCACACCATGCTGCGATGATATTGATCTCGCACCTCTTAGATGACCCCATGATCTTGTCCTGATTAGTGGTCCTATTCCCGACCTATGACGCCCCCAAGTACAAGTATGGGTACCAGATACTGATTCTTTTTGGGGGGCTTGGCGTTGCGGGCATGTACCTGCTGGACTACCTGTACAAGCGTGACTTGTGAGTCGGATCCCCCAGACTGGAACTCATGAGAAGGCTAAAATTTGAGTAGAAAACACAACCCAAAGCTGTACGAGATTGACAATCAACCTGAGAATGATCAGCTCGTATCAGAGAGAAGCAGAAATAGTGGCGCGGAGCCCGATCGCGATGTCTTCGAAGCCCGATACGGAACCATTGCAAACCTCGAGACATCGTCAAGAGCCAAGTAAATCTGGAAAGAAGACCATTCTAGACGGATACTCTTGATGGTCAGATTATGTCGAAACAGCTCTGGACTCTACCTATTTCCCTCAAGCTAATAATGCTTTGAACGTTTAAGTGCTCTAGCCGCCCATAAGTTAGATACGCAGAAACACTGCAGCGAACCCTGAATATACCCAGCATCATTTATGAAGGATTCTTTCCCCGAGAGATAGATCACCCACAGCTAACCTAATGTTATTCAAACGGGTGTATTGATTGCGATGAGCTGTAGACTGCGTCTCATTAATAGCTGCCATCATAAGGACTGGATGTTGTTCCCACAGCTGTCTAGAACCTCTCAGAACCCCCCAACCCGGCACAACGAGCCATCTTCAGCATTGAAGCGGATCTATATGATGCTAGCTGACACAAAATTGAAATAACATTAATTTCCAAGAGCCATATTCAAACGTTGAGGGACGTCTACTTGGCAGACTTACAGCTGATCTTGTCTATGGATCGTTGTAGGTGAGCTGGCCGACTCGAGGATCGTTCTTCCTGTCTGATGGTCCCGCTGACGTCCTTGGAGACGATTCACTTAAAGATGAAGCAAAAGTTAGAGACCTTCCTTATCTTCAAACATCAACGACGAGGAATTGATTTGATGATGTTGACGTTGCAACTTTCGTATAATCATTGCGGATTGTGATTGTAAGTATTATGCGCATAGCTGCTACAGTATAATCAAACCCACGCTGGTATTGACAGAAAAACTCCAGAACCGCTTCCCCCACGCCACCGTCTACTGATTCTGACTCAATATCACATCGGCAGCCTTCTCGCCAACCATGTACGTAGACACAGCAGTGAACGTGCCAGGAATGCGAGGATATACCGAAGCATCAACGACTCGCAGACCAGACACACCACGCACCCTAAAGCTGGAGTCAAGCACAGCCATGGGATCGTCATCGGCGCCAATAGGGCACGTCGAAGAGGCGTGGTGGCCCCAGGCCGTGTCCTGGATATACTGCTTCACAGCAGCGTCGCCCTGGACCCCGGCGCCGGGCAGCTCCTCCTCGATCGGGACCAGCTGGCGTGCGAAAGCGTCGCGCGCGAGCTTCACGGTCACCGTCATGGCCTGCAAATCGGCAACAAAGTTGCCGGAGCCTGTATCAAAGTAGTTATAGAGGATGTCCGGCACGTCGAGCGGGTCCGACGAGCGCAGCGTCACCGAGCCGGCCGTGTTGCGCGGATGCGACTTGAGAATGGCCCAGCTGAACCAGTCGTGCGCGACGGTCGCGTTGACGCCGTAGCCGGGGTAGTACCCGCGGAAGTTGACGGGCCCGCCAAACGCGAACACGTCCCACTCGTTCCTCTCGGCAACGGTGCTCTTGTAGAACATGGTCGCCGCGAAGCCCGAGGACTCGTAGACGCCCCGGTCGCCGAGGATGGGGGTGTTCCACCGGGCGAGGCATGGGTCGCTCTGCCCGTAGAACCCAAACGTGCACCCGTTGAGCGAGCTGAAGTCGGCAGGCGTACGGCCCTGGACGGTGATCTCGTAGTGGTCTTGCAGGTTCGTCCCGACGCCGGGGAGGTCCTTGACTACGGTGACGTTGAACTTGCGCAGCTCGGCGGCCGGTCCGATGCCGCTGAGCTTGAGGATCTGGGGGGAGTTGTAGGCGCCGCCGGCGATGATGACCTCGCGGGAGGCGGTGGCTGTGCCGCGGATGCCGGCACCAGCGTTGCGGGAGCGGGGGCTCGCGCGGTAGAGGTACTTGCCGTCGAGGAACTCTACGCCAGTAGCCTTGGGCGGAGAGGAGTTGTCGAAGAGGACCTTGGTTACGTGGCAGCTCGTGCGGACGTCGAGGGGGTACCGCTTTGCACCTGTGATGGTCTTTGCGTCGCGGACGGCGACAATGAACTCGCGGGAGCCGACACGGTGGGCATCGTTGGAGGAGATGGGGATCGGGTAGTAGCCCGGCTGCGTGTCGCGGACGGCGGCCACGCTGTTTCCGTCACCGGCGAGAAGTGTGGCGATGTTGAAGACCAGGTTCGTCTCGTTTCCGAGAGCGAACGCGCCTCCGGTGATAAGGCTCGAGAGTTGGGGATCGAGGAGGGCGAGGTTGAGTGGTGCCGTCTCGGTGCTGAACCAGCCGTTGTAGCCGTGGCCTGGGACGCCAGGGAGGAGGTAGCGGTTGTTCTCCATGCGGATGAAGTAGTTTCGCATGTTGTCCGCTGACCAAGATGAGTCGCCGGTGAGGCTGGCAATGTAGTCAAAATCGGAGCGGTGAGGGTACACCGCGATGAGTGCATTGTGCGCGGTGCAACCCCCAAGGGTGCCGGAGCGCGGATACAGAGTACCCTTCATCTTGGAGCCGGACGGCGGGTTGAGACCCGTGTACTCGCCGCCGCCGGGAGTCTCGTATGAGGTCTTGAAGTCGCGGGCTTGTCTTGTCTCGTCGGCGTAGTGACGGACGAAGAAGTCCCAGGCCATAGCATCGTCTTCGGTGGACTTTGCTTGGTACGCTGGGACTGTGTAGTTCTCATTGGCGCCCTGGTCGTCGCCGGCCTCGATGAGGAGGGTTTTGCGTCCGGCGAGGGCAAGACGGGCGGCCAAGACTCCACCGCCGGCGCCGGAGCCGACGACGATGAACTCATAGCCAGTCAGGTCGACGGCTGCTACCAGGGCTATTGATGCGGCCAGCAGACCGTAGAGATTTGTGAACCTCATGGCGATATCTGGTACGGAGCGTGTCCTTGCTAGAGTCAGCCATCAGATGAGAATTGGAGGGTATAAAATGCCGTGAAGGCCGTGGTATAGTAGATAATACACACCTTGAGAGGTTCGTTGACGCCGAGGTGTTTCTGATGACTGGCAGATCTGGAGATCCAGCCCACGAGGGATCGCAAGCTCTTATAAGCCACGATCGTCGAAGAACAAATAAGCGCACATGACGGTGATCTCTCGTGGGTGGCAGCTGCTGTGCAGTTCATCCATAGGGACTCAGCATAACGAAAAATGCCACCCTGATCCATGTTCGCGCCTCTGCGCCTAGAACTAGTCAATAGCCCGGACACTGTTCCGGACCTTCTCGCGGCGGGGTTGCTTGCTCGGCCCGCCAAGGCATTTTTGGCGCCTCCCTTTCGTGCTTAATCGAGTCAAGGTTTTGTAGTGTGTTGGGAGAGACAAAGGAAGGTGACGACATTGTAGATATTTGGGAAGTTCAGGCCAGAGCAAGGGGCTTCAAGGGGCGGTGAAGGTTTATGAAGGGATACGAGAACCTCAACTATCGGACCAGGTAGGAGGATCGGAAGGAATTTGATTTCTTCGAAGAAACCAGTGAGATCAAAGCTGAGGGAAGAAGACCGAACCCTGTGTTGATTCTGGAAGATCGATATCGGCTCGAGAGCTCGTGGATGTTGTATTGCTTCGGGGCTGCGCCCACGTCAAGCAAAACAGATCATCTGATGCAAAAATAGCATTCTCCCAATGGGCCAATGGGCCATTCCTTGCACAGTCCTCATCTCAGCTTTCGGAACCCGTATCGTCTGAAGGCTCCCAGCCCGTTGAAAACGATTGAGGTCATTGTGCTTCTCGTCTTTTCCCTCGGGCTGGAGACAAATTACACTTTACTAGACCGCGCGGGATGGCCCATCGCCGGACAGGGGGTCCCATGCTGCCCTCGACAACCAACACCGCAACGACCTCGAGAACGGCAGACGTGCAGAGCGGCGTCTGCGGCCTTAACCTCTCCCAAGTGGCTCCGGTGGCGATCATTGTCGCATACGGCAATACTCTAGCAATCTGCTGAGACAGTTAGCATGCCTCTTTCAGTGAGGGCTGCTCGCTAGTCTGGTGTTAGTGCTCTCCTCACCCACCGCTGCGACCGCTGCAATACAACGTTGAATCTTGAATTGGCGGGTCTTCCCCGCACTGAGTTCACTGCCAGTCTGCAGCTTCAGTCTGCCGTGCGGCTTTGATTGATCTCGGCCGTGAGTGTCCTCCGTCCGGATGGGTGGTTCGGGATCTCATGCAAGAGCGAGACTACGAAGTGATGCTTTATGCACGAAGTGATGGAAATTACCGAGGTAACTCCTAGGACCGAAAGTCGGTGACTCGAAATGACGGAGATGGCGCCGGAGGAGAATCTCTTCGGCCGGTGGGACGGCGAGCGGCTGGTCCGCAATGAGTTAGTATCGCGTTGAATTTGTCGCTAGATAGCAACTATTATCATAACAACCTTAACGGCCCTTCTCTATCGCATCTAATATCGATGCCCGTGAGTGATCTCACTGCAGCACCTACCTCTGAAAGCAGAGCGACATGCTCAATTCGAATGTATAACCACATGCACCAGGCGATTGATGGATAATTACGGGCACGCCTCAGTGGGAGGTTCGTGCTCTCCCTGTTTCTTGCTTCTTTCTGGCCGTTCCTCCCTTTTCAAGTCTCGACTTTTTGGAATTCAACGGGATTTTTTCGTAACTCTCAGAGACCAAGAAGCAGCTGGCTTGTTCAACATCGGCAGTCGTCGTCGCACTCACCAACACCACCAGTCCGCGCTCTTCGAGACGACATGGTTGCCAAATCAGGCTAGAGTAAAAGGCTTCATGTGCGTCGTGAATAAGCTTAATACGCCCGAAGCCGAAGTCGCGCGGCATAAGCGCAGGTTTTTTCTCTTTCGCTAGCGGTTTGCCGTCAAAACGATGATGATTAGGGCCAGTTCAACGGCTTGTGTTTGGGTGCTCGTTAGGTTGTCGGTTGAACTCTGAAGAATTGCCCCGGGGAAGTCGTCTCTCTTCCGTGAAGGGAAAAAGGTCGATGCGCCCATTGGTCGCTCGGCGTAGAATGGTCCCACTTGGTCCGCCATGACTGTGAGACCTAGCCCTAGCCTTCGGTAAGGGGTCATGTTCCCCATTGGCTTCAAAATTTTCAACATCCAGCATCTGTAGTGTAGTGGTTATCATCCTTGCCTTCCATTCCACATCGGGATAGCAAGGGACCCGGTTTCGATTACCGGCGGATGCATCACACTGGTTAACTTTTTACGTTTTTTTGACATGGAAGCAGATTGTCGTGATGTTCTGCAGTGAAACCAAGGTGTCTGTCTCTGGGTGGTCATTTGTAAATCGCAAGCTGCATTGTATCAGTTCTTCCTTCTACAGGAACGGTGGAGATGCTCAGCGTTACACATGAGCCCAGCTCGAGGAAAGAGAGGATGGACATTTCACTCATCGCAATCTCAGGCTCAAATAAAGCACTAGGTTCTTCTCAACATCATCATTGCACTATCATATGCTGACAGCGTCGAAACGCTCAACACCCTACACCCAGCAACCAACCTTGGCATCCATCTCATCCATCCGACCCCTAGATAGTAAGCGTCCCATTGACCCTCAAATCCCGACTGCTCGCCCCAACCCAAACACCATACTCCCCCTCCGCTAACCGCCACTGCTGCGCAACAACATCCCAAAAGCTCAAATCCCGCCTCGTCAGCACAAACTCCACCGTCGCGCTCCCGCCCGCCTCGACAAACACCCTCTCGAACCCCCGGAGCTGCCTCGCAGGCGTACCCTCAACGGGGATCCCAACATACAGCTGCGCCACCTCGTGGCCCGCCACCCCACCCGTGTTCTGCACCGTCACCGAGACGGCGTAGACCTCCTCCCACAGCGCGGGGTGTCCGCCCTGCACGACCGCGACGTTCGGATCCGGCACGCCCGCCGCGACGGCCCCGACGGGCGACGCCGAGAGAGACGAGTACGCAAAGCTCGTGTACGACAGCCCGAAGCCGAATTCGTACCGGGGCGAGATGCCGTCCCGGTCAAAGGCGTGGTAGTCGATGAAGAGGCCCTCGGTGAAATCGTCCTGCGGGAACGGGCCCGCTTCGACGGTCGAGTTGAGGAGGTTGCCGTAGTCTGACTCGGCGCGGGCGACGGTGTAGGGGAGTCTACCGCTGGGGTTCACGTCGCCGTAGAGGATGTCGGTCAGGGAGTGGCCTGATTCCTGGCCCGGTAGGCCGGCGAAGAGGATCGCTGTTACGTTGGGGTGGTCGGCCCAGGCGTCGACGACGCGCTTACCTGTGTTTGGTATGTTAGTGATTGCTCTGCTTGACGGCATCATAGAAACGTACCGGCAGAGTGCAACACGACAATCGTGTTGGAGCAGTTGGCCGCGACGTTGTTGACAAGGCTATCGCTGAACTCGTCCGTCAGGCTGGGGCGGTCGTACCCCTCCGAAGCCCACGCGTTGATAAAGACCAGGCACGCCTCGGAGTTCACGTAATTAGGCTGTGGGTTCTCAGAAAAGAAATCCCACTTGACGACGCCGCCATCCGCGACGACACGCTCCTGGATCGCCTGGAAGGGGCTGATCACATACGGCGGTGTCGTAGCCCCCGAGCCGCCGCCGGCCACCAGCGTCCCGTTGAAGGTGTCCCCCAGAAAGGTACCAAACGACGGTCCGTAACTCGTGCTTCCCCACGGCGTCGGGGGCAGCGTGGCATCGTACCCATACACGGTCAAAAACTTGGGACTCTTGAATGGCAGCGTTCCGTTGACGTTCTTAACGAGCACCGTGCCGGCGGCGCCAATCTCGCGGATGAGCGCCTTGTGCCCATTCTGCACGTCGACGGGGTCGTGCTTCTGGAGATTCGAGTAGGCGCCGACGGCCGGGTAGTCGTCGCCGTCTTGGCCAATGTAGTACCACGCGGCAAGAATCCTCGTCGTCATGTCCTCGACTCTCTCGCGCGCGACGCTGCCGTTGTTGACGGCCTCGACGAGGGAGGCGCCCCAGAAAGCTTCGTTTGGCATCACAAGGTCTAGACCTGCGTTTGCAGTCGCCACACCTGCGTATTGCGCGCCCCCTATTGAGTTATTGTGAGCAAGGTTGACATCATCACATGGATCAGAAGAGTAGACTTACAATCGCTCACCACGAACCCTTCAAACCCGAGCTCCGTCTTGAGGACCCCGTTAAGCAGCTTCGAGTTCTGGCAGCCGTACGAGTTGTTGGCGCGGTTATATGAGCACATGACCGACGCGGCGCCCTCCTTCAACGCATCCATAAAGGGGAAAACATAAAGCTCATGCAGCGTCCTGTCGTCGACATTAGACGACCCGGACTCGCCTTCCTCCACGCTCGGGTTCCGGCGGTACTCCTGCTCATTGAGAAGCCAATGCTTCGGGCACGCAATCGTCCCCGCATCCTGCATCCCCTTGGTCACGCCCCCGACGCCGACGGACGAGAGGTACGGGTCGTTACTCAACCCCTCCCAGTTCCGCCCACCGCGCGCGATACGGCCCAGGGGCCCACCGACAGGCCCGAGGCCGACGTTGATGCCCTTACCGCGGTACTCGGCGCCCAGGGCCTCGCCGTACGCGTACGAGAGGTTCCGGTCCCATGTCGCGCCGAGGTGGATGCCCGAGGGGAAGGCGGAGACGAATTCCTGCGCGCGGACGCCATCGGGACCGTCTTGGAGGCAGATGGGCTTGATGCCGAGGCGGGGCACGGAGCCCGTGTTGCCGGTGCAGAGGCCGTTCCAACCGTGGGTGAAGTTTGCGAGCTCCTCGACGGTCATTTGTGCGGCTAGGGATTTTGCGCGGTGGTAAGCTGTGGCCCATTTTCCGTTTGTCGTTCCGTTTCCCACAGCTAGACAGTCTTTGGTTAGGTTCTTTCTTTTTTCACTCTCCCGGGGAATTTATGTCAATCAGGCCATGACTGTAGGGAGGTACTGACGCGTGGGGTATACGGCTGGACTCTGTCCATAGTAAGGATCTGTCTCGTTGGTATAGCCATCTTGAGCAGCGCAGAGCGTGAGGCCGGCGAAGGCCGCGGCCAACGTTGAAAACAATTTATTGACCATTTTGAGGACCTAATTGAGGAGCACTGTTGAGCTTGCGGCCTCTCTATGACCTCCACCACTACCATCCGCAGGGCACACTGCCATTTAATAGCTTTCCTTTCCCTTCTTCCCTTCCTCATTGCCTCCCCTCCGGCTTCCCTTCGGGCTCAGATACGTCGACGGCCGAGATCTAGTCCCCGACACCGCTGCGCAGTAGTGTGGTACGCCGTCGGCCCTTCTCCCTAGTCGCAAATGTCCTCATGATCACAACCAACTTTCACCGCAGCCGGATCCACCACTGCTCGGAATCCCTCTTCCAGCAGCAAAGAGGCCCAATGATGATCTCATCAACGATGCGGCGCCGACCGCTTGGGCAAGCTTCTTACGATAGTAGTCTGTGGGGAAACCCCAAGTCAGTCCACGTCGTTGGTGCCATCCACCTCTCAACGGCGCGGGGGAGGGGTGAGTAGCCGTTGGTGGCCGTTGGTGGCTAGTTTGCTTAGTTCTCGTAGTCCCATCGTAGGTCCAACTAACCGGGTATGCGAGGCCAGGCCACCAATAATTCGCCTGGAGATATGCAATGCAGTCTGGAGGCTCTTCGGCGGTATTTTCTTCTACGCGCGGGGAAATCGCGGGGAAATGGGGAACCGGGGATGGAACGACAAGGGTTTTTTTTAAATGGCAGGTGTCCCAGGTAGCTATACCGGAGAGTATTCCCATGTCACCTCCGCATCTCCAGCGCGATGCGATGCCGGCATGTGGAAGAATGCGGGGAACGTCGTAAGATTGGGACTGGCCGGGTTCCACTTCTGGATTGGTTCGTGACCCGGGGACGGGAAGTTCTTCGGCAATGAAGTTGTTGACATCTTTGTCCGAGGTCGGTTTGTAAGTCCTGATTGACTTCATATTCCCCCGCCGTCGTCGATGAGAACGGGCGGGGTGGCAGCCTTCGGGGAATCACCGGTTGAGAATACGTCCGATTCATGATGAGCTCGTGAGGAAGACGTATAAGCGAGCCTTTGCGATTGGTCTACCCTCTTCTGAGGTCATTTTTAGCTGAATGATGGTTGCAATTCCCTGCTGGCCCGTCCGAGTGGCGTGCTGGGGGGGAGTGGTGACCCGTCGGTCATGTCCCTTGAGAATCTGCCATTGTTGGCCATCGATGACAGGATCGCGGCCATACATGGCGTCGGGAATAATTGTCTCGAGCAGCGGGTTTTAGGATAGCCTCGGTAGAACGCGTAAACTTGTCATGGAGCGACATCCGTAGGACAAGTTACCCCAGCCGGCGATAAGGAGTTGGATAGTTGTAGCCGGCGTCCATAGCCCAGGGCGGGTGATTTGGATTCTAAGAGAGAAGTTTGTAAGCAAACGTTTCGCCAAATTCAGATTGCCCACTCGAACGCACATAAGATGAACCTCCCGGCTAATCAAGTCGGGCAGCCTCCTCTTTTTCGTCGCACCATTCGATGTCACGCTTAACACAACATCTGCACCAAGTACATCGTTGGACGATATCTTGAGGGACGCCAGCACCGCAAAGCAGAAGAACTGGCAGAAGATATATCAGCAGATTCCCCCCCCCTAACTTCGTGAGCTGACGGAAACTCTCACTGCGTCATGGCCGTGTATATGGATTGCTTGGTTCCTGAGGCTCCCTCGGGATCTTATGGGGGATTGAGCACGTTGTTCTGGCCCGACGCTTCTCTTGTTTGTGTATCATAGTACGCCCTGGTCTTTTCTCTCTGAATAATTTCACACTGGGTACAGAGCCACCTCAGGCATAAGTTACAATCGCATGTGGCGCTGAGATGTTGGCCCTGAATATCACCTTTGAGCTGAGAGTCGCATTCAGGGTATAGGCACATGATGTTGAGAGGGCGCCATTTGAACTGCGGCTCAAATAGCTTTCCTCCACCGACAGAAGCCTGTCATAGTATCTACACTCTTCGCAGAGATTGAAGCCTCACTTTCCGCAGGGTAGAGCTCCAGCCTCGTCGCATTCGACGTGGTACAATCTGACTTCGATTTGCTCATCCCCGATGACCATAGGAGGCAAGCCGCAGGAGAGCGTCCAGTAGTTAGGCCGATAGCGACCGCTAAAGTCTTGGCTTCGTATCGAGCCGCGGCCATCGCAGATGCAGAGCCTCTTGAGCTTGTCGAATACGGAACGGGAGCCGAGGATGTGGGCGTGGTGGTTGTAGGAAAAGTAGGCCATTTGGCTAAAATACCTGTTGACGCCGATAGGAATCGAACCCAATTTACCCTACTTAGCGAACTTCCTCTTTCACAGTGGTTCGTCTGAGCTAGGCGGAGAAGGTCCAGCGCTGAAACGAACTCCGTGATGGTGGACAAGATCGGATAAAACGAGATGAGATCCGGAATGGACGGAGGCGGTGATTTCGGGGCCATGGAGAAAGTTGAGTGTCCGACAGTAGATTGTGCAGCGAGCACAACGATATCGAGTCAAGTTGTCTTTGCTATAGAATGACAATACACGCGTTCCGTGGCAGATCTGATGCTCAACCACGGCTCAACGACGCGAGTCATCGCTAGGATATGCCTGTCTCTCAGCACCAGGTCGACAATGCCGCGGTTCGGAGATGTTGGCTGTCGAGCCGCACGAGGCTGGATACTTCGTGTCCGAGCCTGGTATCCATCAAGACGACAGTGAGGAGAGTACCTATCGTGTCAACTAGCCGCGGTCAAAACGGGAGACAATTTCATCAAAAAGTCTTCATCAAGCTTTAACTTAGATGCTTCAGACGACAGGAATTCAAGATTATGGCAACCCAGAGCCGCATTAGGTTTGAACCTCTTGTCCGCCAAGGACAGCTGAGCCCAAACACGGCTTATGGGCGAGGAATCAGCGCCGGGTAGCTGCCAAGGGTGAATGAAGTAATTGACTCATCGAGACCATCGTCCACAATCGTCAGAGTCAAGGGAGTGGTCGGCATGACGGAGCGTTCAGGTTCCCGTAGATCTCAGGGCTGGCGACGTCAGCTTCGGTCGTCGTTTTTGTTGGCTTTTGTTGGATTGGAATTGATACAAGTGTCAGAGAGCGTCTGGTTTCATCGGATGTTGGAGGAAAAGGTTGTTTCAGTCTATAGCTCCGGCATGGTCCAGCCCCTCTTCTGGCCGTTCTAGAACACTGCGCTGTGATGGGAGGATGAACCACTGCGACGTTGGCTCGAGTTCAAGGTATAGAGATGGACAGGCCAAGGTGAACGAGGTAACATTCAGAGACGAGCAGGTCCCAGATATCTTCCGGACGCAGCGATGATCGAGTGGTATGTGATCATCCGGACCGCTTGGATTAGCGCTGAAGACCGCTGGAGAAGAAGCTACTGGGAGCTCCCAGGCATAAAGACCCACATAAATGAGTCATGACCAATCATGACCGCCAAGAACGTACCTGTCCCAGGGGGAGTTCCCCACTCTGATGGCCTGTGTGGCATAAGGCTGCACCGCGAACGGCCAACAGCATCGCAGCAGCAGCCGGCAGCGCAGCCAAAGAGGTCCTCTCGGTGCAGGCGCCGAAGGTGAGATAAGCCAGTCCGATAAGGATAACACACCTGACCGAGCTCCAACCTTATCGCGACATCATCCTCGTCGCCTACACCATCCCATCCCACCCTATCCCGTCCCGTCCCATCCCAACCATCTTCCCGTCCTCTCTCTACCTTGTCCTCTTGCATCCTCATCCTCCCCTTCCTGACCTTTGCTTCGCATCTTGGCTTTCCTTTTCCCATCATCACCTTAATCCTATTCCTTTCCTCTTAAATATGCATCGCTCCAACTCTTGACCTCTGTCGTGTAACACATCCTCTCTTTCTCCCCCATTCAACATGGCCAATTCCCTGTCGCACAGGTCCAGCCGGAGCCCAGCCTCGTCCACTTCGGCCGGCCGAGACTCCACGTCCCTTTCACATTCCAGAGATCACCGTGATGCACCCTCCACATCAGCCTCCGCCGCTGCCGACCATGTCCCAGTTGAGACACTGGTGGAACACCTGCTCGCTGCCAAACGCTCGCTCTCGTCAATGACCGCCGTCCTGCGAGCAAACGAAATCGCGACTGATGCACGTCAGGCCCATGAGGAGGCCGTCGTCTTGTATGCCGAGACACAGTTCCTGCGAAGAGCCATCTTGGAGCAACTGGCGCTCTTGATGAAGGTCCGTCGCGGACTAAAGAGAACCTACGACGCCGGGAAGCGCGACTTCAAGCACCTGGTCAAGACCATGGATGCAACCAATGAGAAGCTGCAGGAGACCATGGCCATGCTCAAGAACACGACTGTTGAAGCAGGTTTTCGGCCGCCTGGCGAAGAGCGACGCAACCTGATGGATTTCGTGGACGAAAAGAGCGTCCACGTCATGGTCGAGGCTCTGAAGCAGAGCCTCGGCGAGCTGCAGGTGCGCGCCCGAATGCTGCTGAGCCTGGTCCTCCCCCACACTCCACGGTAGCCTAGGTAGCTGACAAGACCACCAACCTGCAGGCCATCCAGACATCCTTTGACGGTGATCTCCTTCGCTTCGACGACGACCTGCGAGCACTGAGGAAGACGATAACGGCATCACCTCTACCCCGATTGCCCTCCGACTCGTCGCAGTACGACCCGATACCCGAGCTTCTCGGTTCCCTCGTGGACCACTCACATGCCATGGCTGAACTCCTCACGTCCTTGACAAAGCACTTTGACCTGTGCGTCACGGCGGTGCGGACAACTGAGGGCGGCGCGGCGCTCGCTCGTCGTAGGGCGGCAGAGGTGACGCAGTCCCAAGGCGGCGATGGCGTATCATTATCCGGCGTCATCGCCGACCAGGAATCGCACATACCCGACCTCGAACCGATAACGACGGAAGATCGGGCGGAGATGCTGAACGTTGTCGTCAGCGATGCATCTGAAGTCGAGGGCGTTATTCAAGAGATTGCCGAGACGCTGTACGCCATGGAAGAGGAGTTTTCGGCGATGACTGGGCAGACGGGACAGATCAAGTCAGCGTTTCTTGGGACGCTGCAAGGTTTCGCTGCGCTGGAAGAGATGGGCGGTCGCATGGCCAGCTACATCGCGAGCGAGGCCGAGTTCCTGCAGCGGTGGGAGGACGAGCGCTACACGATCTACACCAAGCTCGGCGAGATGGACGACCTGAGAGATTTTTACGAAAAGTACGCGGGCGCGTACGACAACTTGATCCTCGAGGTCGAGCGGCGCCGCATGGTGGAGGACAAGATCACAAACATATGGAAAAAGGCAATGGACAGCGTTGACAAGCTCGTTGAAAATGACCGGCGGGAGCGCGAAGGGTTCCGTCAGGACATTGGCGAGTTCATTCCAACAGATCTGTGGCCGGGTATGGACGGCGGGATGAAGAGGTGGGAGCTCATTGCCGTTGATGACGGCACCGCCGAGGACGACGTGTCGGGCGGGCAGAGAAGCACGCCGGCACTGGACCGGAGCGTCGTGGACGCGGCCCGGGACCGACTGGAGCGAAGCCAGCAGCGGTAGCAGCGTTGCAGTCTCACAGATTGGCTCGTGTGTTGATTTAGATTGGTCGAGAGTATAGTATTCCCGGGAATTGGTTTCATTGGCGTTCACGGCAGGGCAAAGACGGTGGCCTCCAATCAGGCAAGGGATTGGGTTTTACGGTTTGGACGGCGGCAAAGTCTGTTTCTGATTATCATTTGGCTGGTAATCTCATTTTCTTCGGTCTTGTATGAAGCGCAGTATCATATCCATAGGATCAATGACCATTACGATCATGGCTCTAGTGCAGCTACCTATTCCCAGTTTCGTTATCCATGCTGGACTGGTCGATGTGTTTAACTTCACGCCTCTAGAGGAATCAGTGACAAGTATCCGTAGGGGAGCACCAGGACGAAATTGCAAGAGGGACCCCACGAGCCGCTGCGAGTCGATTTCTGGGCTTGGTGTTTATTCGACGGGGTCTTTGTAAATTGCGGGCCCTTGCTTTTTGGGGGCCCGCTATCTTTACGATTTACGGTAAGTTGGGGTTGGGAAGAGTCTGGGTCGATGCAGCAGGTCTCGCTTGGCCTGGGTGGACCAGTGGGCGAAATGGAAAATGAGTGGACGCGTGCCTTGGACTGGGGCGGTTCCAAGGTGCCGATACCCGAGGACTCAGGAGTTGTCTCAGTCATGAGCTGTCGACATGCACAATGTGCCTGGTTGCTGCGGGAATGTCACACGACAACCCAAACTGGAGGTGCACAACTATGTATCAAAAGTTCAGCCAGGGCCGACTGCTTTATTATATAGAAGTTTGGAGGTAGATGCTGTAATAGTTCGTCCAGTGCCCATCAGCCGACATTTAGGGGATTGGCGTCTGTCATTTTGGAAAGATATCCCAGGTCGACCGCAAACATTTGACGGAGCCAACTTGGACGTAACACCAGTGAAGATTGGTGCCCGCCTAGAACCGGGAGGACCCAGCCAAGCCTTGGCACGTGACTCCCGGCACATCGACGCGTAACCCCTGCGCAGCTGAGGGTCGCTGCCAACCCGGCGCGACCCCTGGGGGCGATGGCCGGCTCAATGCCTGGATGGCCTGCCCAATGACGTTACTATGTGCGGCGCACGGGTCAGAGCTAAACTGGATTGGCTTTTAAACTTACTTTATGGATTTGGGGGCCTTTTGGGTTTGGGTGGTTTTTTTGGCAAGGTGCGATACGGTTCGATCCAGGGCGGCGAGGCCAGGAGGATTCCAATTGTCACTGCTGTTGCGCAACGCCAGAGAGAAGCCCGAGCAAAAGACCACACACACATTGGATGTAATTAGGTAGGCACACAGAGAAGGAGGGACGTGCAGAAAGAGGGAACCGAACCAAAAGAGGAAAAGGGCGGCCTGCGGTCGCTGCTCCTCCCGTTATTAGTCGACCTAATAGCTCCGTCATTGAAAGCATTCCAACCACATCTGAGACTAAGACCCCTTCTATTCTATTCTTCTGTTGGTGTGTTTTGTTTTTCTTCCCAGCGCACCTCACCTCATTTCACATCACCAAGGCGCATAAAGAGCTTCCTGTCTGGACAGCATTCACCACCTCGCTCGCTGCTTTGCTTGTCCACCTTCCGTCGCAAATCGTCCATCCGGGCAGACACCCCCACGATTGACACTCTGGTATCGACCGTATCATCGAAACAATGTCGCAACCCTACGGCGAGTCGGCTGGCTACTATGGTGGCCAGCAGCAGCAGCAGCCCCCGTACGATCCAAAACACCCACAGCAGTATAACAACGGGTACCAGCAAGACTACAATCAGCAGAACTACCAGCAAGGATATCCTCCCCCACCGCCTCAGCAAGGCTTCGACGGTGGCAGCAATGGCTACGGATACAATGCGCCGCCCCAGGGCTACGACCCGGAGAAGTACACCTTTGAGGAGGCATTCAAGATTGAGAAGCCCAAGTGGAATGATCTCTGGGCCGCCATTCTGGTGAGAATCCCCCCCCACCATTGCGACAACTTTAACTCTACCTCGACATAATGCGCGCCAATTGCTAACAAACCCCGCGCAGTTCCTCGCCGTCTTCCTCGGCTTCGCCGCCGTATCTGGCCTGACGATATCCGGCTACTCTGCGACAAAGGGCCTCAACGGCGGCGGCATCTACGACGGCGGCAACGACTTTGGCCTCAGCACAAACACCATCGTCCTCTTCGCCTTTGTCCTCGCCGTCGCAATCGTCCTGAGCTACGCCTACGTCTGGCTGGCGCGCCTCTTCCCCAAGGCTTTTATCTGGGTCACGGGCATCCTCAACATCGTCTTCGCCCTCGTCACCGCCATCTATATGCTCTCCCGCAAATACTACTCGGGCGGTATCGTCTTCCTTATCTTTGGCGTCTTCCTCGTCTTCGCCTTCATCAGCTGGATCCCCCGCATCCCCTTCTCCGCCCTCATGCTCAAGACCTCGATCCAGGTCTCCAAGAAGTACGGCCACGTCTACCTCGTCTCCTTCCTGGGTGGTATGCTCGGCGCCGCCTTTGCGGCTTGGTACTCCGTCACCCTCGTCGCGACCTACTCCAAGTACCAGCCGTCGCAGAATAACCCCCAGTGCAGGAGCGGCCAGTGCAGCCAGGGCAAGGTCATTGGCCTCATCGTCTTCATCACGTTCGCAATGTACTGGATCTCCGAGGTGCTCAAGAATGTCATCCACGTCACCATCTCGGGCGTCTACGGCTCGTGGTACTTTTGCGTCAACAACTTCCCCAAGGGCGCCACCCGCGGCGCGCTCAAGCGCTCGCTGACCTACAGCTTTGGCTCCATCAGTTTCGGCAGCTTGATCGTTGCCGTCATCAATCTCCTCCGCCACCTGTGCTCCGTCGCTAGACAGCAGTCGGCCGCGGACGGTAACATTGTCTCGTACGTGCTCTTCTGCATCCTGAGCTGCCTCATCTCCCTGCTCGACTGGGCCGTTACCTTCCTTAACCGATACGCCTTCTCCCACATTGCTCTCTACGGCAAGGCGTACATCCCCGCCGCCAAGGACACCTGGAAGATGATCAAGGATCGCGGCATCGACGCCCTGGTCAACGTGAGTACCTCCCCGCAACCCCCAGGACTGCCATACCAGCAGACTAACACGTCCCAGGAATGTCTCATCGGTCCCGTTCTCTCCTTTGGCGCCACGTTCATCGGCTACGCCTGTGCGTTCCTCGCCTACCTGTACATGGTCTTCACTCACCCCGCCTACAACCAGAGCGGCAACTACACCCCGGTTGTGGTCGCCTTCTCCTTCCTCATCGGCCTGCAGATTGCCAACGTCTTCACGACGCCGATTTCCAGCGGTATCGATACCATCTTTGTCGCTTCAGCGTGGGACCCCCAGGTTCTCATGCGGGATCACCCTCAGCTCTACGATGAGATGGTTCGGGTGTATCCCCACGTTCAGCAGGCTATCCACGCCTAATGTGGAATGTCATTGCGTGCGAAATACCCAAGAGAGGTCTCCGAGGAGATGGTGTGAGAAATTGGATACCCCAAGAGAAGTCGATAGGTCCACTTGGACGAGAAACCTAGTACTAATGAAGAAATGTTGTTTTATCAACATGTTGACATGTCATGATCCTCTACGTTGGGGGGAGTCCCCTTGCGCGCAAGCAGCGTGGTGAATGTATAATGGAAAAGCCGGCCGGCCTGATTCTTCAAAAAGTCAACCGAAAAATTCAACAAAACGTAATGTGTCCCTAGCAAGGCTCGAACTTGCGACCTTTGGATATCCCTAGATGATCTAGAGTCATATATATTTGATATGAGACCAACGCTCTACCGACTGAGCCATAGAGACAGCTGTTCATGTGTTGTGCCCTCAAAGAGGGGACCAAGTAGGCCGGCCCCAGCCGACGACGGAACGAAAAGAACTGTTGTTGGTCGTGCCGGATGAGACAAAAGATTTTTGACCAGCCTGGGGGTCGAACCCAGAATCTCCTGATTACACGATCTCTTCAATTCCTCAAGAGTGAGGATTGTGGGAAGTCGTAGTCAGACGCCTTGCCATTGGGCCAACCGGCCGTTGGGAGAGCAGAACCGAGTGGAACTGCTGTTGGGGATCTGGATTGAATTTGGGGTTCATTAATGGATGAGATGGTCTTGCGGGGCTCGAGTGTGGTGGACTCTACGGAGGAAGCTAGAAAAAGTTTGCGCAGAGATTTTCTTGGGCTCTTTTTTCGCAGACTTTTTCACGATAATGGGGCCGGCTGGACGGGAGTGTTGTGGTGGAGGCCGGTGGATGCGGGGATGGCCGGGTCGGTGACGAGCGGATCGGGGACGGAGGGCCGTGGTGGTCTGTGTTTGGTGAAAAGAATGGAGACGCGGGGCGCCGGGATGGCGTTCGGCGAAGGGCAGAAGAGCAGCAGCAGTTTTGACAAGCAGGTGGAAAGGTCGATCGCTCTCGGGGCTCGCTGAACAATCATGCACAAATCGTCAATACGACGCTTCAATAAGTCCGGTCAGGGTCAAGATTCAAGTCAGGTCCACAAGCAGTATTCTCTCTCATTCAATTTGAAAATGACCGACTCTACTTCGTACGTCCCTCTCTAATCTAATCTCCAACATTCCCCCCTTTCTCCCCTCTCCTCTCTCTCCTCTTCCTCACCTCCGCCGCTGCTACCCTGGCTTCTCCACTACCCCGGTTGACATCTCCCAGCTACTAGCTAGGCTAAACTCGAGCGCGTTGCAGCTTCATGGTCGGCTATCGTTTTTCCTCCAAAGCTCAGCTTGGGCGAACCCCCCAAACAAGGAAAACACGACGGCATTCCTCCTGAATCTTGTCATGCTCTCGACATGGACCTGTCGACGATCCTGTCGAGTTGCCACTGGTTCCTCACAAGCACGGCATAGAGCACCATTCGGAGCATGCCTCACGGGCTGCCGACACGTGTTGCCAACACACGTTCCCTCAGCTTACCAGTCACTATTGCCCATCTTGACATCTTCAGATGTCTCCACCACTTGGACATCCTCATGGGAGCAAGGTTGATGAGGGGCACTGCTCAATTGCTCGGTTCTGTTAGAGACTGATTCTATTTCTGTTGGTTCATTATCAATATCCATGGGGTCTCCGATGTCGGGATCAGCACCACCGCCGTAATCCGAGCCCGACGCGCTCGGCGCGTCAGGCATGTCTTGATCTTCCTCTTCTTCCGCACGCGTCTCACTGGCATCGCGCCGCTCTGTATCCGTCGCGAAACCCGCACGCTGCTCGTTCCCGCCTGCGCTACCCGTCGCCCCTTTTGAAAATATCAGTCCCCGCGCCCACCCCGCAAACCGAAAGAGAAAAAAGGACTATAACCGCTCATCTTACCGCACTTGCAGGTTACATAGTAAACCTTTCCCTGGATGTCGATCCAGGCGCCGTGCTCGCTGCCGATTAGGGACCCGCCGCTCTCTGCCGCAATCTCTTCGAACCACGAACTCGCGACATTGCGCTCCTGCACAATGAAGCGTGATAGAAAAGGACAAGATTCCATCGTTACCTGACCTGACGCGCGCTTCTCACGGCGTTCTCTATTACCCAGCGACTCCAACTCCAATCACTGATTTGGGTCCAGCCTTGTGTTGAAGCACGGCGAGCAGCTGAGAAAAAAGTCCCCTCTGTGTCGTCCTCCCTCCAAATGATGAATGAAAAAGGAAGAAGGAGGAGCGAGCTGGCAGCGACAGATGGGTTGTATGGCCAATTTATGGTGTGAAAGAGAGCCTAACTGTATTTGGTTTAGTGGTGTCCGGACATCTGCAGGCCCTGGCCTATTATTTCTCCGCCTCGAGATGAGTGAGCGATGCGCCCATAATGATTTTCCGTCGTACGATTGGAGAGAGCTCCAGGTCGGGGTTGGTACTCTTGCATGTACAAGAATATGGGAAAACGACTCTAGTATTGCATATCAGGATCAGTATTGCTATCAAGCATAATATGAGCAAAGAGGTATCAGGAAGCAGTATGACGTCCCAATCAGCAACAGCCCGATGAACACAGCCCTGGATACCGAGACTCTTCAAGAACGATCACACCACCCTTTTTGCCGAGTCCTATCAGGCTGATGATTGAGTTCGCCAAACGTAATAGGCGCTCCCGTCCCAAGCTTCTCCAAGATCTCGGGCGTGACACCCGCATAGTCCACAAGAGGCTTCTTCCTAGCGAACTCGGACGCAGGAACCTGGAGTTCAGATTGAAGTCAGCCAAGGTACAAGTCATAGATGTCGTAGGTTCGCGTCGAGATAGACGAGTAACCACTCACCCAGTTCCCACGTACATCCTCCCGTATCCTAAACGGAAGCTGAATCAAACTGACAGGCCCGGCCGTAATACCCCGCGTATCCATATATCATGTGACTACCCACCGTCGTCTCGTGATCCCGACAGGAAACGATCCTATACACATCACCCTCCGGCGCGTCCTCCGAACGGGGGAAAAGACACGGCTCGCCCCTTGACTTGGTCGGGCCAGCATGCCACAACCGTTGTGGTTCCCGCTGTGATGTCGATATACAACACGGCCCCGAACCCATGTGGCCCGGGTCCACCGCCCAGAGACGTTGTTATACAGTTTGGTGGTACACCAGTCGTCGCAACGCGCCATGTCACCGCGGATGTCGCTGATGATGGACGGCAGCTCCATCTCGCTCTCCTAGGCGGCCGGGTCCTTCTTGAATCAGACGAAGTTGTCCATCGGGGCCGGCTGTTGGTAGTGGAGACGCGGCGGCTTCGAGCTCGAGACTTGCTGAGGGAAGCACGGAGGGCGTTGACGTCAGAAAAAAAGGCGTCGATGTAGATGAGGCTGTTGGCGTCTTCGGAGTATTTGCAGACCTGGCCCCAGTAGTGGTTCTCGAACGGGGTCAACCACTTTACGTCCTCGGGTTTCGAGTCCCGGCGCGGGAGCACGCCACAGTCGTTGGCCTGGGCGACGTGGAATGGTGAGTTAGACATGGTCGACAAGCATTTGATATGGCGCGGGGAAGTTCTGTTGCCCTTGACAGGAGGGGTTTCGTCGGGAGTGTGTTCCGTTATCTTTCTTCATGTACTCCCGGTCGGTAGCTAGTCCTTTAGGTGAGTTCATGCACCACGACCCAACTCCTACTTCAGGTCTCTCGAGGAAGTCACATACTTGTCTGACGCTGCCATGCCATGAGTCTAAAAGACGACCGGACTCTTGATCTATCATTCGTCCAGCACATTGCTCTCTTTACTGTACCGGTAGAATGGCAGATCGTTTGAGCTGTACGTTAGGCCCTGACGAACGATATCAACAACAACCGACCGACGTACCGTAGCCCCGAAGCTCCCACGCCGTAGGCGAGCGTCTCGTCCGTGGAGACATCAGTCTTTCTGTGAGCGCAAACCTTCTTTGCAGAGAACCGGCCCTCTAAACCATACACGCCTTCAAACACCCGCCATCAGCTTTCCCATTTTCGTAATCTCGAAGAAAGGGGCTCTGTGGTAGGTACGGACCAATAGTATCAAGCATGTCAGGGTCCATAAGAACCAGCGGATTATCCTCCTTGAGCACGAGCAACTTCTTCCTCCTCCACTGCACGTGCGTTTTCCCCAGCGACTGCACCTCGTCAAACCACCCGCAGATCCCCGACAAACGGGTTCCGGTACGTGCCCCACAGCGGGGTCCGGGCCGCCCCCGCATTGTTGAAGCGCGGGATCCGCACAAACTGTTGCCGAAAGTCGCCGACGCCGTTGAAGATACGCCACGCATTGGCAGCGCCGTCGCCGTCAATCCAGATATCTTTACCGTTGCGGCTCTGGAAGACGTAGTCGATAAAGATGCGGTAGACAGCCCCGTCAATGCTGGGCGGAGATTGCAACGTGGGTACTACCTTACGTATAGGCCTACAGAGTTCGTTACAATTCTTCACGAAGGCTCCGTTTCCATTATTCGATCTCCCGCATTGGCCAAAGCATCACTGCGCACCAAAGCATAGTCGCAACCAGTCACGTCGCTCCCCCTTTTCTCAGCTCGAAGCCCAGACGACAACTGCACCAAGGGTAGAGACAACCGCGACGGATAGGTGGTCCACAGGCGCCAATATTCCCGAAGCCCATCTTTTCACATTCACATATCAATGCTTTTACGATAAGCCATGACATGGTAGAGCAATGTCGACCTGAGAAAGCGCCGAACGCTCACAAGAGGATCGCTGTACCCCCTCACCTCTTCCATCAAGTCCAGCACGCTCTTGCCTGCCTTGTTGACAATACCTGCTCTGGCCCCATGCTTGATAAGCAGGACCATCATCTCCTCCGCGCTCTTGGCTGCTACCGATGAGAGATTGCCCTTTTTCTTGGCGTCGAGGACTTGAATCAGCAAATACCCGAGAGGTGTATTGCCGTCGCCGTCAACCGCGTTCGCCGCGGCATCAAGACGCGCAAAGATAGGGAGCACCTCCTGCGTCGTCATAGGTAACTGCAAACATTTTATCTGGCTGTGGATTAAACGGTGGAGATATAGATGGTTTCGTGCAGCCGGGCTTTTCTCGAGAGGGTAAGCCTTGATCATTAGCTTGGCGGCCTCAAGGTTTCCCTTTGAAAGCGCATGATCCAAAGGCGATGTCCATCCCCGGTGTCCTCCTATATGCGGGTTTACTCCATGGGCGAGGAGGTGGATGAGAATTCTTGAATTGTAGCATTGCTCGCTGCAAATGATGTACCCCGGACTCCAGCCACTATCTGTTCTTTCGTGTACGTTTGCCCCTCGTTTGAGGAGCTTCGTGACCACATTCAGCTGACCAAAACGAATGGCAAGATGGAAGAGTGACCACCCTGAATATCTCTCACGGAGGATGAGGAGACCGTCTCTGGGGCCGGTCCACATCGGTCGTTCGCAAGGGCCGCGATGAATGGTATTCTCGCAATCGCACAGCTCGTGGCCTCTGTCGCTTTCGATGTCGCTGCTAGCGTCGCTGGACTCGGTGACTTCACCTGGCCCCGACGAGCTGGCCGTTCTTCCTTCGACTTGGTCGATTGGTATGTGATTGCTAACTTGTGGACCTTCAGGGTATGTGATCCACAAAGTGTCGAGTTGGATATGCCGGAGCATCGAGTCCACAATGTATTGGTTGTTCGCAGCCATTGCAACGGCGAGGAAGAAGGGCTCCCTCCGGAACCGATTCTCCTTATCAATCTTGGTTAGAAATTTGTAAGCCTCCTTGCTCCTCTCAAAAGTTTCAAGTGAGAGTTCGTCGTTGATTCCCACTTCCGACCAGATGGCCGCTAAGTCATCCCTCCCTGGCCTTCTCTCAATCCTGGCACCAAGCTTCAATAGTTTTGTTGCGAGCCACTCTTGATAGAAACCGTCAACAAAGAGGTTGATCAATAGTGTACGATCTTGTGTGTCCCGCATATTCACATCGGCAAGCCCTAGCGTTACGAGGCACCCCGCAGAAACCTGTCCCTTGCTGATGTCCATTTTCAGCACTGTGCTGAAGCTGTCCATAATATTCCGCAACGCGGCGTTGCCAGCGGGCTTGACTTCGCTTTTCGGACGTTTAACCAAGTGCTTAGTGAGCTTCTCCATGCATTTTTGAAATGTATGGAGCCAGTCTTGAGGGGAAAACCGTTCTGGGAGTAGCGTTGCGCACTCGAGTGGCGTTAGATTGTCGATACTGACGCTGGTGATATCCATACCCGATTGCAACAACGTCGATATTGCTGTTTTGTTATGCGAGTAGCATGCAATCTGCAACGGATCCCGTTTCCCAACCGATCGCGCTGGTGATTCCAGCAGAAGGCGGATGAGTTGGGGCGCCAACACTTCCGAGTTGACCCTCCTGGGGAATGGAGCATGTGCTCCCCTCCAGGGGCTGGACAGGACGGGCGGTGGACCGCAGCAAATCTCGAGCAGGCTGCATCCCTCAACGCCAAAGGGGAATCGGGAGTGTAAGTCATCCCATGCCTGTCCAAGTGGGGTGTCTATGTTGAAATCGTCGAGAGTGATCTCGACGTTGGCCCCAGCTTTAATGAGAGCAATTGCCTCTTCGAAATATCCGTAGAGGCATGCCTCCATCAACAAGGTATGTCCTTTTCCGAGGTCATGGTCGATATCGGCTCCGTTGCGCAGCAAAATCCTCAGAGCAGCCTCGAAGGTCTCTGAGTCATCCGCTTCCCAAAACGCCCTCCAAAGCATTGTCGCACCGTGGAGCTTGATATTCATAGCGTTGACGTTCTCTTTTACCGAGCCTTGTTGCAGACACCACTCTGCAAGACCCATGTGGTGATGCCGAATGGCAGAAATGAACCTCGGGAGCGACTGCCATTCTGCTTCTTGAAAGCAAAGAAGACGTTCCTGGAGGTGTTCGCACTCGTCTATGATCCGCTTGGCTACGTTCGTATGTCCGTGGCACAATGCAACATGGAGTGGTGTCCACGCCGGATACGTACCGTTCTCGTCTGGCCAGTATATGGCTTTGGACGAAGTGGTGCAAAGATTGTAGCAAAAGCCTTTCGAAGACACGTTGACCAGCGCGTTAAACTCCAAAAGCAATTCGAGAACTTGCATGTTTCCAGCTCTGGCAGCGATGTGGATGGGCATCCAGTACATGCCCCTGATGTCGCGGTTGTCCACGTCTTCCATATCGTCGTAGTCCGGAAATCGGAGGTATCCTTCGAACATAATGTTGCGCTTGTCAAGCCTCCATTGCGCTTCGTCGCTTTCGCTGTCGGTGTCACTTGCGGCATCACTATCGGCACCAGAGCCCACCGCCGCAATTTGTGGCAGAAGGCCATCAGCAGCATCGGTTTCGGCATCCGAGGCGGCATCCTCCTCGCTCTCGAGGTCCTCGCCATCCGAGTAGTCATCAGTCACGGAGGCATCTTCGGAGGAATCTCCCGACGTCAGACTGCGTTCCATATCTTCAGACTGGTCGTCTTCAGATACTGGAGTCCTTGCAGCGTCAGATACCGTTTCAAATCAATGTTGGACTCAAACCAACCAGACACTTACTTACCATCCTCGGAACTCGAAATCTCATATGGATTTTGAGCCTCAAATAAACGTCCAACATAATGTCTCGGGGATTGAAACCATTGCCCATCACGCCGGTAGAAACGCCAAAAAAGCTCCTTTGATGATTCGGTCTTTGGGTTCCATGGCTGATACTCGGTCTGATAGCGGATAATTGCATTGTTGGGAGAAATCATCCCAGTCCTCAGAGCCTTGTGCATGATGTTCACGTTTCCAATGTCGGTTGCCCAACACAGGAGATACGGATGACGGAGGACACCATTTTCGTACAGTAATGGCGTCACAATGCAATTGAAGAATCTATCCGTCAGTGCTAGCGCCCCGAGAGCAGCGATCTGAATGTCAGCACATCTGTGGTTGATGGGAGGGTTTTTCGGGAAAACGGGCTTCTCCCTCCCTAGCTCATTGACGATGGCTATTTTGAGCTCCGGAGGGAGGTCGCGCAGATTCGTCATGACTGAATGTGCCGCCCCCGCGACATATAGCTGCTGATTGGTATCGGCGGCTGCTTGGTTGGTAGTGGTGAAGATGATCGTATAGAAATTTGAATATTTAGTGTCGAAGGACAGGCGCCGGGTGTCCTTGGCGGCGCAGAAACCAATTTCTGAATTTGGCAAGATCTCATTAGTGCCTACCCCTGCTCTGCTCATACACAACACGGGAACCAGGAGGAAAATTATGTAAGCGGTGTCATGCCGCTCAGCCACATAATAATAGTGTGCACTGTGGCGCGGCTTCTTAATGTGGCTGTGCATGTACCAAGGAATTTGCAGGTGTTAAATTTTGCTCTCACGAGAGCAATTCCGAAGACGAGTGAGGCGATGTCATTATAGCAAAGAGCAAAACGGAAGTGCCCAAAGCCAGAATCGAACTGGCGATCTTCTCATTTCGGGACCATGAATCCTCTTCAGATTGAAGTCATTAGAGCAGAACAGTTACTAGTGAGACGCTTTACCACTGAGCCATTCGGGCAATTGTCCATGAAATTGAAGAGAATGAGGTGGACTATGATGTGGAGACTGCAACCCTCATTGCAATTTCTCGAGGTCTTGCTGTCATCGTGAAGGTTTGTTCATTGGTTGAGTACCTAAGGTAGGCTCCGAACAGAGGGTAAGTCCCCTCCATCCCACTTCTGGCACACTAGGAAGGGCGTATAGAGATCTTGCAAGCTGAGCTTTCTTTCGACTCATAAGTACACATCCAAACACATCCAAAGGAATGGGTGCCTCGATCTCCTTACCTCTTTCCAATTTCCCGAGTGAAGTAGATGTTGGGTTGCAGGATGGGGTGAATTAATCTCTGCGTCCCGCAATTTTGCGGCGCAGCCTGTCTTCGATTATTTCAAGCACAAGTATTAACGTGGCGTCAGAAGCTTGCAGCTGACACCTCTGCGATATACTAATGAACTACTCAAAGACCAGAACCAATGACAAGGTCTATCAATCAGTCTTACCGGGGTCCATTTGCTTCTCAAAAGAGCCCTCAATTGGAGGTCTTTACCCAAGAACTGATGAGAGAAACAAGCGCTGGTTATTAACCGACTCAGAAGCTGGCATAGCATGATGGCCAAATTCCTAGGTCAGTCCAAAGATGTCTTATGCCGGCTTCGGTCTAGGAGCAGCGCCACGATCGGATTTGTAGTTGGCCATTCTCAATTCCACATGTCATTCTGGCCGAAGAGGGTTCCATTGTGACGACAAGTACCATACTGCAAACATTCACGTTTTGAATCCCTATCTTGACTGTTCTCTGGTCCATAACCGTTGAAACGATCATGAGCCGACCAATTAGTCATCGCACCAGACCCTTTGCTTCAACGACTGTCTAGAACTCAGTCTGGCTCAATACATGTCGTTACACGAAGTCTAGTGTTCAATTTTCCATTACAAGGATGGTTTAAGATAATCGAAATCCCTTAGCCATACCAATCTACTAGTATCGTCATCTTCATCAAAACCAAATACCTTGGCCGCCCCTTCACTGAAAATGAAAATGGCGAAATCCTTCCTTGCAAGACTCTTTCAACCGGAATGGTCCAAGGCATCCTCCCGAGAGTTACAATTCCTCAGCAACACTACGTCTGAGAATGCTTATGGCGAAGTTGAGCCATGGATCAAGACCGACTTGGATATACCAATTGATGCAATGAACCGTGACAGATGGCCCGGCCGTATCCTGCAAGCCCAAACACACGTGTGATGTCATTCCTATCATCCCAGATGACTTTCCAGCCCTCATTGGCTCTTTCACATGATCGTAGACCCCCCCGATGGATGTAGACGACGGGAGTAAAAGTAATGAAGTCGATGTCTTTGAACCGCCGACTTTTTACCTCTTCATGGACCTCCCAAAGTAGCTTAAGGACAATATCGTGCTTTCGGAGGTGCCCCCTTACCGTTTGAGAGGGCTTCGTGGTAGTAGATCTAGAGCGGAGATGTCTGACGAGACCGACCTTACCTTTTGGTTGACGAAACTTACGAGTTGGCCATGTGATCAAGGCTGCTGTTCTGAGTATCTGTAGACCATGGAAATGGCTGAAGAGAGGGTCGTAGCCCTTCTCGAAGCAACGGGAACATGACAACGCAATCAGTACAGTGAACAAGGCTGGTGCCAGTGACCAGAGAGGTTGGAAGTTGAGTTGGCCGTCCCTTGAGTATTCCGGCAGAACCTTACGAACCTTATTTCAATATGATTGAGTTGCATACCGATGTGAGATGCATCTGGGGTAAAAAACATAAACAAAGCGAGGCAAAATATTGCCTATGCTGACAACAAATTCAAGCATGACCTGATATCTCATTCGGATGACAATCCTCAGATCGTCACAATGTCAAAAGTGACAACAATCCTTACTCTCAATCCAATCTCTTCGGTATCCGTAGCAAGTTCCTCACCATCCACATTACAGGAAACCATGCCCAAAACCACCACCACCACCAAACCAGAATTCATCTCCCATACTTGATCCAAACAGCACACCCACCCACAAAGAAAATCCCCATAAAGATCAAATTCGTCAAAACCCCCTCAATCCACCTCTTAATCGCCATCTCCTCTCTCGCCTTCCACCCGCCCCCCGGCCCAACGGCATTCGCGTGCGGGAACGGCACGTCGGGTACCTCCTTGCCCAAAAACTTGCACAGGGGCTCCCACCCTTCGTCGGCGGACCACTCGAGGAGTCGTTCGGGGGGCACCATGCCGCGGATCATGTCGCAGTGTTCTAAAATGTGTTGAGCAGCAGCCGTTAGTCTCGTCATGTCGTCCCATGAAATATGTGACACGCATACAGAAAAAGGCTTGAACGCAGAAAAAGGAAACAGAAAAAAGGCTTGATCCCCCCCAAAAAGAAACAAAAAGGGAGAAAAAGCAAAACTCACCACGATAAACCCACTTGCCATTCCTCCGAATCGCCCTCGCCATATCCCCATCCGGCGCCCGGAAAAATAAAGCCCATAGGAACCTCTCGTACACATGCCACGCCCAAAACGCCTCCCGGTCCAACAGGCTCGACACCCAAAAGCTCCAGCTCTCATTGACGTGCACCAGCGTATTGATCGCGCTGCGGTGCCACGAGTCCAGGTCCCGCCGCACGTTGAGCACGACCTTGGCCTCGGGGTACGCCCGAATCATCTCCGCCGCGAAGCAGCTCGCCGCCGCGTCCGTCACCGCCACGCAGTGGCCCAGCAGCTCGTCGAATTCCTCGGCCGTGATTTCGCAGTCGCCTTCCGCTGACGACGGCGACGACGACGATGAGTCCTCTCCTTCTTTTCCCCCTTTCGCTTTCGCTTTCGATGACGACAACCCGCCGCCGCCGTACCACTTCTTCCGCGCAAGCCTGACCCACCCCGTCGCCGGGATCGGCGGGTCGTCGTACACGATATCCCAGCCGTGGTAGGTGTGGTCGTACCCGAGCGCCAGCAGCGCCTGCTGCAGGGACTCGGTGGCGCTGCGCGGCGGGCCGACGCAGAGCACCTGCATCGGCTTCGTGCGCTTGCGCTTCGGCGGCGGCGGGATGCGGTAGACGTGGTTCTCCAGGAAGCGCCACCACCAGTGGTCGAGACTCGAGAATGGCGAGTGCATGGCGGCACGTTTCGTTCCGTTTCGTTCCGATGCCTTGCGTCCGTTAGCGGCAAAACGTCGCGTGGACGCTTGTCTAGTCCCGCGCCTGTCTTTCGCCTCCGCTCTTGAAAATCCCGCGTGAGGTATCTCGTCTCGTTCCGCTAGTACTTCCTTCGCTCTGTGTTTGCCTTCGTACTTTGGGCGCTGGTAATCTCAAGACTTTCGCAAAGACCGAAGATGAGCTGAGCTGCAGACGAAAAGAATCCTACAACCGAGCGTGCATACGTTCGTGCCGCAGATGTCAAAACGTGCGACGGCTCCCGCGTTATATAACAGCAGACAACCCCCCTTACCCCAAGTCTGGCCAGTCCCACCGGCAAGGAAACAAGAAACATGTGCTCACAGAAATTGGAAACGTTTTGTTGGAGACCATCATGGTGTCATAGCGTTTTGGAGAGCTGACTTTTATTCCTTCTCCTGCTTCAAGAGCTAGCAAGTGGGACAGAGAGGATTGCATGAACCATCCTTACAGATTCCGAGAACGAAAAGATGGTTGCTTTGCAAGCCGCTGGCGGTAGGTATGTAGCATGGCATCAGATGAAGGGGGAAAGCAAAGAAGCATGAAGATCAGCCTCCGCACGGCGCACGGCTCGGCCGCGGTGCCGTCATCTTCCCCACATCCGCTCCTCTCCAAAGCGTCGGCGCTTGCGAAGTAGAAAGCTTGCTTCCCGGACAGCTTTGTTTGAACATCGAACGGGGCCCATTTGACAGACGATTCGCTTGGAACTTGAAAATGCCTTGGTATAATGTGATGCAACGGCCGAACGAGGCAAGCCTTGGACGAACCGTGACGCGGGACAGGGCCAATACATGAACCGAGACAAACCTGCCTTTTCATGTTGACAACCTTAGGTCTCACCCTCTTCAGCCATGCTTGCAAACCCAGTATCCCGCCTTCCCTCCCTCTGCCGATTCAACTGACCGCCAGAACTTGGTCCACCCGGGGCGTCCGTCGCTCCGCAGGGACTCCACCTCGTCGACCTCGCTCTCGCTCTTTTGACTCTCTACTGTGAGTAGTGCCGTGTAGAGGGACTGGTAGAATAGGACCTGCTTCTCAACATCCGCTGGCATCGCGTCAATCGGGCCCAAAATGAGGGACTCTAGCTCGTCCGTGTCCACCTCACCGAGGGTGGAGATGAGGAGCGTCGTCACATTTGGTCGAGGCACCGGGACCCTACGAACGGAGCCCTCAAAGGAAATGTGCAGCCGGCGGAGGGCAGGGAAAGTTGGCGCTATGCTATTGATGATGCTTAGGTACTGGTCTCGGGGACTCAGTGCACGAAGCTCAGTGATTAAAGGCGCTCCGTGAGATGGTCGCGGGGCCTTGTCTAGCGATTTATCGATGAGGGACTCGTCGCGGTCCGGTATCCGGATTTCCAATGACGTGATCCACTTGAGCTGCGGCGTTGCGATGGCGTACGGAAAGTACATGGCCTCTAGCCTCTGCTCGAATTTGAACGTATTGCTTGCATACAGGACCTTGATCGTCTCTTCGTAGCTGCAAATCAGTCAGTATTGGTCATCTGATGTAATGAAATTACCGTTGGTCTCATCTCATGCGCCACGATGAACTCCTCTCAGGTGCGGAGACCAAACTTACGCTCTTCTGCAGGTCAGCAGCCACGGGAGTATGCCCAGATACGTCTCCCTAGGACCGCACGTCTGGTAGAACCCTCTAGGACACTGATCAGACAGCTTGGTCTCGAGCTTCCGGTCCTCCGGGCCACACACGCAGCTCCACCAGTACCATTGCGGCGTCATACTCGCATCGGCAAAAGGAGGATCCATGGGCGACACGCTCGGTGAGTGAGGGTACCAAGCCGGCACGGGCTGATGGCCTTTTCGCCATCTCACGTCCGGTTGAAGGCTGCGGCGGTACAGAAGATAAAGATGTAATATCTTCCGGCCGAAAGCAAGCTGGTAAATCTGGTAACGGAGGTCGGATGAGAGGACCTCGAAGAACGGTCCCGCAAAGCCAGTCGCACGCTTCTTCACCTCCCGAGATGGCGGTCGTGTCCGAATAGCAAGCGGAATCTGCGACCCGGCATCGGCGTCGGCGTGGGGATGTGCTTCGGCTCGGTCGTCTCCCTTGATCGCCGTGGCCGGGGCTGCGTCCGCATCCGGAGCGGTGAGAGGCGTGTCGCGCGGCACGACCCGCGGTGATGAGTCGCGACCCAGGCTCGGTACTTTGATGGGCAATTCCGACATGGCCGCTGGGCGCCGTGGATGGCGGAATGGATGACGGCGCAGAACTAGGAGATTTTCCCCGAGTTTCTGCTCTCTCTGCGGGAGTTGAAAGGAGCACGAGATGTTGCCAGAGCCAGGAAACCGTCAGAGGTGAGGCAGGTGGTTTTGAAGACTGGAAGTATCGCCCAGATGAACCGACGCCGGGCATGACTTCGCGCAAGTAATAAGGTAAGGTAGCACTGGGTTGGCACCGGATCGGTGCAACTGCCCTGAACTTCTAGCGATGAGGCGTAAATCGGTACGTACTGTTTATTAGACCCAAGTCTCAGGTGGGGCATAGCTACAGTGTGAATATCTTCCATATACAGGTTCCTGCTGCGTCATTAGGCACTTTCAACACAGTGCCCGGACTGTACTCCTGAATCCCACCGCTGAAGCAACCGCAACCGTGTGTGGCCCAAGAACGTGAATGCGTCTGAGAGGATTCAGCTTCGAGAGACAATTCCGGAACAAATCAATCACCAAGGCAACCCTCATCGGCATTGTGATATTGATGGCTCAACCTCACGGCAATGGGCATCTCACTGGCAAAAACGTAGCACGGACAAGACAGATGATTTTCTTAGTGTTCGCGACATGGCAAAAGCCTGAGACTATGCTAGCAGCTTTCCCCAGCATAACGCCTCCGAGCTAATGGTTGTCGATGATTAGTAGGCCTTACGGCCTCCAAAATGTTCCAAACAAGTTATGATCGCAACTTTTTTCTTGTCCTTCATCTTCTCTCTGTCAAACCTGAGTGGTGACCGATTAGAAACCCATAGCAATCAAGAGGCCGGCGACAATGCCAACGCATCCAGCCATGAGACGGTGAGCTGAGCTCTGAGTGACGACAGCAGGGGTGGATGTCGCAGTCGCGGCAGGAGGGTCGTCCGTCAGTATGAGAGTCTGGAACATCGGCACTTGAGGAGTCGACGTTGTAACAGGAATGGTGACGTTACCCGGAGGAGGAACCAGGACGGGAGGGTCATCATACGGGGTCAGACTAGTGACGCTGGGGCTGCTGGGAGTCGACTGAGGAGGATTGGTGTATGTCTCAGCCGATGGCGCAACCGGCGGTGCGGTAGCCACGGGAGGATCCGACTGGAGACTGCCGTAACTCTGCAACCCGGGTGTACTCCTCGTGGGCGGGACATGGACGACGACCGTCTGGACAACCACCGTAGGAGCCGAAGGAGAAGTTGGCATCAGTGTAGTAGGAGTGCCAGTGAGCACGGTGCACGAAGTGGTGAGACCATCGCCGCCAGGTGTGTTGGTCTGGACGATGACTGTTGATCTAGTAGCCAGCTTCACAGTACGGGTGACGGGCGGAAGTCTGATGGTGGAGTACGTGATATCTGGACCCGGATCATTGCCATCCGGACCAGTTGGGGCCGGGCCAGCGGGAGATGGGGTAGAGGGAGGCGGCATCTCGTTGCAAGCTTTGTACAGATTGGCATAGCTGCAGGTCGGAGGATTGGAGAATCCGCATTGGCCGAGCGAGGTGTCGCCATTGCACGAGTTGCTGCAGAGGGCCTCGTTGACGACGGGAAAGCTCTTGAGGCTGCTGCCGCAACGACAACCACTGTTGGAGAAGACACCTGTCAGTATCAGAGTGACACTGTGATGATTGTGAAGGGCACCCTGGTTATGTTCAAGCGTGTGCTTGACAGGACGACTTACTCGGGGAAGGTTGCAGCATAGTTACGACCGGTGCAAGCAGACTGGCACTGCTCAGGGGTGTAACCTCTACCAAAGTCGACAAAGGCGTCGAACTTGTCCGAGGTGACGCTGACGCATCCCAAGTACTCGAAGCCGTAGATGACATGGTTGGCCTGAGCCGCGACCAAAGCAGCCAGCAGCAGGACGAGGAGAGGGTTCAACATGGCGAGCGGGAGTCTGGGGTAAGGAGTGAATGTGGCTTTGGTTAAGGCAGAGAAGGCCAGATGATGGCAATGCCGTAGTGAAGGTGAAGGAAACGAATGATGATGAACTTCCAGAGATGGAGATGAAAGAGTGTCTGAGATGATTCTCAGGAGGGCTAGGAGATATTTGTGGCAGATAAAAACAGGCGAGGTTTGGGCTGGCCCTGGGAAGGAGCAGGAGGAGGTAGGGGAGGGAACAGGAAGGAAAGCACGATGAGCAAACATCTCCCCCATGTGTCTTCCTCCTTCAAGCTGCCGTAGATATCATTGGGGCCAGGCGGAAATACGTGCCTTCCTCAGCTTCGCAGGTACCTTATACCAAGGTACTCTACGGCAAGAGCACATCGAGGGAAGGAAGGCCACTCAAAAAGGGACGGTGGAGAATATCACGAATCTCGAACAACGAAGAAATGGCGAAGAAGACGCTTTTGATTTTCTGCCCGGTCTTTGTCGTCACAGATGGAAGGGCTCGGCTTGGGTAACCCATCCTCTTGCAGTATCAAGTTCCAACACCGCCACAGAATGATAGCAATCGTCAGAGCTCTCCTTGATCATCACGATACCCTCGAGGCGTGACACCTCAAGGGCATTCTAGAGCCAGTGATGACGGGCCAACAGCGGTTACGGCGTGAGAGCCGAAACACAGCGTGACGCCCGTCCGTGGCCGATCGAGTCTTCATCACCCGATTGCAAACACATACATGTATCCTCCGCCGCCAGACCTATCCTCGCTGGAGCTTAGGTTTAAGCTCGCTTGTTTTCGCCCACGATTCTGCAGCTTAGTGCTTCTTTCTTGACGATGCCGAGACAAGTTTCTTCTTGACGCTCTTGGGGATCTTCTCCTTGCGCTTCTCGCGCTTGGCCTCCTTGACCGCCTGCTTGTGTTGCTGTGTTGTATCAGTGATGCTGTTCATTGTATGCCACCCAAGGGAAAACTCACCTTCTTCTCGTCCTTGTCCTCGTGCTTGCGCCCTCTAGGCCGGCCCTTGTCAAACCTGGAGTCGTCCTCCTCGCCACTTGCCAGTGAAGCTCCGCTGCCTGACTCGTCCTCTGACGTCTCTTTCTCCTCTTCCTCCTCCTTCTCCTCGTCCTTAACGACAGCGTCGGCGAGCAGGTTCTTATAAACAAGCTTGTCACCATCGCCCTGCCCAATCTTGGCGGCATCCTTCTCAATGTCGTAAACCTGCTCGAGGGTCTGTGGGATATACTGCTTCCGGAAGACTTCGTTGTCAACCTCTTGCTGAGCGGCAGCCTCCTCATTGTCGGCGGGTCTGCTCGTGTAAAGCTTCTCAATAGCCTCGGCTAAGGCGGGCTCCTCTACAGGACCGTCCACCGCAGAGATGAAATCGAAGATGCTGCGGTCGCTGAGCGTGTCGACGCCCTTTCTCCTGAAGAAATCACCAACGTTCTTGATATCCATACGCAGGAACTCCAACGCCCGTGGGTGGTCGGGCTCGACACTCTGAGACACATCAATGATGTACAGCTTGCCGGCATTGTACAGGATGTTGTACTCGCTCAAATCGGCGTGGACGAGCCTGCAGACCTGGTATATCCGGCGCATGAGACCCAGAAGCTGCACGTAGAGTGCCCTCCACTGCTCTTCGACGTCGTCTCCAGTGAGGTTGGCATCTCTCAGACGAGGGTACGCCCATCCCTTCTTGTCACCGAGGAAACCCATAGCCAGAACGTGCAGCTTCAGGCTGATGGGCTCCGGGCATAGGATGCCCGCGGCGTGTATTCTCCTCAAGTTGCGGAACTCCTTCTCGGCCCACAGCTTGACCATCTTCCTGTTGCTGCTCTTGTCGAATCCCTTTTGGAAACGGTGCTCGCCCGTAATGTATCTCTCGCGGTCCTTGAACACGAGAATCGACGTCTTATACACCTTGATGGCGCGCTGGATGTTGGGACCGTCGCCTTCTGGGTGCAGGATGGCGTGATAGACATTGGCCTCCTTTCCTGTACTGATGGCACCATGAATCTCGCTGACGATGCCACGGTTGATCATCTGCAGCAAGATCATGCGCGTGCGCTGGTCCAGAACCTGCTCGCTCGTCGCGCGATCCGCCTTGTCCTTGCTCTTCTCGTCGTTGTCCTTGACGCTATCCAGTCTAATCTTCGCAGCGTGCTTGGAGAGTGCTGTGATTTGGTCGTCGACGCTCGACTTGGTGTTTGCGGTCGGCCTCTGGACATTGGAACGCGGGACGGCGGTATCGTTGGTATTGAACAAGCGCTGGCGGTTGTAGGACTTGGTCAGATCGCCAGAGTCGGCGGTCCAATCCTCATCATCAATTTCCTCGTCATCACCAAAGACGTCTTCGAGGTCGTCATCGTCGGCATCTTCCTGGCCGGTGGCATCGTGGGGGACGGTTCTCAGCTCGGCAGGGATGTCTTCGGTCTGTTCGTAGCCCTGGTTGGGGCGGTATGTGTAGGGGGGCTCATGGGGAGCAGCAGGAGACTCGTTGGAAGCCATTGTGAGCGCTGCTATCTTGGGTTGGCGGCGCTTGTGCTGTGTCTTGTCGGTGGCTTGTTGTTGGCTCGCTGTTTACCTGAGGTGGCAGGAGTTGCTCGTGGCGTGGATGTTGGGTACCCTCTCTGCCCCTCCATCGTCGCCCGGGATTTTCGAATTTTTTATCTTATCAGCGGTGGCGGGCGTGGCGGGGTCTTTCGACTCATTTTGGGGACGATGGGGCCCGTGCCCAGTGATGAGTCAACACCACAGCGAGTGACTGGACTTTTTCAGTGAATCAAAATGAATCACCGCTGGAAATTTGGAGAGGTGAGCACTAAAACAACTTCGCTAAAGAAATAGGCGAAAAGCTGGCGCCGCAGCCGATGGGTGGGTCCGTCTGCTTCCCCCTTCATTCTCCGGCAAAGAGCGGCAGCCATTGACCGCCACCTGCGCATCCGACACCACCCCGACGTCGCCTCCATGCGGCAAGGTATCTTACTACCTATATTAAAGATATAACATGCATACAGCATACCTTATCATGAATATGAGGCTGCGTCAGCCGCGGCATATGGAAATCACTGTCTCGCTCATGACAACCTCCTGACGGGGTCTCGGGCTACCTTCTCGAAGCGGCTCTCGAGTCTGGGGCTGAGTCTCGGCCGGACGGTCTAGACAGGGTTCTATGGCTACCTAAGCTTCTGCGATTTCCTGTGTCTACTTAGCCTATTGGTATCCCATCGCGAAACGCGAAGGCGTCCACGTGGTAGGGATGGGGGGACAGAGGTGGACAATAAAGGGGTGCATCTGGGCCAAGCGGAAACCATGTCACTTGCCTCGTGATATCTACAGACTCCTGTCTGAAACCTGGCTCAATAACTGCATGCGACAGCTGATCAGGTCAGAATGCTGCTGTCCTTTGGTTCAACTAGGCATGATTTCCTCGCAACTTCATCGGAGTTCGTCCTTCGTCTCCACGCTCTGGGCAGCTGTTTGCGCTCGGTGATACGGGCCATGGTACGATTCAATTCCACGTTGGTCTTCCACTGAGTTCCTCCAGATCATGAGCCCGCTCAAGCAGTCCGAGGGGCTTCTAAATTCGCCGCCCGAACCTTGTCATTGCTTGGACGCAAACTCTCGTCAATAAATCTTGTGGGCAAAACGCTTTGTCGATCGTCTGACTAAGGTATTCTGCCATCTGTCGAAATATCGGGCGTGCATCTGGTGTTGCTGAGACATGGTTCTAGCACAACGACAGAACAGTCTCCGGCATCAATCCTAGGTCAAGAGACAACTCCTCTTCGACGCACATCCACATAACAGATTCATTTAAGCTACTATAATCCCCAAGAAGCTAACTTCCACCTGTGAGGCCTTGGATCGAAAGTTTCGACCAACACCCTGAAAGCCTGACTAGCAGTTGTTTTCTTAGCTTTAGCCTCATTACCATCCAGCCCTTCGGAAGGGAGCGGGGCCGGGAAGTGTGCCGATCAATTCCACGCCGTCCTCCCTGCCCAAAGTTGCCGTCGCATACCGGCAGCTTTCAACGGGCAGGCGAGATGGTACCAGGGCGTTGATATCGCCGCCGAAGCGTTCATCTCCAGGCTCGGCCCCTGTCCGGGAAGCAAAAGGTTATTATAACCTTTGCCCACCATGCTTCCAACGTTGCGCACAGCCAATGACACCCGTTCCCCGGATCATAGGTAATGGTTCTCAGGTTTTTGACGGGTCAGCCTACTCATCCATGCACAAATAGCCTCTGTCTCATCGCAATAAGGTAGTCCACTATACTTTGTTTAGTCGCTGCCGCGTGAAACTAGCCGATGGCCAGGATCTGCGCTCTTGGTTTCTTATATCATCAGTGTTTCCTCTCGCAAATATTTCCTACGGCCTGATCGGTGATGCCTAGTCGAGTTCATGATCAGTCGTTCGCGGTGAATATTCCCCGTCGCCCGTCAGTATCTTCCCTCTCAGCGTGATGGCTTCCTGTACGCGCTGGGCCTGGCTCTTGGGGGTTACCGTCTTGCTTCTCGCGCTCGCTACACCCGGCACCGCCCATCGCAAGAAGAGACCCGACACGTTAGCACCACCGCTGGCTCCAATACCGAGGCCATCCGTAGCTCCAACACCGCTACCGAGGCCGCCTCCAGCACCTGTGCCAAAAGTACCACCGGCTCCCAAATCGAAGCCGAAGCCAACGGTAGCTCCAACGTCCATACCGAGAGCGCCCCCTGCACCTGTGCCAATCGTACTGCCATCGCCTAAACCGAAGCCAAAGCCCGAGTTTACAGAAGAAGAGATTAATAATGGAACGGCATTGGCGAAGTTGAATAAAAGGGCCCTCGAGAATGCGCGGAGAATCAATGTCCCACAAAAACATCCTATATCCAACATGACTACCAATGGCACAAGGTTGTGTCAAGGAGATGGAGTGCTGATTAGAAAAGAATGGTAATTTGCAATAATATCCCTCCTTGAGAACTCAAAGGTGGCTACTAACATACCTATAGGCGGAAGTTGACTGTAACGGAGAGGAAATCCTTCATTACTGCCGTCCAATGCATTATGAATGAGCCGGTGATATCAGATCCCAAGAGAGTACCAATGGCAAAGTCCCTATATGACGACTTTGTAGCCGTTCACTACACCAGCTTTCGCAACACGCATCTTACAGTGAGTTATCGCCATGGCTTACAATGTTCTATAAACCTCGTGGTGGGCAAACGATGTTTTATAAACGAAATTACTAATCATCACACCAGGCCTCCTTTTTTGCCTGGCATCGTTATTACTTGGCAAGCTTCGAGCAAAGACTGCGCACGCAATGCAGATACAAAGGTTTGGATTTGACCATGGATGCCTTGCCGTGAATAGACCTTTGGGATGCTGACTCTTCAACAGGCGCTCTTCCATACTGGGAATGGGGCCTCGATGTCAATGACCCGGCCGCGTCACCGGTCTTCGACGGCACCGAATTCTCCCTGGGAAGCGACGGCGAGTTCATACCTCACGATGGCCTTCAACTACGCCGGCCCTTCTCGAACACCACTATCAAACTCCAACCCGGATCCGGAGGCGGTTGCATCAAGTCAGGCCCCTTTCAGAACATGCGGGTACACATTGGCCCCGCCGAACTCGCGCAATATGGTACAACAAAGCCCTTCAACGTCACAGATCCCCTCCAAGATCTGCCGAGATGCCTAAAGCGGGACCTGAACAAGGACGTAGCCATGAGGTTCAACTCCTTTAGAAACACAACGACCCTCATCCTCGACCAGACCAACATCAAGAACTTTTCATCGCTGTTGCAGGGAGACGATCGATTCTTCCCTAATACATTAGGCATCCACGGCGGCGGTCATTTTATTATCGGCGGGGACCCCGGAGCAGACAATCTCATTGCGCCCGGCGACCCGGCATTCTGGGTCCACCAAGCCCAGGTCGACCGCGTGTACTGGATCTGGCAGAATCTAGACTTTAAGAATCGGCAGGGCGTGTTTGGCACGATGACGCCCCAAGATAACCCCAAGAGTCCCGAGGGTAGCGTCGATGATGATGTTGATCTCACGCCCGTCAACACTCCGGTGAAAATTAGAAACTTGATGAATACGGTTTCCGGGGCACCGCTTTGTTACATATATGAGTAGTGGAATCGTAAGAGTAGTGGAATCCCTGAGAGACTGTAAGACTCTTAATAATAATGAAATTGATACCCACGGCTTTGTGATCGCTGATAATTGAACACCTCTACCATGCGGCATAGTTCCCGGGGCTATTCGGGAGGCCCACTCTTTAATGAATTATTCACCTAAAGCTAGATATGGTTCTCAGCCATTGCAGCATTCAGCCTCAATTTTCAACGTTGAGTTCTACTCACAATCGAACCATTGAGTTTACATTCAACGGTTATGCGGGCTGCAAAAAGGTTTAGCCCGGCAGGCGGCACATCGGTCGATCGTTAATCTGCCAATGGAAATTCTGCTCAGGGCAAACTTAGATTTGTAACTCACTATGCGTTCAAATCACGGTAACTTTTCGGTATAGCGAGTTCACTAAGGTATGTACAGATGCTCTATCTCGAGTCAGGATTCGAAATCATCAATGCATAAGTAGCCGATGCCCAACAGAACTCTCAAACAACTCACATTCGAGTCAAATTTCGTTTCGTTCTAGGGTGCCATTGAGTGCGACAGAATGGACGATAGGAGGCTTCTTAAAACAGGAAGCACCTCGTCACACCAAAAGTCAGAATAACGAAAAGGAGACAAAAAAATAAAGGGGGTTTACATCGACTTCAATAGACCTAGATCCACTTGGCAAGTCCTGGGATCACGAAGCCAGTCCTTTTTTTGCCTGGCCGCCCTACCGACGGGGGAGAACCTAGTGACGGTCGAATACAAGCTTCTCTAAGATTAGACGGTAGCGCCCATACGGTCCGTACATTCTGCCACTTCGGGACCCCACCGAGAGCCCCTTTCATCCTCGTGGGCTGCAGGTGGGGCACGTGCTCCGTCGACTAGGCTCGTCAAAGCGCACGCCGCTGAGATCCTCGCCCGGGGTATGGATACGCTGGCCGCGACTTGAGGGGGAAGATAACGCGTGGCTCTGGCGCTTTGAAACATCTGATGTTAGCTACACTGGAGGTCTGTGTACAGCTTAGCGTTGGCGTACAAGCTGGCGTACAATGTAGTGTGCGTATGTTGTTTGTGTAACAGTGACGTCTGCAAGCATTCCCGAACCAACAAACAAGCAGCGCCTCCCTGCACTTAAAAGTCTGTTGGCTGCCGCCCGGAGCTCTCTGATTGTAATGCTTGCCTCGGAGCGGTTTCCTCTCGTTTGCGTTTTCCGCTTTGTCAGACAAATGAACTCTTTCTTTTTCTGGTAATGTCAGGTGTTATCATCTAACTCGCTTCTGGTTTCCTCGTCCCATGCCTTTCCATACTCCGTCGAACATGTTGTCCCAGCTCCTGGCATAACGGCATCCCTTACGCCAGGTTCACCTCATACATGTGTTCAATCCTTCGGAACTATAGCGAAGACCAAGCAATTTAATTCGACTTCTGCGAGGACAGGCTCTCTACCAATTTGTTCATTCTCGGTTTCGAGACTCGAGAAAGCGTGTGCTGCAAACAAGGCGTTGTGGTACCTTGCGTAAAAAGCAGCAAACCGCTTTGCTCCCTTGCAGAACGTATCACGGCGTCAAACAGACCCTCAGACCGACGTCACCAACCACAAACATAACCTCTTTGTTCCTGACCAACGAATGAGAAGCAACGCCTTTGTTTCCGTCGTGCCGTCACTCCGTATCACTTACCTTGGGCGACGCGACACGTCACCCGTACGAGACACTAGAGCGACTAGCTGCCAGTTCGACCCCTCTGGCCCCCTTTCCCCGTTTTCGCCTTCCTTCACAATCGGATTTCGTGAGCCAGGAGACTATCTCGCCCTAGAGTCGCAATGTTGTCGTTGCCAGCACCTCGGATGCTGTTAATGACGGGTCCCAGATCAAGTCGGAATGTTTCCGTCATTTACGTCGTTTTGGCAATCTGCCTCTTGCTTTTCTTCGTCCAAACCGAGTTCGGATACACAGTCATTGAAAAGGTGGCCGACGCGAAATCACCCAAGCTCAATAGCTTGAACCCGACCTCGACCCCGACCCCGAAGCCCAAATACAAACCGCAGCCGACATGGACGCCGCCGCCCGTCAAGGACCCCTTCCCGCTTCTCTCCTCGGGGATGCCGCCGCCGGTGCCGTCGTGGAATAGGCCCGAGAAGCCCAACGTCTACCATAAATACTCGTTGACCACCGCGCCGCCCTTGATGATTGGCTTCACGCGGAGCTGGCCGATGCTGCTGCAGACAGTGGTCGGATATATCACTGCCGGATGGCCAGCCGAGCAGATCTACGTCGTGGAGAACACTGGCGTTCACGATTCGAATGCCCGGGGCCGACTGACGCTGCAGAACCCGTTCTATCTCAATTATACCCAGCTACACATGCTCGGCGTACACGTCATGCGCACGCCGGTGCTGCTCAACTTTGCGCAGCTCCAAAACTTCTTCCTCACAGTGGCAAAAGAGAAGCCGTGGTCGTACTATTTCTGGAGCCACATGGATGCCTTCGTGCTTTCCAACGAGGAGGGGATCCCGGGACTCTCTGGTGCAGTGGGCACGCCCGAGTACCAGACCATTTACGAGTTGGCCGTGAAGGAGTTGAATGAGACGATGCGGACCGATCACAAGTGGGGCGCCCGATTCTTCGCATACGACCACCTCGCTCTGGTAAACCCGCGCGCGTACGAAGACGTCGGCGGCTTCGATACGTTTATCCCGTACTACATGACGGACTGCGACATGCACTGGCGGCTGGAGGAGGCGGGATGGAGCATCCATGAGGCGCAGGCGGGTATCGTCCAGGATGTGGCATCGGTGCTGGATGACCTACGCATCTTGTACCGCGAGGGCGACGTTCCGAAGGGGTTCGGCTTCACGGATCCGAATCCACCCCCGAGCCAGGCTCTAGGCGAGGTCTCGCAGGAAGACGATAAGCGGAGCCTGCCGGTGCCGGAAGCAGTTCCCAAACTGGACAAGACGGGAGCGCCGGTGGATGATGTGGCTGAAGGCGCGGAGGAAGACTCAACGACAGCTGTTGATCCCCTGAAATCCTTTAGGAGGCTTCACAGAATTAGCCAGGACATGTTCAACCACAAGCATGCGGATCGCGAGAGGAATACCTGGCAGCTGGGTCAAAGGGGAGGGGACCCGCGGGAGCCTTATTCCTACGACGCCCTCGGATTCCAAATTGGGATAGACGTCATGACGGAAGCTGGACGGGAAACGTTCCGCCGAAAATGGGGACATCGTGGCTGTGATTTTGATGCTGCTGGACTGAGACCCAGCGATGCGTGGAAGGTAGAGAAGGACTGGGAATAATGAAGTCAATGGGCAGGGAAGAGGAGTACGGATACACATGGAGTCGGCGTTGGTGAATATTCCTATTTCCACCATTTTCTTTTCCTTTGAAATGGTAACTGGATCTTCAGATGAATACCAAGGCTTTATTCTGATTCAATCAATTGATGAATTATTTTTAACAAAACCCGTCACTAACTAATTACGCCGGCGCTGAATTAGTCGCAATGTGAAACCATTCATATTTTTCTCCAGTTGGGACATGAAAACTATTGGCATCCCAATCGCTTCTGTTCGACTACGCAGCCTGTCTTAGAGTGAAGACCCCTCTTCATTAGATTTGACCAGAGGAGCAATGGCCTGGGCTGACAGTTGAAAAAGTGGGATATACCAGTGAACCTAAATTCAGCGCTATTAATCAAGAGTGGACCGCTGCCACCAGCGTAGAGCCCCTTTATCAAGCTTCTTCATGAAGATAATCTTGTTCTCGCCACCCGTTGCATGGTAAAGGGCACTGCTGCCGATCGGATCGCGGTTCCAAAGATGAGCTTGTAGGCGCCGTCACCAGCGAGGTAGATACAGTTACTCTCAAGAACGTCGCTGCCATTTGACTAGAGGTCCGCCATGGCCACTCCGGATTCTATTGACCCGAGATCTGACCATTCATGAAGCGGTGCTCTGAGACTGCGCGGATGAGAAATTTGACGGTCGTGATGCCGGATTCCTGGCGGGCAGAGAGGTCGTGGGCAGAAGGAGGAACTGAGGCTATTTCGGCCACGGCAAGACTAGACAGGGCTGCAATGTTGCTAGAAAGGAAGCCCATCTTGTTTCAGATCAAAGACCGTTGTTGTAAATGAGTCTGACCAAGGATTCAGTAAGCAATATATGTTTCTTAATCTGATGAAGTTTTATAACATTATGGCCATGAGTCTGTCTCAGTTTTAGTCTCTGGCTCGAGTCTAGGTCAGAATTTGATATGTTGGCTTCTTTTTACATATGAACAGCAATACCAACTCCTGGTGTGGATTTGTCCTCTGTTGGCAGGTTGTTGAGGTTGTCTAGCTCCCTGGTGACGATCTTAGACCCTTTTGCGGAGAATCGAAGATCGTTTCCCATCAGAAACTAGTGGTGACTACTTTGAGCGAGAGCAACGCACCCTGGTAGAGATCCAGCAACGCCTAAATGAATGACCGTCGAGGTTTATGTGTGTGGAGTGCCAGGGTTGACAGAAAACACAGGAAACTTCGCTCAATTGCCCTGAATATCGTTGAATTGATGTACTTGGCAACTGCGCTCCATGACAGGAACTAAGAGCTCGTATTGAACCCATGCTCCGTTGCCTCGTCGCGGCGCGAGACGGAGTACAGCATCAAGCCATGGAGCCGCCACAAATCAGTATGGTCATCACTTAGAGGCCACGGACGGAAGTACAATGCCCATCTAGGGTAATAAAATAAGTTCCAAGAAGATCTGGAGGTATCACTAGAAAGAATCCCGGAAATTTCCCCGGAGCTGCGAGTGGTAAAGTTTGGATTGCGACATGGATTGAGACTGCCGAGGGCCAAGTTGCGATACTTGACTGAATGCTTCGCGGCTCAGAGAGTCCAGTTCCAAGACTTGGCAAGCAGCATTGATGAAGAGGAGGACTGGCTATTCTGACCCTGTTTTTGATGCCATTGAAGATAACGATTGTCCTCGTAGGAATGCTGCGGTCAATTCAAAATGCAGAATATGCCCCAGTCGAGCATGCGTATACTACCTAAGATGAGTCTTCTGTTCAATGCCAGAAAACTACTCATCTAACTGTGGCGGCTGTTGCCCTGTTATAATGAGCGCCCGATACTAGCTTGGGAATCAAGACCATACAGAAGCCAATAGATAAATTCTCAGTTCCTTGATCTTGGCCGCGGGGCATGGATTCTGGCACAGGAGCATTCATATGGGGATTCCGACTGTCTTGGGTTTCGATGACCATCGGCGTTGATAAAGGAAAGAGCACGATAACTAAACGCCAAGGTGACTCAACTCCGACACTAAGATTGAAGAATGGATCATCGCATTTGCTACCTAGGTAGTCAGCGAATCTTGGCAGCTGGGATGTCCGGACTGGAAACTCGCTCTCGTCCTTGGCTTGCGTCTTAGAGCCTTGGCAATTAATGACCATCTTATCGAACTGCCTTTCGTGAAATGTTCCCCCTCTCTGCGGAGTTGCTTCCGCCCCGACCCAATCTTACCTCTCAATGAGGTTACCAACAATAGCCATCATACCACAAGTCAACGTTCAAAAAAGAATAGCGCTTCTTTGTTCAAACTGCTCAAACCTCTACCTTCAAAGGTCCCCGGCAATTACTACAAGCAACAGTCGATTCTAGAACACCATGGCCCAAAATCAGACTTGACGACACTAAGCCGCAGGAGACTATTTTGTCTGAACTAGGTCCGTACCGCCGCGCGGGGTAACATTCGGGAGTCCAACCAGGCCTACCCCGGGCTATGCAGATCGGCTCGTACAATTAGCACGCTAGTCACCAATTGTCACCGTTGAGGGAGCTTTAAGCTTAAACCTTAAGGGCAGGTGAGAAGGATTTCGAAGGCTTGCGTGCGAGTTGCGTGCCCGGGTCGGCTGGTATCGTCCAGCAAGTCAACTACCCGCCTTCCTCATTCCAATTATGCCTGGCAGCAAATTATGCGCCGGATATTTGGTTGTGAAATACGTCTTAGCCGTGAGGGAGGCTAACTAATCCCTCCCCATGGCCGGATGAGGAAGGTGATCAGATAACATTGACAGCTTAGCTCAATGTTACTCAAGGCTTACACTAAGCGAGCACAGCTCCTCAACTGATGGCCCAACGAGCTTACGGTCACTCGCCAGAAACCTAGCTGCCCAAGTCATGCAAGCTCCCCCAGACTGTTCATCCCTACTCTTAGGTGGAGTTGTCGTGTTGTCTCGGCAGTGGCGGGTCGGACCCTTGACACCCGGCTTATGGTTTCTCGAATGGGTCAAGCCCTGCCTTCCAGAAGGTCGGTGACGCACGAGAACTTTCTTAGTCTTGCTGAGCTGTAAAGCCGGTCCATGAGAAGACGTTGACACGGAAATGTAAGCCGACTATATTATGTCTTAGCTTCGCGGGGATGCTGAGGGGAAGGCAAGACCGCAACCCCTGAGCTTATCTGGGTACACCCGAGACAGCGACAATCACACCTACCACTTTCTGCAAGGCCGATTGGTGACACTATACTGAAATAGCTCACGAAAGGGCTTATTTAGAAAAGATCGGAGAGTAGGCTGTACCATTCGATCTCCATAAAGAGGTACGGCTGATCGCCCTGAGTATACCAGTTTCCTCCAGCACTCTAGTCTTCAACTCACCGCAAAGCTAGCCCATTCCCGGAGCCTGTTGTCGAAAATGAAGTTCCTCGCTGGTCTCGCCCTCGTGCTGCCGCTGGCTTCAGCCGCGGCAGTAGTCCCTCTGGAGAAGAAGATTACCTACGATGGCTTCAAGGCCTTCCGTATCTCTACGCACAACGACCCCGCATCGATCAAGAGGAAAATTGCCAACATTGCTGCGATCCAATTCAACCTCGATAATAGCGAGCATCTCGATGTCGCCATCCCCGCTGGCGATATATCCAAATTCGAGGAGCTTGATCTTGAGACGTCCATTCTTCATGAGGACCTCGGCGCTGATATCGCCGAGGAGGGCACTTTTGCTCCCTACAAGAGTAAGACTCTAGATGCCGGCTTTCATGAAAGATTGCGTAGAATTTAGTTGACATTCAACAGGCAGCGGCGATAGCAGTCTCCAGGCCCTCCCTAGCCTGACGTGGTTCAACTCGTATCACACTTTCGCCGACCACCAGCAGTTCATCCGCGACCTGCAATCCAACTTCCCCAGCAACTCGGAGCTGGTCAACGCTGGTAACTCTTACGGTGGACGCTCCCTGCTCGGTATTCACTTGTGGGGTAGCGGTGGCAAGGGCTCGAAGCCCGCCATCTACTGGCACGGTACCGTCCACGCCCGCGAGTGGATCACCACCATGGTATGTTGCTGTACTTATTGTCGGTCTAAGGCATGTTGCTAAAATGACAAAGGTTGTCGAATACCTGACCTACCAGCTCATCGATGGCTACCAGAAGAACGACGCTGCTGTTAAGGCCCTCCTCGACAAGTACGACTTCTACATCCTGCCTATTGTCAACCCTGATGGTAAGAAACATGAGAGCAAGAAAAGACTATCTTAAATCAATTGACTGATGAAATCCTAGGCTTTACTTATACCCAGACCAACGACCGACTTTGGCGCAAGAACCGTCAAGTCAGATCCGGCAGCACCTGTGTCGGTACCGATATCAACCGGTACGTCGAGCACATATTGATTATCAAGAATCTGGACTGACATCTATTAGAAACTGGCCCTTCAACTGGCAAGTCCCCGGCGGCGCCTCCACCAACTACTGCTCCGAGACCTACAAAGGTCAGGCTGCTGGTGACACCACCGAGATGGTCGCCTTGAAGGCCTACACCGACCGCCTCGCCGCCGGCAACGGTATAAAGCTCTTCATCGACTGGCACAGCTACGGCCAGTATATCCTCCTGCCTTACGGATACGACTGCTCCGCCCGGGCCTCCAACCACGCCCGCCAGATGACCCTCGCCACCAGCACTGCAAACACCATCGCCCAGGCCTACGGCACCCGCTTCACCTACGGACCTAGCTGCTCTACTCTCTACGCCACCACTGGCAGCGCTCCTGACTATCTTACTGGCGCTGCTGGTGCAGAGGTGGCGTGGACCATTGAGCTGAGACCTTCTGGATCTGCTGGAGGCGGCTTTGTTCTCCCTGCTGCTCAGATCTTGCCTAGTGCGATTGAGCAGTGGAATGGAATTAAGTATTTGCTCGCAAACGTATAGGTAATCATGTCACGCATTATGCTCTGCTCTTGATTCTAAAATGGCCATATCTATAAACAAAGATTTAATGAAGACAAGATTGAGAGTGACACCTTAAAATAGCCCAGAAATCCGATAACAATACAAATCCACACTGAGGATCCTCGATTAGAAACGCTTGAGCCGATTGTTCAGCCTGAGATGTTGATTTGAAGAAGAAGGAAACTCAAATTCATATTGGCATTGATGGTCAACTTCGTGAATCTCAATGGTGGTGGTGTGTTGACAGCCTTGGGTGCTAGTCAATAAGTAATCACCTAATACGGATGACGGCGACATTAGCTTACTTGAAATCATCTTGAAATCATCCTAGAACCCGCTTGAACCTACCCGCTAGGGGTCGTGTTCTCTCTTCACTTGGCTGAACCTCATCCAGGGCGCGTTGACATCTCAACATCAGATTCTCCACTGCTTCTTTCAACTCTGGATCTTTTGCACCTTCTGAGGAATCCAAAGATCTTTTCATGGACTCAAACGCATCTCTAGCCTGCTTTGAAAAACCATGACCAATGTTTAGCAATTGAAGAATGCTTTCTTGCATGGTCAATGCTTGGATGATGCGCTCCTCAAAAATCTCGGGTCGTCTCAACCGTCGCATCAAGTCCGCTAGAATATTGTTGATATCCTCCATCGGCCCGCCTAGAGCGAGTTGTAACCCTAGCAATGACAGCATGGTCTTGAGTCTGTCGGGATGGTTCCAGCCTGTTCTGATCTCCTGGCACTTGAGGATTCTTTTCAAGTCGTCTGTCCGATTCTGCAGGTGTTTGATGTTGCCGTCAGATGCTTCGTAGCTGAAAACGCTAACCATCACAGCTTCTTGCCGAGCACGGAGAACTTTGGGATGGTGATAGGTGAGATGAGCCGTAAGCGAGCTTGTTGAGAGCTGGCCGTAAAGTTCGCGGCCCCGTTCCCCGCCTTTGTCAAGAGTTGAAGTGTCGAGTTCTGACCCGCTGCTTGATCGAGACCTCGACGCCTGAGCAATAACAAACTTGAAACATCTTTCTGGGTTGATAGGAATCTTTTTTTCGATACTCCGTACCTGTATTTCCCGGGTTGGACTGGCTGGTGGCAGTATCGTTCCGAGAGTAAGTGCGGCTTCCAGGACCGTGTCACTAGAGCTCCATAGCTTCGCATCACCGCAGCTCCAGACTGAATGAAAGACTTGTACAGCAAGATCGCGGTCCGGAATCTCTAATTTCAATGCAACCTTTCCGAGAGTAAGAAGCGAGTCAAGAATGTGAGGGTGACTCATGACAGTAGGATCAGCCAGTCCGTCCTTCGCTTTGAACGCAGTGCGCAGATCAAGAAGCAAGCCACCCTTCAAACAACGGTTGGGACTTTCTGTCGGTTCCCACAGTCTCTCTTCAGGAACTCTCAGGTAGACACGCAACTGCCATCTGATCGCAGCAGATATATCTTCCCAAGCCTGGGGAATCTTCCCTGCATGGTATCGAGCAAGTGCATATTTGGATCTCAGTCGCATGACTTCCGGGTGCTCGTCTGACCACTTGCGGCATGATTCGTCGTACGCTGACTTCAGAACTCTCTCAGCTTTCCGATAGTTTCCACACTGTATGTGTAATGTGCCCAGTTGGGCTTTACATCTCAGAACCAGTGGATGGTCCTGGCCCAGTCCTATATTGTAACTTGTTACTTTGCACAAATTCTGTGACTTGCCCAGCGCCTGTGTCAGTCGTCCCTCTGCTTGTGCCGCAGAGATTAGTGCGTAGGATGCCTCTAGCGCCAAAGGATGATTAGAGCCGTATTTCCTTGTGATGATCTCCAAAGACTTGGCGATTAAGTCTTGACCTCGGGCGACCTGCGATGTTGCAATTTGAAGTTGGCCAGCCAAAACGGCCACTTCAAGGGTGAGCATGTATTTGTCACCAATATGCTCAACAGAAGTGCTCAAAGCCTCGGAGACTATCAGAAGAGCCTTCTTGTTGTCACCTCGAAGAGCCAAGATCCTTGATCTGGCAAGCTTAATAGACGTAGATGTTGCCCTATGAGCAAACTTTGCTTCGGTAGATAACATGGAATCGCCGTCTCTGCCAATGCTGAGTAATTTTTCGCATTGTTTTGTCGCTTGATCGAGCGCTGACTCGAGCAACGCGTCCGTCTCCTTGGACAATCCTAGGGATGCGATGGCTAGTGACCGAAGCCGCAACATGTTGGCCGAGCGGACAAGACTATTTAAGTCATCGCTGGTAGGAGCCACAGCATCTAGTCTGAAGCGATCCTCGTCGAAAAGTTCTTCGATCTTATCTTTGACCTTTTGGTACTCTCCAAGGTGGAGCAAGGCGTTGGCGTGCCAGTACGATGCCTCATTTTCGATATCTTCCAGAATTCTACCGAGATTGGCTCCATCATGCTTGTTATCTTCAACGGAGACTTCATTCAGGATTCTGATCAACTCCTGTTCAGCTCCTTTTTGATCACCCAAGTGGAGATTTGCGAACGCTTGTGTGATGCTGAATCTGAGCCGTTCCTCGGAAAAACCGCCCTCATTCGGCCGATTTCCCATGACCGTTGACGCCCCGTTCAGATCGCCGTCCTGGAAGAATAATTCGGCTCGCATTTGCTGTTTTTGTATCCTTATGGAGACTGTTTTTCGTTGCGTAATGAAACTTCCATAGCTTTCCACTCCCGGATGATCTCGAAGTTCGTTTCTGTCGTTCTTTGAGAAATGACTCGCGTTCGCTACTTTGATAGCTACTCGTAAAAGAGATTCTAGTATGCTGTTCACACTGTCCAGATCGTTACAGTTCTGCGGCGAGTGCTCCTTTGCGGTGAACACCCAGGTTATCGGGCCCAAAGGCGAAAGGGATTGCCTGTCAAATAAGACATTGAAGAATTTATCAAGTCTTTGATTGAAATCTGAGAGGGGAACGTCTTCCGTGCCTGATGAAGAGCCTTCGTGGCGATGCTGACAAGATTGGAGAAAAAGAAGCCCTACGGTCTTCTTGGGCTGTTCCGAGTTGTGCCTGATCATAGTCTCTTTCACCATCCATGCCGTAGCCGCTGTAGAGATTATGACATATTTGACCGACGTCTTCCGTCTCTTGACCCCTTGCAGGATTTTGCCACGAGTGTTCTCCGGCTTTTCCTGCATCAAAGCTTCGAGTTCGTTAATCGCGGCTCCTGGAGTGACCTTCCGTTGGCGGAATGCGGTGCTTAGTCTGATGAAATAAATCCTCAAAGGGTACCTTTCGCTCTCTGCAAGATCTCGCGTGATGATTTCGGTTGGATAATGTTCGGAGTCGGCTGGCTTGGGAATACCTATCAACAACACTCTAGCCAAAGGTCAGCATTGAATCGGTTCTATCATGGATGATCACGTCGGGCATCCTGGAGAATCTGACTTGATCTTGTGCTGAACCTTGCTTCCATCTGTGCTCTTGTAGTGAGCAAGACCTTTTTGAATTTCCAGCGCCTTCGAAAGCCATTAGCAGATGACTCTCGGCATTTGGCTTTCCAAGTGGCCAACAGACCTTTGCCATGATCTCGATTAGCTGTGTATCCACAATCACGTAACGTATTTGCAGAAAATCCGGTTCAGGATCACTCGAAACGACTCGTAGTCGTGTCGTGACAGCCTGATGAGGGTGGAATGGTTGAATCTGGCCGGGAGCGAAGGGAAGCTGAACAGAAAAGGAATCGGAGTCAGCTGGCTGCGCCACCCTCTCGCTCGCTGGAGGTCACCAAGACTTGTGCCGTCGAAGTATCACAGTGTGTGGCACTGCCCAGTAAATGTATGTTTGTAGCATTAAGCCTCCGCGAAGAAATCCAATCAGGCTACCAGAGTAGCATTGCTCTAACCACCCATAGCATATGAGATTTGGTTCAGTCCGATTGGCGGCATTGCTGGAATGTGTCTGACGTGCATTTGAGGAGGTTGTGCATGGCTAACCACCTACAAAGAGTGAGAGACTAGGGTAAAATAAGAAAGGATCTGTCCCAGAACAACCAGCTATTGATAGACAGCCTGATGCATATTTTGAGTAGATCAAAGAGTGTGTGTGGGGCATCCTGCTGAGAAATCTAGAACAGGGAAAACGGCTGATGAACTACATGATTTCGTCCCGACTTTAAATATCAATTTTCCTCGGCTTGCCAGCACAAAGCATTGTTTCGTTGCCTGTTTCCTCACGTAATATTTGGTCAACTATCAACATTCCTGCATCTCACCCGAAACCTCCGCCGATCTATCAACATGCAGCACTTGGAAGATGCATACTCAGGTGTCCAAGTCAAAGGCCTTACTATTGGATATTATCACAAGGAGCTGAACGACTGCCACAAGAAACATGGGAGCAATTTCGAAGATTTTGTAACATTCCCTCTGAGGCATGGCTGGGACCTCAACGAAGACTTCACGTTGAACGAAAGGACTGCAGAATCGAAAACTCCTGGATGCAAACCATTGCATGACTGTCCCACGCTATTACAGGGGTGGATCTTTTTTCAACTATCCAGATCCTTCTTTTGTCTGGTCGAAGATTCATGTCTTGACCACACCGACCTTGTGGATTCGGACCAGCTCAGCACGAAGAAACTAACCCAGGCTCTAAAATCATGGCATCGCCAAATGGTTCGGCATTACCAAAGGAACAAAGAAGACACATATCAGAAACTCTTCCGTGCAATTCAACTCCTTGAGCTAGCAAAACAAGTTGTAACCGCGAACCTAGCTGAGAGGGTCACCCAGCTCCCTGTACCAGCTACGAGTATTGATGATGGGAACAGCGAGAGCGACAGTGACGACGATGATATCGACGAGGCAGAGCATGAGGCTCTGTGTCTGATGATATTTGGAGAAACACTATCAGCAACTTTGACACAGACAATGAAAGTATGCAATGTAAGCCTTTATGGATGGGAAGTTGACGATGAGGGAGGATGGGGTCCTCCGGGATTCGTCACCCAGGAAATGATCAAAAAGCGGTGGTGTCCTAGAGCCAGAGAGGTCATTAAAGGACAACTTGGCCGGAATGCAACGCTGTTATACATCACCCTGCGTTCTCACGAGAACAATAGGCACAACAAACATAGGAAAGATCGACGAAAGTGTAAGCCTGGGAAGTGCTTCTACATCGAGTCAGCCGACAAAGAAAACAACCAACGCACATACAGTCCTTCACATCATGGCTCTTGCGCCAACAGCAAAGCTTGCCGTCGGATCGGTCCCCGAGAAGCCGAGGTCATGGAGATCTTGGATACTGAGCCTAAGGAGTCAAAAAATGGCCCGTTCCCATTACTCAGAATCGCTGGGGCTGAAGGACAAGAGTCAGTCAAAGTTGTGAGGTGGGAAGAAAATGCCAACATGGAGTTCGCGACAATTTCACACGTTTGGTCTCAAGGTCTTGGGAACGAGGACAAAAGCGAGATCCATGCCTGTCATCTAAGAGCAATCCGTGGGTATCTCCGAGAGGTCTTTCGATCTGACGACAAAACCGATCATCTTTTCTGGCTCGACACTCTGGCCATCCCGCAGAACATAAACACCAAAGGCTTGACAGGGGACACAGAAGAGCGTGAAAAAAGAACAGAAATCAAAAGGCGGGCCATTGAGCGAATACATCACGTGTTCAGCCAGTCAAGTCATTGCATTGTAATCGACAAGCACTTGGTTGGCAAGGTAAAAACAGCCGACGATTGTCGGACAGCTGCTGCTGGGTTACTCGCTTGTGGATGGATGATGCGGCTATGGACCTTGCAAGAGGCATTCGTGAGCAGAAAGTTGCACTTGGCGATGAAAGGGCACAAAGGACAACAATTGCGAACTCTGGATGAAATGTGGAATCAAGATGATCCAGAAGACGTCTTGAGGGTTTCTATGGGCGGCATGATCAGAAGAAAGCTTGCGGATGGCATGATGCGCAAAGACCATGGATCCTTGAAGCCACAAGGCAAAGCTAAAACTGCCCGAGCAGTGCTTATTGCAAACGCCTGGAGGGCTACACGATACCGAGTAAGTCTATTCTCTCAAACTGACGGTATATTTGTGAGTTAAATGTACTCTTCGGGAAGACGATCGAGCGACGTGAACACGAAACGCTTGTTCTGGCCAGTATTCTCAACATTCCTATTCCTCAGACGACATCGGACCTGAAACGAAGAGAGACAGGAGTGACGGACAACGACAAACGGCGCAACGAACTCATGAGAGATTTCTGGAAATCAGTTGGCAACCACAGAGAACTACAGAACTCTATTCCGGCAGGCATTATCTTCTTACCCGGCAAACGTTTGTCGGAGGCAGGTTTTGGATGGGCACCAGCAACATGGATGTCGCACGGAGAAGAATCGTATCCGTACCCGTTGAGTAACCCTAGGTTCCACACTACCCTGGTTCCAGAAGGTATTCTTGTGCAATACCCAGGATACATCCTCCATGCCTCAAAGGAAAAACTCAGAGATATTATCGGGGTGGGAGGAGACACCTCGTTCAGATTTTCAATCAACAGAGGCCTTCACGAGTGGTATCAAGTAACCGATGCTGATAGTGAGTCTTTCAGCGAACACGCAGACAGCCTGGGTAATAAATTGGATGAAGAGGGTTCGTTGAGTCTGAGGATTATCTTGTCCAGGCCCCGGCCGGTGGAGGTCCCTGGAGAAATTGGTCTGCTCGTCGAAACTTACGGCCAGCCACGTATAGAGGGAAACACCAATTCCCAGATCAGCTTGGAAAAAGGAGTAGATGATACCCTTCAATCCAATTGCATTCAGGGATCGGTTATCAGGGGAAAAGAAGAGAAGAGGATTCATGATTCAGGGGCGCTAGAGGAGGAGGGTGAACAAGAGAGTGGCTCCACAGACGGGACGTTCTTTGTTCGAATCATTCGAAGGGTGAAGGTTGCAAGATTCTCGATCCATCCTGTGGCTCCCCTCGACCAGCGCACTGCAATAGACACAGAAGACTCTGTCGAAAACCCAGTGCTGAGACGGTATCAGATGTTCGGCAAAAATCAGGTCTCTGGCGTTGCAGTAAGCGATACGCAGCAATGGTGTGTTGACGGTTACCACGATCAGGACGAGTCTGAAAACTCAGACAGATTACATGGGTATAAAGATGACACGTTGGACGCAGACAGCTTGGAACAAGCACCCGAAGAAATCGACTTGTCGATAGGGGGTGGGCTAGTTTCCTCGTCCCACTCATCACTAGCGTGTGAACTGGAGAGAGAGGATGATGTGATGGCTGAAAGAATTCCATTAGCTTCTGGAGGCTCGGAATTCTCAAACCAGGAAGGGGAAGAGGAAGGCTCAGGAGAGTCGACGAAGAACGTGTTCGTGGCAGTAAACACCCTTAGACGTGTCATTGGCAGTTTTTGGCCTGGTTCTTCACAGTCTTAGATTCAATCAGATAAGCGATGTGAAAAGATGAGAAATGAGTCCGTGTAGTTTTTACTTGAGTACGATTTTGGTGGCTTTGTTGACTTTGAAACTCAGGATTCTTCTTGAATCACTAGACTTGCGTTTAATGTTTCAACCTTCCAAATACAACGCACTTTCAAGAACCCGTACGATGAGTATGGAATATTACAAACTAGGTATTATCTCATTATGGCGGCCTCTTGGATCATAAAAAGTCGTGACTTGAAGATACAACAGTACTCTACCTACTCTACCGGACCATATGGCCAATGACTTGCACACTCGTCGGGGCCAAGTACAATCGGCATAGTCACTGAGTGGTCAGAGCATCAAGAATTTACGCCCGCTCAGTATTCCATAAGGAGCCTGCGGCCAAATCTGAAGTGAAAAGCTGAAAATGCTACTTATGTTGCCCACGGGATGGACTTCATACTGTCCGTCCTCGGTCTCATGATAAGTGAATGGCGCGTTGTAGGAGACAACCTCATGAGTCCTGCCCCGTCTACCATGCGTTTCTTGTTATCCACGTCAATGCCTCCGTCCGTATTCGTTACCTTCTCGTTTGCGTTGTGAGATGTCTCTGGCCCTCTTTCGATATCCCATTGCCGTCGCTCGGTCGGTTCATTTGAATCTGAGCCTTTAGTAGACTGTTTTGACCCGGCTACATCAACCTCAGGAGACGCTTTTGGGTATTGGCGTCCGCTGTCGAAGTCGTCCGTCAGCACAAAAGGCTCTGCTTGGTGAAGGTATTCAAGTTCTGTTCCGTCATATAGAAACCTTGGGTACTTGTTTGGGCTGTCGCGTCTTGATTCACTCCTCAATTTGTCTTCTCTTCTCTTCTTTTCGTACTGCGAGTAATCCCCATGCCACCATGACTTTTCCTCGGGCTTCAATTCGCCTGGAAAGAATTCGTTGCGCAAGGAAGTTCCTCGACCATACGTGGTGTGAAAGTCCATGATAGCATCCATGACTTTGCGCGACTTGATACGATCGACTCGCTTAAGAGGCAAGTTTCGTAACTTGGTTGGCACCTCTGCGGCAGCAAGCCAGGCATTTTGGAACATTCCCAGGCCCCCAACCCCCAATATGCACCAGGTCTCGGGAATACTTCGACTTCCAGAAACATTGATGAGAAGAAGAAGCCACAAGACCGAAAGGATTATGAAGGAAGTTTGGGTGAGGATGAAACCCAGCGGAAGCCCCCGGACTGGCCAAACAGCACATCTCTTCGCATTTCGAAGCATCGTGTTTCTTCTTGGCATCATGGGCTCCTTCATCTTGTTGCGTTGAGGTTTCGAGAGCCATCGGAACTTTTCCCACGGGCGACTGATTCGAGGTGATGGCATCGAGGCCAGGGCCTCCAGATCCAGGCACCGACCGTAGCCTAGGATGACCATGATATCCCGTGATCCATTTCCTGTTGTCAAGGCAAATATCTGGGCGGATCGTTGTCGATTGGGCAATTTTTCCGCTGTCCATTGAGGCAGAATGCCAGTCAACTGGACCAATACAGTTCCCGCTGCCGTGATCAGAAGGACATTCCAGGAACGATTGATAAAGAATGGAACAAGTGCAATCCCTAACTGAATCAGGGTCACAACCATGCCGATGAGGTGTAAATAACTCCAAGAGAACTTTGTGGGGTCATTTCCATTCCAAGTTGCTTCGAAAACCGATATTCTCAGGGCATAGTCGCCGTCTTCGTCGTCTGCAACGGACATGCGAGACTCGACCGCTTCCATGTCACGCAGTAACCTGCCGAGAACGAAGCTCCTGCTCTCACGCAGATACCCTGAACCCAGGTTCAGAACCTTGCATGCGTAATCAGGTGGCGAGAGAAGACGGCCGTCGCCAATGATACCCACAAGTCCGATGAATGCATAAGCAGCACAGCCAAAAGAAAAACAGACGGGCACATAGGCTTTGCCGGTCCCTTGAGAGAAGGCTTTCTGAACGATATCACCACCGAGGATGAAAAGAATGGTTGAAACATCGCCAGGGTTTATCCATTGGGCCTCCAATTCTTTGGCGGTTGACGTAGTGTTCATGCTGCTGTTATTACTACTTTGTGATGGGGAAGTTGATGAGAGAAGAGCAGAGCAGAAGGCAAGGAAACCCCTGGAACGGTGTTCGAGTCGGGGGGATTTGGGGAGACAACAATTCGAAGCAGACTGTAGTGGTAGTGGGCGGTTGGTTGTCCGCTGCCCATTTTGCAATGGTGGGACGCCATGCAAGCCATCGGGCGATAGCCATCACAGTGCAATATTGTTTGGCGATTCAAGGTCATTTGTAGATGTACATAGTGCTGTTCTGCGAACAATCCGAGGGAATATTACTCACATGACGAACGTGGTTGGCCGCGGTCTCAGCCGTGTCTTACCGCCCCTTTAAGAAGGTGAGGATGCGCTTTGTAGCCTATGGGCCCCTGGAAATATTTGCAGGTGGCACAATATCTGGGAAACGTGTGGTTACACAACATTAGGACAGCTGCGTGCCACCAACCATGATGGTTTTCTTGAGAGGCAGGCAACCTTGGCAGTCGGGCGAAAAGCCAACTCCAGCTCACGTAGGTCTTCTAAGATATTTGACTTGTGGAAAAGTCCGCCTGATATGTGCGTCGGTCAAGGCCGTGCTGCCTTGGTGTATCAGCCACAATTCCGTCACCCTCCAAGTTTCAATCCTTTGCCCAAACCACAAGACTATTTCATCAGTCGCCCATCATAAGGCATATTTGCCTTACCGAGATTGACTCCCGGCCAGATAATGGCTGCACATCTGATCCCGTCACCGGACGGAAGGTGTGGAAGCTTTCCAAGCTCGTATACTCCAGCCCCTGCCTTGCTCACAACATAGGTATTAGTCACTAACTGTACGCGAGCCACAAAAAAGCGGCCCCTCGTTATGTTACCGAAGTGCCCATACAGAGAACTGACGAGAGTAGTTTCGCCAGTCAGAGATCATTTCGGCCGTGTCGGGGCACGTATAGAGTCTTTCTTCAAATCAAGGGTACAAATATGCGGTTTTTCTGGAGTCATCAAGGACGCGGAGCTGTGTGTTTTAGTATCGTCGCTCAACCTTTTGATCTTGGCGATGACGTTGGTGACGGCCTGACTAGGTGGGGGGGCAATGGGAAATGGAGATATCTACATTTCATTGGACAGCCTCGACGTGGCCACGGAAGATCAGATCTTTGGCTAAGGCTTTCGCTTTGCGCTTTGCGGTAACTTGAGTCCATGACTAAATTTTCTTACTCCGAGACCTCAAGTTGTTTCCTCGTTAATGACAGAAACATGCTTGGTCCAGATTTCACCGATTTTGAGATCTTGTCTTGCTATCCCGGAGATCTGTCTAACTCGTGTTTAAACAACTGATTGGTCGAAGTATAGCACTCAAATATTTTGGGACATAGAAGAACATACACACAACCTTGTACAGTCCAGAAAAGAGTGAAGCAGCAGGATCATGCATATAACTATTGAAACAGAATTTCTGTTGTCAAGAAGTGTCGACAAGTACTGGAGGTATCTTGGTTTATCTTTCCTCTTTGATGGGGCGGGAGTTGACAGTCCACTCGTTCTCTTCAACAAATACACCGCGATAGTCTGCCAAGGATTATTTTGCAATCCCGCTGTGGCCATTGAAGTCATCCGAGTCCCCCTCAACCAATGGACCTGCAGTCGAATCGTGGTTGTAGATGAGTCGTCGTCGGCTGATTCACGGGGCTCCAAAGCGAAGTTGTTGGCTCCCTGGGGAATTTTTTAGCTGAGAACTTTGACATTATCAGCATGGCTCACATGTTGCTTAGATAGATATGATAAGAATACTTACGCAGTCTGATAAGTCTTGGAAAAGCGAGGATACTTAAGTGTATGCAGATCACTAATAAACAAATGTTCTTCTTCACTCGAAAGCCTCCATAGTCTATGAAAAAGATTCCAAAGGGGACTGGTGTTGAGTGCCATATGGGGACTCCAGAAACCTGCTCTGTGGAGAAATATTAATAGGGCTGTTTACATTCGCCTTTCGAATCTGAGTGACTAGGCTGAGTCTGCTCTATATCTTGTCATCCATGTTGCTGTCCAGTTTTGTCCTGGGCTGCGGGTCTTTGAGGGTTATCAAGTTGTTTTAAGCCATAGCAAACTAGAAAGTTGTAATCATGTAGAGACAGCCATGTAGGAAGTACACGGATATTCACATCTCGATTGTGTGGTTGCGGGGATAGTTGGCCGGAGACGGTAAAAAGGAGGCGGCGGCGAAACTTGACTAAATGGGAGGCACAACTAGATGATCTGCAGAGAGGTCACTAATAATAAGGGTTCAAACGAACGAAAAGCTATAAGAGTGATATCCCGCTATTCTTCTTTCAGGGCGATACTTTTACATGACTTCTCAACAACCTTAGGCCACCTGTCGGATTGGAAGCCCAATTCGACCTCGAGTCAGCGCCAGCGCAGGGGCCATCTGAGGGTCTCTATATCAGCGTTCAACCGGCGATGCTCTCTTTTCCTCTTTACGCAGAGATCAATACAAGTTAATTGACCCTTCATCACCACGGTTCGATCGAACAATCACCCCTGTGATACGTAAACCAACACCACCTTCTTTCCCGTTTAAAGCTATTTTCATATACAAACGTCTTTTAAATAAAATTTCTCCTCCCTCTCTTTTACCGTCCTGATTAACATCATTCATGAGTAAATAAATTTGTATAGACTAGATTAGGTATATAAGGATGATAATAAAGCTAGGCACGATAGCACTAGTTCACTACTCGATTTATAAGCTTTTTAATGAGCCGACTACTGCATTCTCCCAGCCGGCCGCACTCACTTAGATAGCTATGTAAATAGCAATAGAAATTATAGAATAATAACCTTAGAGTGACCGTGTAAGCCAGCTAAAAGAGTCTACGAGATTCTTCAGCGGCGCCGGACCAGCGCCTAGCGCCGGCCTACTGTTCTAAAGTAATACAACCTTCCATAACCTCAGGCCGTGGACGATCGCAATTATTCGATAATTGAAACTGAGTTAAGTATGACGTGGAGTAAGGAACGCTTTCTGGTTGATTACAAGACATAACACTACCCAGGCTTCGAGTCTACTACAAGTAATAGCGCTGAAAAGTCATTAATAAAACCTATGCGGTTCCGCTAGCCTGTAGGCTAACTTTAAATCTATGTGAAGAGGACGGTTTTTCTTTTCAAATCACTCATCAATAGTCACTCTTGAACGAAAGATATTTACCCTGTTTAATAAAGTTAGAATGAATTAAGAAACGGGATCTGTGATTAAACGAAGTCTAAAACTATTGTACCTATGACGTCTCATTCCGAACGTCCTTTGCTCTAACCATCTTCTCATTTTAGCTGCAAGCTCCACCATTCCTCTCTATCTGAATTGCTCGCCAGCATGCTCCAGGAACTCCATCATCCCTCGCTTGGACGCCTCCTCAATACGACGTGCCGACTCCCGCTTCTCTGCCAACGCCAGCATATAATCGCCGTGCATGGTTGCAGCAAGGTTCCTGATCTCAGCCGTCATGTCCTCGCCCACCGTCTCCAGGCCATCCTCGAGAACCTCCTTGACGTTCCGGATCGCGGTGCGAAACATCTTAATCTTGCGGTTGAGAATGTATTCCTGGATTCTGGCATGCATCTTCTTGACTGATCCAGTTCCTGTATGAATTTGCGCTGTGATTAGCCAAGGACCAATTTGGTTTTCATGATTTTTCTTCACACAGTGGAATCGTACTCACCATGTATCTGACCGCACTCCTCATATCCAGGAGCCATTTCTTCCGCGATTGGTGGAGTCAACGCTCGACTGGCGTCCTTCTGGGCTTCATCGACTCCATTCCGGCTTTGGGCGGCAATGCGCACAAGCTTCTCCTTGTGAAGTTTGAGCTGCTGGTTGAGCTGCATGATTGTTGGAGATTCGTCATGGTCGTTGTCGTGAACTCCGAGTTGCTTGATGACTTGTTCGTGAAATGTACTCAGTCGCTGGGTCGTAGAGACAGAGAAGTTGTCAAGCACGCTTGGGATGCTGAACTGGAAGAAGTTGGCCCAGGTCTGGGCAATGTTTTCTTTAATGGGCTTCACTAGGTCTTCGTTGAAGTTATGCAGCTTCCAGGTGCCTTGACGAATGAATGTAGCCCTCAGGGTCGAGTGGTTCATATGGCACCAGCGAAGGGCGGTAGGAACTGCCGCCCGGCTGGCATTGGAGCTCAAGCGCGTCATCTGGGCATATAAGATGGTCTCTGCTTTCAAGTGCAGATTGTCGAGACAATCCTCGACGTCTCCGTTAATATCCTATTGAGTCAAGTGTTATCTCATGACCCCATGCGCAGAAGAACCAGATTGCACTCACGGTTTGAAGGCGTATTAGCATCCCCTTCAAATGCTCTCCATCGATGGTGGCTCTAGTCTCTGCCGTGTCCCGAGCCCATATGGCTATGGAGTTGAGCACTTGGCAGATGTCATTGAGCACCTCTTGATACTTTGCAATGCGAAGCTCCTCTGTCAGCTTCTGAGCGTGAGCTTGGAGCTGAGGAATTTCAGTATCCTCCTCAGTGTCGAAACCAGGAGTCGTTTCGTCGTCATTCGCCACGAGACCCTGCATTTTCTGGTATACATGGCTGCTGGTGCAGAACACCGGAGTCAAGATGGACATTTCGTCATAATCGCGGGGCTCTCCAATAGCCTGGCTATGTGCGTCGGAGTTTGCTGCATCCTGTCGATCAAGACTTGCTTGTTTATTAGCATGTGTAAGTTTCAAAAATAATATCTTAGCATGTTGCTTACTCTCTGAAGCTTTTGGCAAGGTGCTTCTTGACAGCCTCTCTGGAGAGCTCGTTGCGCCTCCGAATTAAACGCGCATGCACCTGGTACATGAGCTGTTTCTTTTCGAGCTTCAGCTCTGCAAGCTCTTCATGCTTCTTTGCGTTCGGATCAGAGTTGGTAGCACTATCATCGGCCAAGTCCATAGATGTCTCTAGGGCAAGATCCTTTGCTTGGTTATCGGGCGGCTCAGTTCGTGCTCTCTTAGCTAGACGCTCTGTAGCGTCGTCAGTAGCAGTGCGGGCTTGTTTACGACAACCCCGGACGACCTTGAGGTCCTTTTCTAAAGCCTTGATACGACGATCAATTGCTTGGACCTGGATCCATGCGTCCTTAGTATCCTTGTTCAGTCTCGATTTCATGCTTTCTAATCCCGAGTTGATTGCCATGTCATCAGTCTTTGAGCAAATGATGGTCAAAGCCGAGAACGCTCCATCAAGCTTGAGTTGACGCTTGATGGAGTTACTCATGATATCTTTGGCTGTCTTGTTGTCCACAGCCCTGTTGATAGGAGCGACGACCCAGATACCTGAACATGACTTGATGTAGTTGCTTGCTACCGCAGCTCTGGCAGCATCCCAATCTTGGTGACCAGGCTATCAAAGCCAATGTCAGCGAATCTAAGCGTAGTGATACTTCATGTAAAGTGCAACATACCAAATCCACGATTGTGATGCCATTGGAAAGCACTTTGGCTTTGGTGAAGATCCTGACAACCTTCACTAAAGGCCAGTATGCCGCGGTATCGTCATCCTTGTCCTTGGAGTCGACGTAGGGCTGGACTTCCTCGCGGATGTTCTGGGCATTGTCGCATTTCAGCGTCATGGTGGTGCCAAGAAGCCGGGTGATATTTGGATGATCAGCAAGCTGTGCCGAGGTGCTGGTAGCCAAGTCTTGGATGGTCATGGACGGATAAACCGCTTGGACTTTTGCCAAAGCTTTGGCTGCTTCACTTTCTGGGTCCAGATCTTCCTTCTCCTCAGTCTCATCGGCGAGGAACTCCATCAGTAGTATGTTGACTTCCCGTACCCACTCCTCACGAGAGATGAAGTCGATTTCTGCACGGTATGGGTTCTGTTCGTCCTCGTCATGGTTGTAGGAAATCTCCGTGGCAACAGCAGTGCATGCACGCATACAGCTGGTGGGAAGCAAACTAAGGTACGAGCGATTAGCTTAACTCACTTTCGCACAGCTAGTGCGCAGTAAATACCTCTCTTCATCTAGCAAAGCATTAATAGTTGAGCTTTTACCATCACCCGTGTTACCTAGAACACCGATAACAGTCTGATGCGATCGCTTTGCTCGATGACGCAAATCGCAAATTCGGTGAACCCAATGCGATGCCGCAGTCTTGAGAGCAGGCTGAAGGTTTCTGGAGGAAGCAATGCTTCTGCAAGCGGACTCGAGATCGTCCAGGAGCGGCAAGATCCTCTCGCAAAACGACTGCCAAAGATCTGGGTCTCTGATCTTTCTCATTTTCTCTAGGTAGGAGAAGGTCAGTAGATCTCGCTGTTTAACAGGGATAAGTGTTCCCTCGGTAAAAACATGTGGCATGGCATCGTGATCTTGCATGCTCTTCGCCTCGATGCCTTCGTTGATGGGACCATCCAGCTGGGTCTCGTCATGTTGCTCGGTTTTGACTCGAGCGACTCCCCCGATGAAACTCATCGTGCGACTGTTGGAGAAAACTTTGGAAGGTATTGTTCCACGGTACTGCAGACGAAATGGGCTCAAAGCTGTTTCCGGGCGAATGTCGCTCGAAGATGCGTCCTGTGCTCTCGAAGGAAGATTATAATGGAAGAAGAAGTTCAGAATTGTTGCCAACTTTCCAATTAAATGAAAATGATTTTGCAGCAATGAAATCCAGTAAAGTCAATGCTCGAAATGGGACAGTGCCGAAAGTCCAAACGATGAACGTAGGAAGACTAGCGCGTTAGTATTAAGATGTGAGGTCAAGCGGTGATGATGATGGACTGATGAAGGGGCAGGCTTGAGTGAATGTGCAAAGAGCAGGTTGAAGAAATTGGGTGGAGGTGTGAAGAAGGAGAGGTTGAGTTGAAGTTGTCTGGAGGAAGTGACGGAGAGAGCATAAAGGGTCTAAGTATCGGCAGGAGTCAAGACTCAAGAGCTGCCCTCTGGTATTGGTCGATTGGAAAGGAAAGAGAAGACAGGGACCGCAACTGCTTCCAGTAGATTTCGGTTACTTTCTTGGGTGCCTCGAGGAAGAAGGTCCAACTGACGTTCGAAGAAAGTGAGGATGGCTCCGGGGGTTGGGGGAATTGAAAGTCAACGTCAAAAGAGGGTTTTATGTGACAACTTGGCCGCACTTCCGCGAGACCCTGCGACTGTTGAGACCCCAAGCACATTGCTTGAACTCGATTTTGAGCTCGATAATTCCTGATATTGAGTGGATAAGTGCGGATAGCTTCATTCTGGCTACAACGCCCAAGCGACCTCACTAATCTTGGCTCTCCTTCCCCTTTTTAGCTTACGATACGCTGCCCAGCTGGCTGAAGATTCTGCTCAGAGTCCTTGCCTTTTTTAACTACATACTGCGCGAGTTTGGTTCCAACCTCCAAACGCCTATCAACAGAAAATAGATCTGAAAGAGGAAAGCGCAACGCCACTCACCTCGCCCTCGGTGAAGCAAATTCTTCACCCCGCCTTCACCGGGTCCACCGAAATAGTACAGCCAAGTCACAAGCTGAGTACCTACGGATACCTAAGGGGAATAAGGCAGATACCTTAGGTAGCCATCTTATCAGATCTTATCAGATCCTTCCCAGCGCAGCCCCACCATGCGAACCCCGCGGTGCGCTTCCGCCGCGACGACGCAGGCCGAGGCGGGCTGCCCCTCACAAGCAAAGCCGACTATATCCCTCTCACACCACCCGAGTCAATAACAACACATTGCACGACACACGCAGGCGCAACACCATTTCTGCTGTCGCAAAGCATCTTTAGCATACAAAACTGGGCGCTAACGGCAAGTACAGAATCACCACAATCATGGCGCAAGTCACACATCAAGCACCAGGCGCAGGGGAGCTCTTCGTCAACGGGCGCATCTTCCTGCACAACGCCGAAGCCGGCCTCGAAACGCAACCCACCTTTGCCGAGAGCATGTTTGTCGCCGACGGCATCATCGAGAACATTGGCACAACAGAGCATCTCAAGGCAAGACACACATCCGGAGACGTCACCACACACGACTTGCAGGGCAGGACAGTTCTGCCAGGCTTCATCGATGGACACGTCCACCTGCTCCTCCTCGGCCAGTCGCTGCGCAAGGCCAGTCTCGAGAACTGCACATCACTCGAGGAGATCCGCGCAGCCATCAAGGAGTACGCCGTCGCCAACCCGGATGTCCCGCGCATCATGTGCAAGCTGTGGACGCACGCCATGACCCCCGACGGCGTCGACAAGACCATGCTTGATGACATTGACCCGCGGCCCATCTTCATCGACACCAAGGACCTCCACTCGACCTGGTGCAACACAGCCGGCATCAAGGAGCTCGGCATTGAGACCATGCCCGACCCGTCAGGAGGCAAGATCCACCGCGACGCCGAGGGCAAGGCGACGGGCCTGCTCAGCGAGGCCGCCGTGCTCACCATCGTGTGGCCTCATCTCGCCCAGGTGGCGCCCAAGAGAGACCGGATGGACGCCATGAAGGATGCCGTGCAGACCTACAACGCATCCGGCTACACGGGGCTCATTGAGATGGCCATGGACGAGCCGGCATGGGACGCAGCCTGCTCGCTCCGAGCTGAGGAACCCAACCTGCCCATGCGCATTCACGCCTACTGGCTCATCAAACCATCCGAATCCGAAGAGGAGCGCTTCAAGCAGGTAGATCGGGCCATCGAGCTCCACAACGAGCTCAACAAGACAACGTCCCCCGACCTGCGCATCGTAGGCATCAAAATCATCACCGACGGCATCATCGACGCCTGCACCGCTCACCTGTCCGAGCCCTACGCCGAGGTGGGCTCCCCCCCGCCCTTCTGGAGCGCCGAGTGGCTCGGCCCCGTGGTCGCGAAGGCAGACGCCGCCGGCTTGCAAATCGCCCTACACGCGATCGGCGACGCGGCCATCAAGAACGCAGTCAACGCCCTCGCGGACCACGCCACGCCAGGCCGCCGCCACCGCCTCGAGCACATTGAGATGGCCTCCCCCGAAGACGCAAAACACCTGGGCGAGCTGGGCCTCACGGCCTCGATCCAGCCCGTCCACGCCGACCCGGCCATCCTGCGTGCCTGGCCCCGTCTCATTGGCGACCACCGCTGCGAGCGCGCCTTTGCCTACCGCGAGTTCGCCGACCACGGCGCCCTCCTCGCTCTCGGGAGCGATAGCCCCACGGCTCCCTGGGCGCCGCTGCAAAACGCCTACGTCGCGACGACGCGGCGGTCCGCTCGGGAGCCGGGCTACGACGTGGTCGTGAATGAGCATTTTAGACTGGGCGTGTGCGAGGCCATCACGGCGGCCGCGTTCGGGACAGCAAAGAGCGTGTTTGCAGAGGATCGGACGGGTTCCTTGCAGGTCGGCAAGCGCGCGGACTTTGTGGTGGCGGAGATGGACTGGACGCCGCAGGGTTTGCTCAAGGGCGAGATCAAGGCTACCTGGTTTGATGGGCGGAGGGTTTGGGCGTCTCCCGATGCATAGGGTAGGGGCTGGAACTGGAAACTAGCTACACGTTCATGTGGAGTCAGATTTAGCCGCGGCCGCTACTATTGCCCGCAGACGCGTATACACCCACCCCGAACATAAAAAGCTGAGAGGACAGTATGCCAGCCAATTGGTGGTGTTCGTGTACAAGTATTTATCGGCTCCCACCTGTTCAGAGATCTGCAAATCAAGGTTCTTGTGCACTTTTTGTGTCTGCGTGTGCGTGTGCGTGTGCGCCTGTGTGCGAAAGAGAGAACGCATGTCAAGTATGAGTGAGCGTGAGAGAGAGAGAGTGTGTGCTTGCCGGCGCCGTATTCTGGGAATAGTTTCATCCCATTCAATGCGTGTTTCCGGCTCTGCGGCAAGGTGGCATTGGCCGCTCCCTAACCCCCCCTTCCCCAAGGCCGACCCAACTCTCACGCATTGCCCCCCAATCTGGGAAAGGTTGCTTTGCAAAAATCACACCAACTTGGGGGGGGAATGTTATTCGCGCTGAAGTTTTCCCCGGAGGTTCTTCGCGAGTGGCTCGGACAGTGGGCACGTCAGGCGTCAAGGGTGTTGTCCGGGCAGAAAAGAAAGGCTTGAACGGCATGATGGGAAACGAAGGGACTTGACAAAAGGCAAATACCAAAATCTAGACAAGGGTCCCCCCCCCCCTGTGCGCTTTTGCATGTCTGCGATATCAGAGAATTCCAAAAGAGGCTCTGGCAGCGGATGTCAAAACCACCCCTCCCACTCCTCCCCCCATTTCAGCACATGGAGGCATGGTGCGAGATGCCGCGGCTGCGTCCAAGGATGGTCGTCTCATCCCAGGCTCTGGATGGCCAGTACAAGAAGACGGCCTTGACCCCACGAACTTGGACAGATCGGGCAACCCAACCTTTTTTTTTCTTCTCCCTCACTTTGACCAGAACCCTTTTTTCGACTTTTGATCCTTCAAGAAACACACGGACGCTTTTCTTTTCTCGTGATCCACTCCTACGGCCTAACGAAACGCAAAGCTCTTCACAAGAAATGATGCAGTATCCACTGAGTCTGTCGGCGCTCGCCGCCCTCGTTCCCTTCGTCCTGGCTGCGCCCCAACAGCAACCTCCTCCCCCAGGGCCGCCGGCCGCTTGCGCGCCAGTCAACATCATCGTGGCCCGCGGCAGTCTCGAGGCGCAGGGTGTCGGTCTGTTGGGCAATATTGCCATGAACACGTCGAATCAGATTCCTGGTTCCATTATTACGCCGCTGGTGTACCCGGCCCAGCTCGATCCGTATCCGCCGTCCGTCTCGGCTGGTGTCATGAACATGACGACTCTCCTCAACCAGCAAGTGCAGCAGTGCCCTCAGACAAAGCTCGTTTTGATGGGTTACTCTCAGGTAAGTTTCTCGTGAGTTTGACTTGATGCCGGAGTATCTGACAAAACACTAGGGCGCACAAGTCTCGCTGGATACCCTCTGCGGTACCACTGACGGACCCAACTTCAATACGACTGCTGCTCAGGCACCCATGATCGGAAGCAAGAGTAAGTCACTAGATTTGCAAGCTCATAAGGCAGCCGTGACCAGTCACTAACACGGCTCAATAGTCGCTGCCGTCGTCCTGTTCGGCGACCCAACCTTCATCGCCAATCAGCCCTTCGCCAAGGGAACCTCCAAGAAGAATGGCGTATGTCTTTTTTCAACCCTCCATCACACCCCTCCATCATGGTTGACTGACCAATCCATCTCAGATCTTCCCTCGCCAGGACCTCGGCCCTTGTCAGAGCCTGACGAGCAAGTTCGTGTCCTTCTGCGACGACACGGATCTCTTCTGCGCCTCGGGCCAGAACCTGACTGTGCACCTCGGCTACTTCTCAAAGCAGGACTACGTCGCCCAGGCTTCGACATTCGTCGTCCAGCAGACCAAGTGAGTTGGACAGGACGCGGCTGTAGCATCGATACCCGAGAAGCTGGCGACTCGGCGGCTACTTGATGCGAGAGACTGGGGGTGTAATGATTTTACGATTCTTGACGATCACCATTTTCTTTCATGCTTCAGAGGCATTTCAGACCGGTCTTGATGATCGACGTATGGAGTTCTGTGATGGAGGCAAAAAGACTCTCTTATTATTTGCAGCGTTTTCTGATATTAGACCCTTCGAGCCAGAACCGTTGAATAAACGAAAAGATTAATTCTCCAAGAACCGGAACGTGTGTTGTCCGTGCTTGTTTCGTCAAGGATGATGTGGATGCGTGGGGGGTTGTATTTATCGACTAACCGAATGCGGAAGCGGGTCTTCTGTGGGAGCATCCGTGCACCTGTACTTCACCACTCACCGAGGTTCTTTACCGAGCACACCCTGAGAGAGACAGCTGCCATGGAAGGCGGCCGGCCTAGTCCTCAGTCATTCTTGCTAGTCTGAGATATAGAACATGACTTAGTAAGGACTAAAATAAGCGCCATTAAGAGCAGGTCAAGTCTTTGTGTTCCTCACACGTATCCAAATACTACCGCGAGAGTTCACAATAAAGTCTTTGTTAAATCCCCAGGGGCAGCCAGCCCCGAGTAGCTTACTAGTACTAGAGAAGTTTCATTTTATGATCAATTGTTAGGCGCTGTAGCCAAGATCCCTGGTGTACATATGAGTTTCTCGATCCCACCAGCAATAGCCAAATCATTCACTAGTACACAAAAATAAAGTCCTCGTTCTTCAGATCCGTCATATCCTGCAGGCCGTGATCTTCCTCAATCGCACGAGGCTGGACTTCACTTGGGTCCTCTTCAATTTCAACCGCCTTGCCTTGCTGCTTATCCTTGTTGCGCATCATCGACTCGTCAACGATCAATGTGCTCTTGCCGAGTGCCGCGCGGCGCTTGGCATGCTGGACGTTGAGGTACTTGAGGTAAAGAGGAATCAGCCTGTACACCCAAGTTAGTCAAACCGGTGCCTCGTCCACGAAGGATTTGATTTCATCACTCACGCTCCCATAATGGCGACGAGGACGAACATGATGAGGTTGGAGATCAAGCCGGGACGGTACACCGGGGCGTCATCAACGGAGTACAACAGCGGCCCGATGATGTTGCCCGTGCACATGCCGATGAAGACTACGGCAGATGTGGTCTTCTTCTTGGTGTCGCCGGCGGTGTTCTGGGCTTGCCATGTAAAAATTAGAGGCGTAATGGCGGCCAGTGCAGAGACCTAATTCCCCCATATAAGTACAACGTGCGTGTAGGTGGCCCGTGGCTAGGGGCCTTACCAAGTAGTATCCGAACAGCAAAACACCTTTGTGTTCACGCGGTACAGTAAGCATCAGGACAGTACCAATGGCTGGGATGATTGCCACGCCCGCAATGACGATGCCCTTCTTTTGAATCCGGGTAGCGACCCAACCGCTCCCCATGATGGCGATGATCTGGATGGCTCCAAAGGGAATATTGAACAGGATGGTTGTGAAACTGCTGTATCCAAATGACTGGACGATCAAGTTACCAAAGGTGGAAATGCCACCACTAGCGATGCTGCAGAAAAACAGTTAGCATCTCAACGGTACATATAGGCAATGTTTCAAGGAAGGGACTTACGAGATGGCGATGATGAGAATAAACCAGCACCAGGTCTTCAGGTCCAGGAACGTTTCCCAGACATGGTCCCAGCGCCAGACTCCAGACTGGATACCCATCTGGTTTGCTCGAAGTCTCTCAACGGCGATGACCTTTTCTCTCTCGGTCAGGTACTTGGCGGACATGGGTGAGTCAGGCATGAAGATGAGAACAATGAAGGAGTAGGTGACGGTAAGTAGGCCACAGAACCTATGTTACGGATCAAGTCAGCAAGACAACCTCAACTTCGAAGCCACAGGTGCAGCGGGCTCTGATGAAGTTGGGTTCATGACTTACAAGAAGATAATCTGGTACTTGTAGAGCTTGTCGCTGTTGATGTGGCCCAGGCCGTAGGTGAACAGACTTCCGACGATAAACGTCACGCCGTTCATGGCGTTCCAGGAACTCGTAACCAGCGTCTGCTCGCTTCTCCTCCACCATGTAGTCGTGACGGCCAGGCACGACGGTGCAATCATGGCCTCGAAAGAGCCGAGCATGAATCGCAGGCCGAGAAGGGAGCTGAAGTTGGTGCAGGAGGACATGATGGCCAGCGATGAACCCCATAAGAGGATGGCAGTGGCGATGACCTTTCCGTTGGGTAGTTTGACGAGGATCCAGGCCGCAACGGGTTGCATGACGAGTTGAGCAATGTACAAGATCGAACCGAGCCAGGAGTATTGTTTCCCAACCAGGTGGGCGTCTTCTTTGATGCCAAAGATGGAGACATAGCTAGCGTAGCCACTCGGTCAGCGGTTGTAACACATGGTCGAAGGGCATGTTTGCGAATTCACTCACCTGAGAGAACTCTTGTCCATTTGCTGGAAGAAGTACGCTCCAAGAATCAGAGGCAAGATGCGAAGATTGATTCTCTTCAGCACAGCTTGTTCTTCTTCATAAGTGAAGGTCGTATCGCCTCCTCCGTGCTCCGCAAGGAACTGGGCCGCCTTCTCCTGGACCGTGTTCGCTTGTGCTTGTGTCTCGCGGACAGGTTCGATAGAGTCGATGGTAGGACCGCCGGCCCGATCTTCGGCTGGTGCTTGGGCAGCCATGATAGATTCGATCTAGACGAGCAACCTAACAGATGTTGTCGAAGTTGAGAACGACGATGTAATGCCGATCTAGTGGTGCAGATCCTGGGTACTCCTGCAAAATGTTGACCTGATGGGAAGAAAGAGAGTAGCAGACACCCCAGTACCAGGGTAAGAACTCGTTCATCTTATCAGTCATTTGCCTCAAGCGAGAAGCCCGCTTGTCCGACCCCAACAAACCGATTTCCTCTCAGCCGGAGAGGAACGGGAAAGCCGAGCGTGGAGGCTCAGCTTCGATCTACCTTGGCAACAACTGACCCCCGCGTTGCGTATGCCATCTTGCAATGTCTGTTGGGCTCTTGCTACTACCCGGAGATTAAGTCTGCCCCCGAGTCGGATGGCACATTGCCAAGATTGGTTGCCGGGTGCTTAACAGAACCCAAGAGATCACTCAGAACACACCCCTGGCCAATGTTTGATGATGTCTCTCATTGGAGGGAAAACTTCAGGCTAAATGCGAAAGCCAAGACATGAGGGTCTCTATCAAATCAGATCACAGCCCAACGCCTGAGGGTAGCCGTATACCTTACGAGTTGCGCACACCTTTGCAAGGAACCTTCTAGTCTGCTCCAAGAGACTCCGGGGTAGTGATCTACGGGTCTACGAGCGGGTGGCTGAAATAGCCAAGTTAGGAGGACCAACAAGGAGGGTTCCCTAGACTGACGTTGAACCTATTCCCACTTCTACCCCCAACTCTCTCCACACGCCCACTACTCGGGCCTCGGTTTACCCCTGTATGCCCGAGATTTCCGACACTTGAGCGGGGAGCGCCCCCCCGCGTTCCGCTTCATCTCTCCCCGCATTGTGAGGATCCTGGTGTGCCTGGGCGTCGAGTGAGTGGTTCATAAGCCGGGCATTCAAACTACCGCGCGCAGAAACGGGATGCTATTTTGGCTAAAATCGGGCGTTTGGGATATCTGATCCCGAGCGGGATTCGTGCCGGGGGCTGGGACTGCATGAGACTTCGCGACTTGCGTACTATCTGCCGAAGCCATGACGCCTCCGAACGCGGGTTTCTGCGTCTCAAGAACGTCGCCGCCCCCATTGCAACTTATCACTCAACACGGTGCGATACAAGACGCAATTTCGTTGATATCTTGTACTTCCTACACGAGCCCCTTCAAGATACCGAACCGAATCTAACACACGACCGACCTCCACAATGGGCGAGACAACACAGAAAAAGCGTTATGCTATCGTCGGCACCGGTGGCCGATCGGGCTTCTTCTACACGGCCATCGCGAAGGACTACAGCAGCACTTCGGTTATCGTTGGTCTCTGCGACACAAACCAGACGCGCATGAACTATGCCAACTCAAGATTAAAAGATCTCGGCCACGGCGAGGTCCCGACCTATATCGCGGCCAACTTTGACCAAATGATCAAAGAAACCAAGCCGGACGAGGTCATCGTCACAACCATGGACCGCACACACAACATCTACATCGTCCGGGCCATGGAGCTGGGTTGCAACGTCGTCACCGAGAAGCCCATGACCATTGACGCACCCCGGTGCAGGGAGATCTTCTCGGCGGTCGAGCGGACGGGCCAAAAGGTGCGCGTGACCTTCAACTACCGCTACGCGCCGCACAACACAAAAATCTTTGAAATCATCAAATCGGGCGCCATTGGCAAGGTGACGAGCGTGCACTTTGAGTGGATGCTCAACGAGAACCACGGGGCAGACTATTTCCGCCGCTGGCACCGCGACAAGCGCAACTCGGGCGGCCTCCTCGTGCACAAGTCGACGCACCACTTTGACCTGGTCAACTTTTGGCTCCAGACGCGGCCGCAGACGGTCTACGCCCAGGGCGACCTCAAGTTCTACGGACGGGAAAACGCCGAGGCGAGGGGCGTGACGCGGTTTTATACGAGAGCGCACGGGAGCGAGGCGGCCAAGGACGACCCGTTTGCCCTGCAACTGGACCAGAACCCGCAGCTCAAGGCCATGTACCTGGACGCCGAGCACGAGGATAGCTACTACCGTGATCAGAGCGTGTTTGGCGACGGCATCAGCATCGAGGACACGATGAACCTGCTCATCCGGTACCGCAACGGTGCCGTAATGACGTACTCCTTGACGGCGTACGCGCCGTGGGAGGGTTTCCGTGTCAACTTCAACGGCACCGGTGGGCGCCTCGAGGTTGAGGTTGTCGAGAAGAGCTACGTCAACTCGGGCGGTAGCCAGGCTCTGGAGGGCGCGATTGAGAAGCGGACGATGCTGCTTCGGCCGCTGTTCGGCCCTCCCCAGGAGATCGATCTCGGCGAGGCCAAGGGTGCTCACGGCGGTGGAGATCTTGTCCTTTTGGCCGACTTATTCGGTGAGCCGGTTTCTGATGAGTATATGCGGGCGGCAAGCCACATTGATGGTGCCGCGTCGATCTTGACTGGCATTGCGGCCAATCGATCACTCGCAACTGGACAGGCTGTCAATGTGGATGATATCCTTGTGGTGCCGGAGAAATGAGAAAGGTGGAAACCAATTGCTCCATGTGATAATATGCAACGAAAGAAGATAGAATTGAATAACAGATAGACGCGGACCGGAGTGATGACCCTCGTTTTCCAAGCCGATCGAGTTTTCTGAGGCTGGTGAAACATGGAATATTATGGTAATATCATTTTAAGAATAGAACCATTTGCCAACTTGTCATTGCACAATAATATCTTGTTCGCACATGTATCTTAATACATCGCTTCTTCTACCCGGTGACATGTAAAGTCTATGCCAGCTCACACTCGATTAAACTCTCAACGCCGTTCCCGCCACCGTAGATACCCAGTATCCTCAGACCAGCCTTCTCCAGAAGACTCTGCCACTCCACACGTGTACGCTCCTTACTACTTACCAGGGTCAGCATCATGATATCCTGGCCCGTGTTCTGCCAGTCGGCTCCAGTATCGGGAATACAGTTCTCGTGGACCAGTAATCTGCTGTATCCAGGCTTCATCACAGCCGTGGTGCGCGCAACAATCTCTTCGCATTTCATGTCCGGCCAGTCATGGAGAACCGAATGCATGTAGTAAGCGCGGGCGCCTGAGTACAAGGGTTACGTTAGCATTTGATATTTTCTTTTGGCGTGGTGAGAGGTGACATCTGGAACAAAAGATCTTACCTTTGATCGGCTGTTCGTTGAAAAAGTCATGCCCCATCCTCTCAATCTTCTCGTCGAGTGTCTCAATCTGATTGATGACAGTCGGTAGATCCTGGACGACGAGCCTACCAGGAGCCTCTGGATGCTTCCGCCGGAATTCGTCAACATCATGGCCAAAGCTGCCGCCCACATCAACAAGGAGAACGCCGCCGTCAGAATCGTCAAACCCATCGATCAATCGTTCCTTTACCGGATAGATGCCTTTATCCATCCAGCTGGGTCGGCCCTGGCGGTAGGCGCCCATGTGTTGCGCGAACTGCATGTCATATGGGTGGTTCGCTGCGAACCAGCTGAAGCAGTCGAGTTTGGTGCTGTACCCGTACTGCAAAGGACCGTTCAAGACGTCGTGAGGCTCGCGGTAGTCGGTCTTCTTGGCGAACTCGTGGAACTTGGCCAAGGACTCCATGCAGGCTCCGGCGCTTATTGGAAACGGTCAGCCTTGGTTTACAGGAGACAAATGAGCTGTGCAAGTGCGGTAATCTCTTGGGTGTACTGAGTGAAGAACATGATTGCGTTGACTTACACACAAGGGTAGCCCGCGCCCATGCTTGTAATCGTGAGCGCATCTGAAAAGTTCGTTGACTTGTATTCGTCAGGTCCAGTCTCAGTGATATAAAGCATGGCGCCCAGGTGTCTCATTATCCGTCCTATGCGAAAATGGCTAAGTAAGCAGTTAATCACCATCGTCTTCCATGATCTGACATACCCAACAAAGCAGGATCATGTCCTAGTCTTGAAGCTAGATCAGATACCTTCTGAGGCGTTTTGCGCTGTGCCAAGAGCGCAAAGAGGCCAGAATCAACGGCGTATGTTAGGGCGGTGAAAGCGGCCGGCTACGAGTTAAATTTTAGCGTTTGATCCAGCGTAACAGGTCATGAAAAACGTCATCCTACTTGTGCCCAGCAGTGCTTTATCATGGTCTCGCGTGGTGTCTCCAACGCGTGTACCAATAATCGAGCGCTTTGCAGCATACTCAAACGTGCGTTGTCATCGCCCTCGGCGACACGACTGGTGAGGGTGGCGATATTCTTCACATGTTGATTCACACTAGGAAGGTCGCAGGCAGCCAAAGCAACAGATATGTCAACCTCTCGAAGTGTCTCGCTCGGAATAGAACCCATGACGTCTTCTGCGAAAGGCAACACGAGGAAAACAGAGAGATTGGCGTCAAAGTGGTAGGTGTAGTAGAGGACAGACAGAAAGAATCGTACTCATTAAGAACAAGAAAAGGCAGAGGGGCAAGGCGAGCGATTCACCCACATACACGAAGATTGCCAACTATATGAGTTAAGCAGTATTGTGCAAACCAGCATTTCCAGGAGTCGTTTCCCCGTCTGCTCCTAGCATGCAAGGGTCAGCACAGCAAACTCGTACCATTTGAGTGTCATGAACCAAAGTCCCACCTGGAGGCGAATAAAGCCTCAGGTCGATATGGGCCCGTAACATGAATTGCCTGTTTGGAATGAACGGTTGTTGGAGGTAGTTGCTGTGAGCTTGCAGATGACATGGCCAAAAACGGTCGAGTCTCCCGTGGCAAGGGCGAGATACAAGGGGCCCATGAGCGCAAACATTGGTTGTATTATCGCTTTTCTGACCCTGTTCCAACGATTCTTAAATCCCAGGGAAGTCTTCCTCGAGCACAACTTTTATATCGATGGATAAGTGCACTTGGCAATGCGGTTGTCACATTGTCAACGAGACTTTTTGACGCAACAAAAGTGTCTGATAAAGCCAAATACAGAGTCAAGTGCGAGCCCTCGGGAGGAGACGCATGATTCACTCATGCACAGGTGAACTCTCTCACCTTGTTCTCCAGGGGTTCCATAGGCAACTAGGTCTTTTTTCTGCTGTTGGTTGTCAGGTCTTTCAATAAGACCATCTGATTGGTAACGGAATTCAAGCCGGGTGGATAAGAGCGAGGGGCCCCGGTTCATTCGGCGGGGCCGCCGGATGATGTCCACCAAGTCCTGTACGATATTGTGCACCCATTAGCCCACGGTATCAACTGCATTTAGATCTAACAAACACGCTTTCTCTGCGTTGGGCAAGTTTTCTTGTTGCGATTGGGAGTCCAAACCGATGGGAAACTTGGCGGAAGTAACAACAGTTCGACTGACTGTGTGTTACTGGAGCCTCGACCTCGGAGATGGAAGAAAGCCGGGGTCCTACGTTATGTAACCCTTGATGCATTGTCAGAAGCCCCGGCATTCTTCTTAATGACCTTCTGTTTCTTGATCTTTCAATCGAGGATCTATGGGCCGGTTCAGGTGAGCATACCTGCATCTGCACGAGGTGGTGGATCTCGCCGTTGGATCCCCCTTGATCAATGTTCTTCCAACAGCGGCACGGCGCTCCGCCAGTCTGATCTGACAGCATCTTGGCGCATAACGCCGCAGGCAGTCTTCATCGGGCATTTCATTTCACTTTTTGTGTACCAGCTCGAGACGAGGCATCCATTTTCAAGTCGATTCCGAGTGTCCGGGTTATTTCTCAAGTTCATCTCCTAAATCAAGACGATCACGGACCTGGGACATGGACAGCGAGGGATTGATTACAACATCCTACTCGACTGAGGACAAAGGTCCTGGCATCATAGCGGCAGTATGCATCATCGTCGGCATCAGCACTCTCTTTGTCGCCAGTCGTCTATTCGTCCGCATCAAAATCCTTGGCCAAACCCATCTAGACGATTACCTCACTGTTGTATCTTTGGTACGTTTAAAAAATGTAGCAGTAACACCGTTTGATATGAAAACACCTTTGACTGATGAACTTTGGAGTAGCTTCTCAGCTACGCGACGGTAGCTCTAGAAATCTGGGCCATTCGCTGCGGTAATGGTCGACATGCCGACACACTTTCCCAAGAACAGCAGTCCGCCGCAATCCTATCCACGATATCAGGGTTTCCTCCGAATGTCCTCGCATATACCGTACCCAAATTTGCCGTCGTGGCTCTACTCGTCAGAATTTTGAACCCTGGAAGGATACACCAAGTCTTGCTCTGGTGCATGGCGACGGGCTGTTTGGTGCTAGTGTCCCTTTGCATAATCATACTATTTGCCCAGTGTACGCCAACCCGCGCCCAATGGGACTTCACTGTAACGGAAAAGAGCTGTTGGAGTCCGTGGGTTCTAGTCAATGTTGCTATTCTGACAGGAGGTAAGCCCTTGATCTAACCAGCGGTATTTTGTGTCAATGATTCCACGTAGCTTATTTCATTTCGCGCCAGCGTATTCTGCGGCGCTCGATTTATATCTTGCAGTTTATCCTGCTACGGTTTTGATGAGGCTTCAGATGAACATCAAGAAGAAGATTATTCTCAGCGTTGCTCTCGGGATTGGATCCATGTAAGGCCGAATGAACTCATCTTACTCAATATCATGCCTGACAAAGCCTTTCAGTTCCTGCTTCATCTCCATCTATAAGTGTACACGACTACCGTCTCTGGCCAGCAAAGACTTCACGTGTAAAGATTGCTTGCCCGCCAGTCCCGCTCCAGCTAACGATAATGCAGATGACAGCGCTGAGCTTGTTGTGTGGACAATGTGAGTACTGAAGAGGAGTGAATACGTCTTCCGACTGCAGCTAGCTAACCGCGTTCAAAGTGTGGAGGGCAATACTCTGATCATCGCCGCCTGCATACCCATCCTTGGACCTCTTGTGGAACTCGCTTTGGGGCGCCGTGTTCTAAGTTCAACCGACCGCAAATATCAGAAGCAAAGCGACACGCTGGGGTTGCAGTCAGGTGGTATTGAGATGAACGGCTCTCGGTCAGTGCTACGGAACGGAAACATCGTCGGCAAGACTTGCACCACCATTGGTTCACGAATTGACAGAGCAGATGCAAGCAGTCAGGAGAGTATTATGGGGGCAGAGTCTGGGGCAAGTCCGAGAGTGGCCGGGATTATGAGAAGACAGGATATCACGGTGTCGTACGAGGGGGGTGGGATGGCTGATAAATAACGTGCGGAGAGACTCGGACATTTAATTCGCTCTGGAGCCAGAGGGGGGGAGAAAATAATCATCACAAGATTCTGCGATAGAGAAATTTACTGCAGTTTATTTTTGTCCATGGGGATGAAAAGAGTGTAAAATTGATCTGTAATTCTGTATATTATCATGTAGTGAACATATGTCAACGAAGACCACATGCAAGTATTAGCACTGGGGCTAGGAATGTAAGACTATCCCATTGACAATTGTTCTCACTCGCCTGGCCAGACTACCGGAACGATCCGGGAGCCTGTGACCTTTGCGTCGCATCCTTTAATCTCCTCCCAGACTCTGTCAGTGGATGGTGCTGCTTCAATGAAAGAGAGCCCTGGCAGACCGCAACGAGAGCTGCGTGATACAATGATTTGTAGGGATCAGAAAAAAGCATGAATTGAGGTAGGTGAAGAATGATAACATGGCTTCCTCGGCTCTCAGGTTGATTTACCCTACGACTTACAAATCAATGAAAACACGAAAATATGCTAATATGCCAAGAGTGGTGCCCTACCCTGCCTATTAATCTAGGCGATACTTAGCTGTTCATCGGACTCGGTTATCATGAAAGGCCGTAGGTACCAAATTAAGGCCATGGATTCAATGTAGTATTATTACTTACACGTACCATTGCACGGAGGCGCCGTTCAAAAGTTTTGGATGAGGCAGCTTCGCTATCCCGACTTAGATAAGGATGAGTACCTCTAACGACATCTTCTTATCCATGAACAGAGATTATAAAAGAGGGGATGTTCCAAAAAGAATCCCCTCAGGAGGTGTCTGAGGGGGTGTGTTTCAGGCTATGAAGTAGACCTGTGTACTGATACCGATAACCAAGTGATATTCCCTGTCTTTTCTTGGTACGCTAGCCAAAATTTTTGAACGGCACCTCCGAACATGTAGTATTGTTTATCAGAGAGTTTTGCCTCGAGGCTTTCCGAAACTATAAGATAGGAACATGATAAATAAAACCTTATTGCTACATATTGATGTAATCTATCCATAGCCAGTCAGATTCTATTTGACATGGACTAAAAATAAGTCTACCACTTTGAACTGCCGAGCATGCCGCAAAACATTCAATTATGGACTGAGGTCTGAGAACGGCATGTTGTAGAATTCGAATATAAAGCCTCGTACTGTCCTTTCGAATAACAAATCTCCTATAAACTGCACTGGCACAGGTTCATCGGTCATTTTTCCAGAGAAAGACCTCATCTCAGGTGAGAGGGTGGCTGACCGCCGTTTATCTCCTCAAGTATCATCCAAAGCGGCTGACAATCATCAACTCGATTTCCCGTGCAGCTACAAAGCCAACTTCCAAACTCTCTCATCATGAAGCTCCACTCGGCCTTCAGCTATCTGATGCTTTTGGCAGGTGTTGCCAACGTACGTCCTCAAGCCCTTGGTCACTCGATAAATCAATCCACTTTAAACACTCCTTCCGCCTTGTTCGCTGAATGATGTACGCTAATCTGCAACGTATCAACAGGCACAGTACACTTGTTTCTGCACCGCGCCCGAGTCTGATAACCCGGACGGGGTTTCCGAAGCTTGCTGCTCCTCAGAGAACGGAATCACATTCCCGGATGGAGCTCTTTACCAGGGTACTTTTTTGAACATTTCTGGTCTCTGCCAGTTCAAGGGGCTTCCATTCACCCAGAATCAATTCGAGGACTCCTACGCGGCTTGCTGCAGAGCCACTGGTCCCCAAGATATCACTGGAGATCTCTTTAACGGTACCTGCCCTTACATAAACTCTTAGTGGCAATGGTCGCCGCACTAGAAACCAAAGCGGAAATCAGATAGACTTGAAAATTACCGTACTCCTTCTTTTGCTACTGATGCAGTCGAGTGATTTATCGTATAACTCTACCCAGATTAGTGTGCTAGGCCACATGTGAGCCATACCTTAACCTGTCGTACGCCGTAGGCTATCCTACCCTTGCCAGGTAAAACGGTTTCTTTGCTGAGTATTCGTCCGGGCCTGAAACAGGGATGGCGGTATCCCTAAGCCGCTCACTGCAGGCTCTTTGAATGGTCGAAAGCCGCCTTTGACAATCGTTCAGGAGCTTGCATGTAGTCTGCAGTGTCATCTAGTAATTATTACTCCTTAATTTGAACTCTAAACCCGAATTACTGGTCCCGTTGTGAAAACAAAGCAGCCTGGGTCAAGCTAGGTTATACGTGAATCCAAATCGTATCGGTAGGATGGCCCGTACCTACCGCTAAACGGTTCAAGTGAATGATGACAATCGATATGCAAGAGATGGAAGGGCCCGGATTGAAACAGGCCTTGGACGCATCTCATTCTCGAGAGATGGAGGATTTCTTTCGCCATTAAATCAATACTATGACCTGGAGCCCGTGTTCCGCGTTCTTGAGCCGATTCCATGATATCAGGATGCAGTCTCACGACACGAAGGCGACTTCCACGGCCCGGTCGTTTTATACAATCTTCGATGCTACAGTAGCTGGTAGTAGCACCATTCCCAAGAACTACTCATAGGTAGCAATCGAATGTCTTATGAAACTTCTCCCCAACGTCTTCATGAACATCTCTTCTCCAATCTCATAAAGATGCCCCTTAAGATCCTTCAACTGCATGCCAAGGTCAGTGGGTCGGCCACATGTCGTGGAAGCACTCTTGTTGGTCGCTTCTCGAACGCATTGAACATTTGACATCAAAGGATGTACTCGAATGTAAATGGGAGGGACTGAATGGAATGGTGACATTCCAAGATGATACTATCACCGTACTCTTCTCAACAGAATGACTCAACTGGTAATTCATAATGCAACCAAATTCATCCGTCTCACTCTCGATGCCATACCGGCTGTTCTCACAACTCTTTTCACGACTTTTGAGCGTTTCGCATTTATAGACGGCCGGAGGATCCGTTGCTTCAATGGCTATGACAACTTTATCTCGGGCACTTTGACCTGCTATCAATTTAACACTGTTAGAGACTTCGCCGAAAAAAGTCACCATCTGTGGCTATGTGCCCTGCAGCGCAAACAACGGCAACATCGTCTGCTATCAGGCCACTAGCTCTCGGTCGCAATTTGGCATTAGTGAAAGCCCTGCTTGGAATCAGTGTATACACTCTATAAAATTGTACGCTAATAAAAGTACTCTATATGATTAGCTCAGCGGCGCGGACATTGACCTCATTGACAACGGGAAACTATTCTCGGCATACTCACTCCCTCCCGCGTCCGACAGGATCGGCGTCCCTGCGGGAGGTTGGAGTGATGGACGCGTTGCGATGTTCCTCCAAGCTCAGGATCTCAGATGATAAGTCCAACAGTGGTGCTCGATGATCAGTAGGAAAAGGTCAGCTGCGAAATGACATGGCATTCATCAGTCCAAGTCTCAAATCCTCTTCTCTGCCACCCAGAACAGTAGTATTACAAGGAAGCTCTCTTCCATAGCCTCTCTTATCCCATAACATTCATTTTTGATCCTGATTTTGGAGTGAAGTGACAAAAGTGATGAGCATAGCACTATTCGGCCAAGACAATCCAATCTTCGCTCCCTTCAGCGGCCTTTGATTCCACGATCAAGGAAGGCTTTTCCAAGACTCCAGTAGGCTTTAACAAGTACTCCTCACTCCAAGCCCAGCCACCAGCTGTTGATAGGCATGTCAGAACGTCTTCATCGTCCGGGGTAATTGCAAACTTACTTCGCCATAGGTCAGGCCAGCATCCAAAGACACCTTCCGTCAGGTGGATATGCCCAAACGAATTATACCTATAACCGAAGGCGGTGATGGCAATCTCGTGCTTCCCAGCATCAAGCTCACCGAGATCCAGCTTTCTAGGCTGTAACGCAATATGCCCGCTCTTCTCCTTCCATTGAACTTTGATGACCGGCGTCGCGAACTGTGGAATCGAAAGAGTCACGTTCGATCGGGACTTAAGCGAGAAGCTGCAGTTGTAGGTGACGTTGCCAGCATAAAATGGATGCCCTTGCGTAACCACATCGCCCCAGCCTAGACTCTGTCGTCGTTCGCAAAGTACGGGCAAGTTATTCTTCAGCTCGACGCTGAAGCTGCCCAGCAAGTAGATCCTCTCGAGATTGGTTAACACGCCAAAAGGCATACTGAGCTCGATAACGTTCTTGCCCTTTCGTATCGTCCTGCTCGGGACTGGAATCGTCTTGATATCCTCATCGACCCACCAAGAGAGCCTCTTTGCGTCGACTGGCAGTTTGTGGCCGTTGATGGTGATCCTGGCGTTTTCGGGATTCTCCATCGCGAGATAGGACGGTGTCTTGACAATCACGTTGGAATCGAACTCGAATCTGAGATCCACGTAGACCTTGGCTGCCCTTTCCGATTGGGGTACGCTCCAGGGTTGTTTCCAAGCGGAACCTTTGGCAGGGATGCGGAGTCGTGCTCGGATTTCGTTGTCGATCTTGAGAATCTCCTGTCGTGCAGAGTCTTCCCACGGATCATCGTCAATTCTGTATAGCGCGTAGTCGAGCATCAGCACGTTCGGCTCCGAGAGGACGACCTCATCGAGCTTGAGTTCCGCAGAAGTCTGTTTAGGTGGAGCTAGTGCCACTGCCTCTTCGATGCTGACGAAGGAAAGTTCTTCCCCTGGTACGGAATAAAGCCTCAGCAGCAGGCTCGCACAGCCTTCGAACCTGTGGTCAAAGATGGTCCACCCGCTTTCGTACCGAGCTTTGTGATGATGCGTTGCACCGGTAAAGGTATCCAAAACTTCAACGTCCCATTCGCCTTTGATATTGACCAGCGTGTCATACGGGCTGTTTCTGTCCGTGTTGCAGATAAAAACAAATCTTTCGTCTCCATCTTGACGCATCTGATAGAGCAAGGTATCGGTCGGTCCCCAATCCTTCAAGTCGATCTTCAAGTCCCGGTTCTGAGACAAGGCAGAGAGAACATCGCCTTGGCCCCAAGCGACCTTGACTGACGGCTCGATGTCCAGGCTGAGATCCGGTGGCGCAACCTGAGCATCAATAAGAACAGGGCCATCACCAGCAATGATGACAGTGCCGCCCGCCGCAGCGAACTTCTTCACAACATTAAAGGTCGACGATCGAATAGTCCGCAAGTTTGGCAAGATCACGACATCGTACTCGCACTGGCCAACCTTGAGAGGGCTCGAAACGTCCTCGCCGATTTGGTTCGGTAGAAGACTCTCCGAGATGAAGTCAAAATCGACCAGCCCGTGAAGCAGCCAATTTGTCAGCTCCGCAAAGGCCTGATCACGACGACCACTCTCCTCGTCACCGCTATTATTGGGACCAAAGCACAGCCAGAAGCTTTCGATGGGGTGAATCACACCAACACGCGTAACAGCCTTGCCGCGGGTCAACGCAACGCCAACACGAGCGAAATGGTCCTCGACGTAGCCGTACTCCTTGTACCACGGGCTCTGGTACCCGATGCTGGCAGGATAGTCGCGCTTGCCCTCGCCAGCCATGCTGACCCAGCTGAGATGCTGCACGCGGAACGTGATGCCCAGGGCGGCGTGCCAGTCGCCGCAGCCCTTGTGCCCTTCAAAGGTGAAGTACCAGTGCGTGCACCCGTAGATCTCGCTCATGGCGCCGCGGACGCCGTTTTGGCGGGCCACGCTGGTGCACTGCTTTGCCGTGTTGTACTCGACCCAGTCGTTGAGCAGGTCCATGCCCGGGAGCGTCTGGTTTCGGTAGCATCGCATTGCCTCGCCGTGGGCGGTGGTCTGCGACCGGAGGGTGGGCTCTTCCATCATGTGGCCGTTGAGGATGATCTTGTTCTTTCTGCACCAGTTTGCCAGTAGGTCGAGGAACGAGGTCACGAACCGTTCGCTGACGTGGTCGTGGAAGCGGTAGCGGGCCAAGCTTGGCGTGTCGCCCGGGAGATCCCAGAGCAGTTCTGGAATACTGCTCACAAGATCCGCATCTTCTCCGTACATCTGCCTGAATGTGTCGGGGAGATCGGCCGTCCATGGGAGAAAGACATCTTCTACTCCAGTCGGGCTAGATAGCTGAGTCTTGATGGCCACCTGAGGCTCATCGGTAAAGATGCAGGGCACCGTGGTGCCGAACTTGTCGCCAATCTTGTCTTTGTAGACCTCATGAGTGCTCTCCAAGAACCGGTTCATGGCTTCGGTGCTCATCGTGTCGATGTAGGTCTCGCCATTGAACCAAGATGACGGAGGGTTGATCTCGACATATGCATACCACACCCGGCCACCCGGCTCGGCATCCTCACCCTCCTCCAGCTTCTTGTTCGACTTCAGACGGCCATTCTCATCGAGAATGATGGAGAATCGCGCCAAGAGGTAGCCTTCTTCACTGCGACATGCTTGTGCTGAACTTGGGGCGCAACCACTAAGAACTGTGTGAGAAGAGCATGAGCGGAGTGCACTGAAAGTACTTACCCGCCAAGTTCAACGGAACCATATGGATATGGTGTGAATAGAATGTGCTTCGTCTTGTGCTCTGGGTACTGCTTAACAACCTTGCCTCCAGCAACGCCGGATGGCCACCGATCATCATCATATCTGATGAGTGTCAACAGCAGTCTCATCAACAGAGCAGCGGGGGGGGATGGTATCTTCTCACAAACAGGCGAGCATTCCCTTGCTCTCCGCATACTCCACGCAGTCCCGAACACGGTCCATGAACTCCGGACCCATGTATTCGGTATCCAGTCCGGTCCGGACATGCATATGGAAACCGCCCATGCCCATCTCCTTGAGATGGTCAATCTGCCGGAGGAGCTTGTCCTTGTCCAGCTTCGTGTTCCATGACCACAAAGGGCACCCTCGATACTCGGACGTCGGATTCTTGAAGAGGTCCTGACTAAAGCCTTCGGCCGCCTTGGGGTATGTCAGCGGGTTCGCCGTCTCCTCGGTGCTCCGGCCGTCCTCGCAGCCGGCGGCTTTCCCCAGCCCATCGTCCTCAATCGCAACGAATGAAGAGTCCATGTCGTGAAAGCAATGCACAGCTCAGGTTGCAAATCACGTCAAGTTGGAGCTTGGGCAATCTGATTAGTTGCTGTAGTGAGTGAGATTGATTGACCATGCATTTCATACCGCAGACTTTCAGGCACGCAGGGAGGCTTTGTGATCTCATGACTTGTTTCAACCTTAGCGCATATCCCCGCACGCGAAGACATGCCGTGACGCCAAAGCTTTCGGCTGAAAACGGCGGCGGCTGATGACTGAAAACGAAACCTTCTTTTATTTAATTGAACCTTTTCTTGTATACGCAGGCGATATGGAAGATTCACCGAGAACAAGAATCAAAGTACAGAAACACCGCTAGGTAGGTAGTATCAGCAGGAGCTGACAGTATCTCACCGCGTCACCGGCCTACCACCCTATGTCCCCAGCCCCTTCAACTGATCTCGGTCAAGCAACACATGCCCCCCAAGACTCAAAAGGCGTCTATCCTCAACACATTCTCAAGCATCTTGCGCCCAGACTGCCTTGTTCCTCTCGGCGAAATCACGGAACTTCCTTGGCTGCTTCCCCGTCACCGCGAGAATAACACTGTTCGTCCGGTTCTCGCTCCCGTTCTTGATGGCCGTGTCCATCACGCCCATCATCTCCGCATAGTCCCGCGGCATGCCCTGAGCAACGTAACGGTCCGCCAGCTCCTGCGCCGAAACGCGTTTGTGCACAATCTTTCGACCCAGAACGTCGGAGAGTATGCTAGCGACCTGCCGCCGTTTTTGTTTAGTCATGTTGTTTTGTCGACTTGAAAAGAATCCAGGGTTGCTGCACTCACCTCGTCGTAGCCGAGCAGCTCGGGGCCAAGAATGAGATACTCGTCATTCGGCGCGTCCTCTTGCGTGAGGAGCTGGAATGCACAGGCGGCAATGTCCTCCGTGGCCACCCAGGGAATCTTGCCATCTGCCGCGGCGGAATACACGGTGCTCTCCTTCACAATCGTGAGGCGGTGCTTCTCCTGCTCTGAAAAGTTTTCTGCTCTTTGATCAGCTCACAGGGATCCCACAATCCGATGGCGAAGACCAAATCTCACGCTGGAACCACGTCGGTCGCAATGCAGCCCATTCCACTTCGCCCCTGTCGCCGAGGTCCTTCAGATACGCATGCGGCCGTCCCATCGCGAACCCGTTAATGTCAGGCTCCATTGGACTTCCGCTCAGCAGCACAAATCTCGTTGTGCGACCCCGAGTGCGTGCTCGGTCAATGAATGACCGCATCGGCGAAAGCATGTCCATTACCGGCGGTGGGACGAGGAAGATGCTGGCGGCGCCGACGTCGAGCGCCGCCGCCCACGTCTGCTCATTCTCCCAGCTAAACGCGACCGGCTGGATGTTGTCGGCATCCGGCTCCGTGGTCGAGGCCCCGCTCCGAGAACTTTGGTAGACCGGTGTCGAGGTTCGTGCAAACAGCTTCGTGATCTGGCGGCCGACCTTACCAGTGCCACCGAGAATTAAGACCTTTTTCGTCGTGCCTGTCGCCATATTTGATACGATTGAAGTTTTGTTCTCTTGAAAATGGATTGACGCAGTCGATGTGATGGCGAACTATACTTATTTATGAGCTGCAGGCCAACTTTCAGAATGGCAGCCGGACTGGAGGGGCTAACGGAGCTAAGGGGGTGAATTCGTCACGGATGTAAGCAGCCTTTGAATCCTTCAGGACTTATATTTGTCATCAGATTTCAATCCGAATCTGTCGAGTTTGGAGTTTCCGTCTGTTTCTCGAAAGATTCTAAATGTAGAAACGAAGTCGGGCGGAGAGCTAGCAGCGTGCTAAGGGGGCTGGGTCTTTGCAGACCTTTTGTAGATCCCGAGCATTTCTGCGTCGCCCGCACCGCATTCATGTCCAGCTTTGCCAATGCGAGGATCGATCCTCGTTACCTCCGGCCCCTTTGCAAGGTTACGAGTCTTTAATTAGTCATCACTGTAGAATTGAACACAATATACACCCACAACCCATTGCCCGCCACCCTGCTGCTGTATCGAATCAGCGAAAATCAGACGCCAACGTGCGTGCACTCCCCTCGCAGTATCTTCCAAGAAAGTTTTGATAGGGGTTCCAGTATTATATCATGATGCGCCCTATGGGTATTCATCGGATCATGCAACGTCCCAGCGGTTGAATTTTAGATCAGGTCAGATGGTACAGCCTCATGATTCCGAGAAAGAATAATTGCGCATTAATTCTATCTGACCATTGGAGATATTCGACAAAGCATTCACTAGATACATAGATACCACTCACCAGAAGGAATTCACCAGGATATAGGAGTACGTACTACATACACTGCTGACTTGATAGAAAAGACGGGACCACAATGCCTTACAACGCCAGATTTCCAAATTCCTCTTCGGTCCTGTCCCAAAGACGCACTGCCAGCTCATCATTTCTACTTTCCTCCGTGGCCATTCCCCGGTGGCCAAAAGGTTCATAATAGCCGCCGCTTCCGACGTCTTTCGACACAAGACCCAAAGCTCATTCTTTGATTCTTCACCCTTTCCTCGAGAGACGTCAGCAGCACGTATCTGACCCCCAGGCGTAAGGTCCAGGGTATTCCGGATGCCTTATCTATAAGCCGAGTCTGAATCAAACCAGGTTGGATGGCAGATACTGTAGGTTGAGGATATCGTTTAACTAGCTGTCTGACTCAGAGCACATAGGCAAGCTTGCTCTAGTAGTTGCTTTGTAAAGGCCCCATTCCTGGCCCATCTATTCGTAGACTGTCAAAGTCGAAGGCCCCTTTCTTGAGGTAAAAGTGACCATGTGAAGTAAGGCATACGACTCGTACATCGGTGTCGGGCAGTCGCGCGGTGCTTTCAAAGACGGAGGAGTAGCAGCTCTGTCAAGAGCGCTTGGCCCACATGGTTCGTTCCAAATTGAACTTTATGACCATCTTTCGCAAGGCCTGGAGGTGGCAACATAATGCCGGCGTTCGGCATGAGAATGTCGAGGCGGACAGACTCGGCAAGGAACGTTGATGCTGCTTTCCAAATTGACTCAAAATTGGCGAGGTTTAGTCTAGAAGCTTGATGGGCGCATCTGGAAGGATTTTGTATGGTTTCTGTGGGCGGCAACGGTGGCTTTCTTGAGATTTCGTGAAGCAAGAAATATTTGTCGGGGATTGTGATGGGAAAATTCCAGGATTGACTGCTTCCCCAGGCCCGTGTTGCTACCCGTCACTAGTATGACTCTGCCATCTAGCGATGGGATGTCTCTGCTTGCGACGAAGTCAGAGAAGGTATCGCCAAAAGTCATTTCGGCTGAGGTGGATCGCCTTGGACAGAAGAATATCATCGAACTCAAGGCCCAGAGGTAGGACTCTCATTAGATGATGGCTATTTTGCGGTACCTTTCACTCAAAGTATACTGTTGGTAGGTTTGACATAAGCCTGGCCATGGCAACCGGACGTGAGCCACGTCTCTTCCCTGGCATCTCATGAGGTCCACAAATCGCGTGGATCTAACCTTTCAAAAGGGATCTACGGAATTGGGCTTCATAGATCCGCCGCTTGACCCGATCCTCCTGAACATGAGGACAGATTTAAGATACTGCTGCCAGTTCACCGACCAAGGCCGCGTAACCGCTGGCACCTTCCACAGTCACAGCACCTCTGTTCCAAACCGCCTGCTTCATCTCAAATATTCAATACAGTCTACCGCCGAGCTGTTGAGACTGACCATGCTGGCCTTCACTAAAGGCCTTCTTTTCTCTATCCCTGGCGTCGGGAACAATATGTGCCATTTCGCAGACAAGCTGGGATCCGAGTTAGAGGTACACAGCCATCCCATACGACCACGCCATGGAGGCCTTATGCTTTAAGCTTTCATCGTATCGGGTTTAGGCATTTTTGAGACTTTTGATCCAAAAAAACATGCGCGTCTATGGGTGGGCTGCTTTCAATGATGGAAATAAAAGGTGGGAAGGAGTGAGGGTGGCCATGCCGAGAATGTTGTGGGTTGATGCCGTCTATGACGCACAAGCAGAGAGCGTATTTGACACTCTTGTGACTTTTCTGGACCTCAATTCGACATCAGCCTGACCTTAGCATTACCACAAAAGAGCAGATGGATATGGATACCAGTACTCTGTCGGTATCTGTCAAGGGTAGCCGCTTCAAACAACGAACATAGTGAACAATGGTAATAAGCATCTTTCTCGTTTCTTTCTCATTCAAGTCATAACTTTTACATAGCCTCATAAAAACAATTTGATGACGTCCAACTCGTGAGGGTATCTCAAAGCCTCCTCCTAATTTCCAGAGTCTCCGTTTCAACAGAATGACAATGCTTCACCCAAAGACGCAGCCATTCCTCTGCTGACGTTGTACTTGCAGTTGACAATGCCGCTCATATCCAACTTTTTGCAGTCCACCAACTCCAGCTTGAAACCTCCGAGCGGCGTAAGCGCCGAGTCCGGCAACATCCTGGTCCCTTTCCTGAGCATCACGGGCATGATGGCCGTCTCAACGGAATCTAGGATTCCTGCATCCAGACATGGCCCCGCCAGTTGGCCGCCGCCCATGAGCCAGATGTCCCGGCCCTCGGCAATCTTGAGATCTGCCACATAGCTGGTGAAATTTTGTGATATGACAGTGACAAGAGGGTGATCCTCGCTTCTGAGCGTCCTGCTCACAACGACCAGGTTTTGTTTTGGATATCTTCGCAGCGGGTTCTGCTCGCCCATGGCGAACATGCACTGATATGTCTTCCGGCCCATGACGAAGGTGTCGAATTGGGCATAGAGTGCTTCGAAATCGATATTGTCGTCTTGCACGATCCAATCGGTTGATCCATCTGGGGGGGCGATGAAGCCATCGAGTGATATGGCAACATTATATCGTAGACGTCGCTGTGGTTCTTTCATCTTCAAGTTTGGACATTCAAATTGCGTCAGAAGCTAGTTCCACTTGACTACGAGCTAGTGAGGGGAGACCCCTTATAAAAGCACGCTCATAGTCTGATCTCCTACGACCTGCCAACCCGAAAACCTGGGCAAAGAAACCCGTTGAATCAGATGCCATACTTGGCATGCGAACGGACTTCCGAGTGCCGGGATGCCATGTGATGTCATCTCCTCCAACCGTTCGTGCGTGGCCTCCGTTGATTTGCGAAGCGGGCCGCGGCGATGCGAGTGTGGCCGTCACCTTCACTCCGCATCCGCCGTCGGGTGCGAACTGGACAAGTAAAAACGCGGAACGAAACAGCCATGCTTACCTGAGATTGCCCTTCATATCCAAAGTTGTGAAGTGCTCGGTGAGAATCAGTTCTAGTCCCGGCCGTTTCATGTCGGCGGACAGCGGAGGGTTGTTTCATGATGTGTAATCTTCTTGTGTCTTGTGAAACTTGCCCGACCGAACTCGCGACGCTGCAAGCCCGATTTTCAGCCGACTTTTATCACTAGCTTGATTCGTTGCTTCGCATGTCTACTTTGCGTTGACGTCCGATTCAAAACGCAGCATCCTAACCTAGACGCGTTCGTTTTTGTACTTGGTCCCGAGGGCGGACTTTACTACATGTAAGTAAGTAGGTATCGGCCCTTGGGACAGTCCCAGTCTAGCATTAATACTTGCAAGGACACCGACCATAAAGCTTTCCATAACCCAACTCATGTGGCTAGCAATCGTTCCAGACCCTTGTCCAGCATATCGAACTCTTCAATGAGCTATGATCATTCTCGGCGACTGTTCAAGCTGCCGTGATCTAGGATGTGATAGCGCAAGGTGCAATGACTGTCCTTCTTTTAAGTCACGGCATTCTGTGAGTGAAACAGAACCCATTGCAAACCTCGAAGACAGACGTTGAACCAATAAGATGAATTCGGAGAATTCAACATCTCAGTACCGCCATCGCCGGGTTTGATCAGTAATTTTGTCTTATGATGACCGGGCATAAAAGCTTCAACAGAAAGGCTTTTGATCTCTTAGCGTCCCAGACATTGTTTGCTGCGATCTTTGCCGTCGGAGTGATTCGGTCACAGCGCCTCCAAGTACCTTGGAAATGATAGCGGGGGTGTCGAATGTCAACAAAATATCTTGTTCTCTTTAACTTCTATACTTCTGGTTGAGAGAATCATCGCGAGATTCGGTTTATCTTGGGAGTGGGAAGACGAATAGGTTTCTTCTGGCTGGGGTACAGCTCGCAAGCTCATGCAGCTTTTTTCTGCTTCGGAACTAGGTGCATTGAGCGGCACATTAGCAGTCACTGAATATCGACTGCTCACGAGTGTCTTTGGAACAAAAGCTGTGGTGTTTTGGGTCTTAGCATCTTGCAATGCTGCGTGTTTAGCCTGATTTTTAACTATTTATGTCTTTGGGATTCAAGGGAACTATTAAAATTCCGAATACCAGCCGAGCAAGTCTGGAACTTTTCCTATGACTCGTAACCTAGGATGAGTGGGCGACTTTTGTCAAACTGTTTCCGGGTTCGACCAGACACAATCATTGTAAGGGATCGGATGCAAAATATAGCCGAGTGTAGTCATCTTGATGGATGCCAGCGAATGATTAATTGCCGATGGCGTCCAATGTTAAGGTTTCTACGTGTACTCCCACAAACAAATCGCTCAGGAAACTCGTCTTTATTCCCGCCAAGAGCTGGCCAATAGAAATGAACATGTTGCACACATTAGGAGAGAAAAGCAATATTGCTACTGGTGTGCCACGATAATGAGCGGGGATGGTGGATGTAAGGGAATCATCACCTAGCCATCCACCATGACGAAGGTGGCACGGTGGCTCATGCACCTCGTTTCCGTTTATCATCAAACAGTGGAGGTCTTGATAGTCCCGCCATTGAGAATGACCAATCTTGCGTGTATTTAAGTCTTACGGATGTGGATGTTTGTGGAGCACGAGTGCACGCTGGTCAATCGATAAAAAGCTTGGCATTGGTGCGTTCGTCTACTTACCTTTCCGCATATTTTTGTCAAATCTCATCTTCAACATATTAGCAGGTTTGCTCTGTAGAGATCAGTTCCAGTATGCCATCATTCAATCGAATTGCTATCCACGGTCATCGTGGCTGGGCCAGCTCAAAGATCTCCGAAGCCCTGATTGCTTCAGGAGCACCCATCCGAGTCATATACCGCCCAGGGTCCGATGTCTCGAACTTGCCATCCTCCGTCGCCAGCGTCGAGGTGGATGTTAACAACGAGCAAGCACTAATTGAAGCCTTACACGACATCGACATTGTGATGTGAGTGGTTGGAAACTCCGAGATGCCGTTGCACGTCCCGTTAGCCCTGAGATCAGCATTGACAATTTCAAAGTTCTCTCGTTGGTCACGAAGATATTGAGAGACAGCATGCCTTTGTGAAGGCTATACCCAAGACAGGCGTCAAGCTATTTTCACCATCGAAACTTGCAGGCAGATACGACGAGCAGGGTTTGAAGATCCCCGTCAACAAAGCCAAGCACGAAGTCGAGGAGGCCTTGATTGCCGCTGGCATTCCGACTACCGTGGTGTTGCTGGGCAACTTCGCCGAATTCACACTCAGCACGACGTAAGGCCCCCATGGATGGCACGTGTTAAGATTTCATTCGACTCACTTCAATATCCAAATACTAGATGTATGGGCGTCGATTTGCCCGGCAACAAGATTGTTTACTCGGGAAACAGTGCCCAGGAGAATGTCTATCTATGGTACGTTGTCATTGAGATTGACATTTGATTGGGTTCAAAGGCTCACACCATACCTCGCACAGTACTAGGGATTACGTGGCTGCGGCGTACGCTTCCATCTTTGCTTCGACGCCAATTTCTCAGCTCCAGAATCGCGACATCTCAATTTCTGAATTGACTGCTACGGGGAGCGAAGTTGCCGACGCTTTGGAGAAAAGGCACGGCACCCCGCCTCGGGTATCCTCTTTGAGCGCTGAGAGGGTCAATACCGAGGTCGAAGAAGGGCTCGAATCAGGCAATCCTTTCACCTTGGCTTGGCTAGCCCGTAAGGTCTGGGGCACCGGCCAGCATAACAAGATCGTCGGGAACGATCTTTGGGAGGTTGAAGGTTACGAAAAGGCAACCCTGAAAGATCTGATCGTTGATGGGAAGCTGGAGGCCTATCGTCAACTGCCACCAAAAGTGGCGGAGTATTTCAGAGGAACATTCTGACTAGGTTCGCATCTTGATAAGACAGGTGGATACTAGTACTCATAGACTTCAAATTGGTGACTTGGAAGTATTTCCGAGTCTGTCTCAAAGCAATTGAATCCACACATCGTTACACCTCCGCTTGAAATATCAGCGAAAAGGTTTCTAGCATGTGTTTGGAGGCTCGGTGTCAGCGCAACTCTTGGGATTTGCATCATCTCTTCGTGACTCGTCCATGTGCTTCTAAGTGATACAAATGGATGATCCCAAATTCACAGCCAATTCAGGACGTAGTCTTCTACTTCGCAACCTTCGCATAGACTTCAGACTAGCGGAAGTTCTTCTTGACCTAATATTATTTATTAGCCTTATACGCTTGGCACATCAAACCGAGAGAAACTCACCTCATTCAAGTTCTGCTCGTTGGTCTTCTTGCCGTTCTCGAAAGTGGTCTCCAATTTACCCAGAGACGACTGGTCCTTCTTAGGGTTACCGGTCAAGCCATTCACCGTCTGCTTCGCACCCTTTTGCGCTTTCTCAACCTTATTAAGTCCAGCATTCAAGGTGGCATCCTGCTTGCCCTTGCTGGCCAGCTTTTGGTTTCTTTCGCGGTCTTTGATCGCCTCTTTCAAAGCATTCGAGATTCCCTTCTCATCCGCCTTGAGGCCCTTGGTGTTGCCATCCTTGGCAGCTTTCTCTGCTTTCTTGGTTTCAGAAATCTCTTTATTGCCAGCTTTCAAATTAGCATTGATGCCGTCCTCAAGTTTCTTCTTCTCGGAAGAAGAAGACTTGTTGGAAGAAGAGGACTTGTTGGAAGAGGACTTGTTGGAGGAAGAGGACTTGTTGGAGGAAGAGGACTTGTTGGAAGAAGAAGACTTGTTGGAAGAAGAAGATTTGTTGTTGGAAGAGTTGTTATTAGAGGCCTTGCTGGCAGAGTTCTTGCTCGTAGAAGATTTGTTGTTAGCCGGATTGGCTACTGGGAGAGCGACAGTGAGTGCAATCAGGAAGAGGAGTAGAGCAAAGGTAAGACGCATTTTGCCTGTTGAAAATATGGGAGCTCTGATAAAAATGATTGCTTTATTGAATTAGGTGGTAAGATATCCGAATCCTGTCGGATAGTTTGGAAGAGACAGTAATATTTGAGGAAGGTGACAGCTGAGCAGTCAATCGCCAATGGATGTTGGCTGTTCTAAGATTTTATACTTGATTCTTCCAGTGAAGAACAATAGTCTCTCAGACTTTCTGGGTTGAACTGTGTGAGGTAGTCCCTGGTGAAGCGGCATCTCAGACGCAGATGTCGCAGTCAAACCTAGTTTACCTGGCTGGAATCTTCCGACTCTAAGTGATAGCCTAACCTTGATCGTGTAGACTCGGATACCTTGCTTCATTGCAGCCATCGTCGGAATCATTCAGCGAGTCATACAGCCCGCACTACGACTCGCACCCAAATTCTGGAGAGCTGCAGTTGCCAGACGTACCCTGCGATCGGCGAGCGGATAATTTACAACTATAATGTCCGTTGGGGAACACCAAAGAGAAATTGACTTCAGATGATGGCAGAGCAGAATGTTTTAGGATGAAACTGAGGATCATATGTAATTGGCGGGCGTCGAACTGCGAGGGCGCCCAGCTAGAGGAAGCTGTAGAATGATTGCGCCTAGCATGAACCGGGGGATCCGAGGGAGCCCGAACCACACAGCCTGGGGACTGGTGAAAGCCCGCGGATACATCCGTCCGAATGGCTTTTACCAGTATTTCTCGAAGAAGAGAGGCTCGAAATAAAGTTTGACTTGGGTACATGTCGCACCCTAGACGGGAAGAACTGAGAAGCCGTCACGCATGCGACACTGGATGAAAAGTGTAAATCCTACAAGGATTCAAGTGCCATGGTTTTGAGACGGCAGTCTCAAGCGAGGTCATTCAATCCCCAGATGCCTAATCCAAGTTTAACAGAGCGGCACCACAGATTGTTCTGTTCCTATCAGGTACCCCGAAGAGTCACAGGATGTGAGCGTTTCGCGACGAGCGGACACGATACCCAAATGGTCTTCCGCGTCTGAGCCTTGAATAATTACTTTACTGACTAAGCGCAGCCATCAGAATAGTCAAGCCAATGCATGGGAAATCCGTTGTGTGAGCATTCAAAGTTTAAAACAAATTTAGAATTAAGTATTTTCCAACTTCATCAGAACTTCGTCTGAAACAACTAATCATGTCACAAAACTGCATGATGGGAGCAGGGCGAAATTTAATCTCAACTAAGGTAGCAACATGAACCCAAGCATCGGCCCTTGCGACCTAGATCTGCTGAAATACTCGTCTAGTTGCTGATCACGTTCGGGTTCGTACCCAAGGCCGCGGTCATGCGTCCGAGGGTGAGGGTGATCGGATGCCAGCATAGAGAGATGAACAAAGTCCAAACCCCACACATCACTCAGTTGTCATTTTCAAAGTCTATTTCTTCTGCTGTTGGCTTTCTGCCGCGAATCGACCACCTCAACACTGTTGGTAGGTGCTCCTACCTGTGCATTTGAAAATTCTGCCTACATATTGAAGTATGCATGACGGCCTTGGTCAATTAACTCTTTTCCGACTTGTACCAGTAGCAAGAGAACTTTTTCTCTCGCGTCCAGTTCAAGACCCTCGTAAACGACGCCAGATAGGATACTTCCCAACGAGAAGTGATGTTCTGGTCAACCCAGATTCCTGACTCCTTGTGTCAGGTGTCTCAGGGCCATTTGTTGACTGGCCATCTGAAACGTCTGATATATAATTCTTTGAAGCTGATGCCAATCATCAGATCTGCCAAGCCCACGACCTCCCGGAATGTCCGGCCGAATATTTCGGCTGCTTCTTTGATCATCCCAGATGACTGGAGCATTGAGGAACCTTCCGCCAATGTCCTGTCGTCGGATGTAGGAATGATGTCGGACTCGTTCCATTCCAGGTAGCCGCCACGATTCAGATTGCGAGAAAGGACGAGTAATGATACATATAATGCGTTGTCATTCTAATTCATACCATTTCCGAAGGTAAATCTCCCAATCGCCAAGTGAGCACGCCATCATTTGGCTGTCGATGTAATCAAATGGCTCGGCATACATCCAAGGCTCCTCTATGTCGTCAATCCCAAATATGACATTTGGTCCCGTGCTGAGCGAGTATCAGTCGGAATTCTCGGGAAAGACTTTACAAAAAAAAGCCTAATGATATATTAGCTCGGCCACGGGAAGCACAGATCAATCCCAGAAACCCAGTATGGATCATGTCTGTGAGTCCACATGCAGGAACAGCAAAGGCTATTTGCCCGTCACCGATCACTCACCTCCGCTTCGGGATGCTCGTCAACAAACTCGATTGCCGAAATCCAGTTTTCTTCTAGAATTGGCACCTTGTTCATTCGGCGGGGCGGACTGGATCTCGCTCAGAAACATCAGAATGAACCTATTGTATTGCAAATATCATTCTTTTAGCTCACTATCTTTGGCAGGTTCATTGAATCCCTTGAAACCCTGAGTCTCACCAAGTCAAACTTTTCTCCGTTTCGTCCTCGGAAATATAATTTTCTGTGCTCATCAAGTGCCAAACTACGTAGCAGGTAAGGTCAAATGATGTGAAGTACTTCCATTTTTGTATTTGTGATATGTCCGGCCGTTCTCAAGGCGGTAGTCAAGGATTAATACAGGCTGAGCTTGCCATACTCATAGTAGATGATACCTTGTTAGTCTGCTACAGTATCCGCGATGAAACATTTCTGGTGCTGGCGAAGTGAGTGGTGAGTAGGTGGTATGACCAAATGAAATGAAGCCAACACTCACGTTGCTGGAAACTGAGGTTTCGTCTGTCATAACTTATCTGCTGGTTTTAAACATTCAATCAGACTACCAAAACATCATAGAGAAATCTTTAGTACCCTGTCCGCAACAAGGTCTCCGTTCTCATCTACTGCAGACTGATCATGAAGTATTTTATTGAGTGGGCTAGAAGATGCATCGTTGGCGGCATCTGAAGCTTAATTCATGGTCATCGGCGTTGAAAAAGTGTGGGTAATCTTTTTCTCCAAGTAGCTCTTCGTCAGCCAAACACTTTTGATGTTGAATGGGTAGACAAGCTCTGTCTCAGATGCAAATGCGCACCAACCCTTCCCTTAGGTTACATGGCGAGCCAAGAGCTTTCGAATCATAAACCCTCTTCTTCCAAAAACTATCTAGCATAAACCATCACTGGAAATTTACTCCGCGGACGGCCGTCTGTATGCATCCATGTGGCGGGGCGTGGTCGCGTACCGCTGTGCCACAAAGTTGGGCGATTGCTTGCTCTGCTATGTCAGTTCTCTCCAAATCGGAACAGGTCTCCAGTGTACCAAAAACAAATTCCCCCTTTGTCTCGACACTCAAACTCACTTGTCACAAGGTGAACTTTTGAGCGAGATCCACGGCTCATCATGCCAAAGGACGACGCAGGCGCGCGACTAATCTCCAGTCGCACTACATCCGAGGTGGAAGGGGGTTGCCACGCACAGTATACAGCCACAAGTGGCTGACCAACAGCTGGGAGTATCACAAAAGATTTCCAATTTCTCTTCTTGTGGGAGGAAGACCATGTCATCAACTACTTGGGTCAATGGAGTACCGTGAGGGACATGTAGATGAAGATAGATGTGACAGACACGGCCTCTCAGCAATTGCCACGTTGAAAATCTACTGTGATCAATTGGTAGCAAAATGAACGCGGCCCAGACCGGACTTCCCTCTGCACGCCCGTTCCAGTTCCTGCGAAGGATGCCACTCCTTGTCAAACTTGCGACCGCCCTGGAAGAACCACCTAGGGCTGCTTGCGTTTTCCTCATCAAATGCTTTGCGTCCATTGATCTGACTTGCACCTCGATTTGGTTCACCAGGAGCAAAGTACAGCATGTCCAGAGGCGCCCTCGTTGTCGTTGTCGTGCCACCAAAGTGAATATCCATCCGACGCAAAGATGGCATCTTATCAACAGCGCTGACAAAGGATGTTGCCAAGGGACTAAACGCATCCGGCTCGGGCGTATACCTAAACCATCTTCCCGGAAATTCTCCCGAGCTTTTGGACCATTCAAAGTCGGGTTGGAAATCTGAAGTGTCGGAGTCATCTGAGTCGAAAGCAGCAATCTCCTCGTCGTGTTCAAGGCCGTACCCACTATCATCTGCCAGGGCTTTGCTTGGGTCGCCGGTAAGGAGGTAGTGGCCATCAGGTGTTGTTGCTGAACAATCGACGTAGAGATACTCCAATGAGGGACAATGAATTTCTGGTAGAGTGGGTTGAGAACCGAAGGCTGCCGGTGATAAGATCCAAAGTTTCTCCAAGTGCAGTCGCCGAAGACTTGGAACTTGACACAAACGGCGAACGCCTAGGCTCAAAGTATCCGCTTCTTCATCGTCGCCCATCAATGTTTCAAGTTGGAAAGCCTCGTCCATTGGATCTTTATCGTCGAGATTGATCCTGAATTCAACCAAGCTTGAGAACGATGTGTTGAGTAGTGCGTTGCCGAGGGCAGATCTGATCTCCCTGCGAGCATCTATCAATCGACGTGTCGGTAGCCTAAAGGTCCACTCCATCTTTCTCGCCGAGACAAGTGCGCTTGATATAGCTGCAATTGCATCAGGGTGAAAGTTACGTCCGCCAGGTCCGCCATCGAACTCGAACTCGAACACACACGGCACCTGCGGTAGCTTTGCCAGCCCCAAATCGGATGGTGGTAAGAGGCTATGATCGAAACGCAGGTAGCGGAAATGGTCTCGTACTTGCCATATAGGCGCAGTTCGGTGGTTGTGAGTGTTCTTCAGTTCGCCGTCTTCCTCCATCTCTTCCACAAGCCTGTCTGTTGGTGACTCCACCGCTATCTTCAGGTTAATACCAGGGCCGTACCGGCGACGTTCCCATTTAGCCAGCCGACCGAGAAAGGTCGCAACAGCTCTGGTGAATACAGCATCATTTTCCAATGCTTCTTTTCTGCTCTGAATCTTTTTGATTCGTTTCTCACCAATCGTTGGCAAGACAATATGGAAGTCAATATGCTGAACGTAGGCTCTTTGCGGCGGGTCTAGAAAGGCCTGGTTGAAGCGGGCGAGTCCCTCGGCGGTGCTCGGCACCTGTACCCGTACCGACGGCCCGAAATCGTCGATTACAAATTGATCAAATTCGGCCTCTATGTCCATTATGAGATGTGTATGTTGTTGGTTGGATGATTGAAGAAGCCGTTGTCCGAACGGTCTAGGAATTCCGTATTTCTCGCTCCCGTAAGAGTGGGGAGTTGCGTGATGTCTGCAGTCGTACCACCACCAACCGTATTCAGAGCATGCCCGGTCAAACGATCAAGCGAGATGACGTTCAATCCTTAATTCAACCCTCCAGAGTCTACGTTCGTGCATGATTTCCAATTGAAAATGACCAGCTCATCGTGAGGCGAGTTCTGAGTGAAAATGGTTAGTTGATAAAATGAAACCCTTCAGCGCCATGCTACATCCACTTGCATCCCACATTTCCTTCAGACTATTCTTGTCCTCAATACTTGGACAAGAGGAAGATAGACGCATGAGAAGTTCAAGATCAAACCCCTTTCATATGTGGACCGCCGAAATGATTCTACTGAAAAATCACTGTTCCGTCAGAAACACATCGTCAACTTGTAGTGTCCGGAAACTGGCCGGTTGGACAGCGGCGGGAAGAGATAACCAACTATCTCTTCCATGACGAGATTAGTGTTATCAATTCGTTTAATTATTTTTCTCGGGTCTTCTGCTAAAGTCTAAAAGGTATCGATATGGCATTCAACTACCGGCTTGTCAAATGCCGGCAGTGATCCATGTTGAAAAGACCACTCCGGGTTTCCCACCCATCGGCCAACCGGCCCGGAACCGTCCGGCATGTCGACCGGTCTTTACAGGCGGGTGCCCTAGCGTTATCTGCCGATGGTGGGATTTCAAGCTAAGCCGAGAAAAGCCATTATCGCTATCGCTATTTGTTTGGGTTTAGCGGCATGTAATTACGAATAGCAGTACAACCCAGCACAAGGTCCGGTCGAAACGTCGAAATCGGTACATCACCAGCCAGGGGCGATCCCCCGCCATCTCCGGGGCCCCACAAGATCCCCTCTCTGGAGTGACAATTGTTGTAAAGACGGAGATCCGAAATGCTGGCTCATCAGAACGACGCGCACGCCGAAGCCGGACATGCAGATACTGTCGCGCCGGTCATTCCCGGAGTCGGGGGGCTTATAAGTCACGAAGATGAGTAGCGGCGGTCACTTGTAGTCCTTTGGTAGAAGTGTGCAGTTCTCGTCCCAGCTGAAGAAGACTTTGCAAAGTTATTCAAGATGCGATTTTCAGCGAGGAGTCTCGTTGCCGTTGGCATGCTCAGTGCCTTGGGCCTTCAGCAGCAGGCCGCTGCAGTCGAGTTATCAAGCTTCACCAAATCCTTGTTTACCGAGTCCATGGACTTTCTTGACAAGATTTATGACCCCGCAGCCGGTTATCTGTATTTCTTTTACTATCCCCTTGCGGCAGGCAAGCACGAGACACGGTCTTCGGTCTGGTATGCTTCTGGTCTTCTGCAACGCAACGTTGGCGACGATGTTGAGCAGGCCACCAAGATCATCAAGAACGTAATCAGGGATCAGAAGAAGATTCCCGAGGAACAATGGTGAGTGTTTGGTGATAGCCTGAGTCTCAAGAGTACATGTAGATTTCACTTACACTAATCGGCTGTTCAGGTACGGAGACTACACCGTTTATCCAGAGGAGCCAACTGTAGGCACAGCGGCATATCCTAAGAACGTAAGTGGCTCTCTTGATCGCCCTTCTTTCAAACTTCTGGAACTGTGCTGACTTTTCTCCTCAAAGATCTACAACTCTTGGGATCCCAATTGGCGTGGGTTCATAGGGACAACTCTTATCGTTATTTACGAAGAGTTTAGACATCTTCTATCTAGCGATGTCCAAGACTTGATTCTCGAGAGCATGTACAACAACACCATTGGAGACAGCTACCGTGTTGGTGGAGTTGACGACGACAATCTCTACCCTTCTTACAGCAACCCAGCCATCATGCGCGCCATTGCTACCGGATGGACGGGTCGCACCCTCAATGAGTCCAACATGACAGCTGCCGGCGAGTTGTACGCCAAAGAAATCTTGGACTTGTTCGACCGAAACAACACCCTCTCCGAGTTCAACAGCCCAACATATGCCGGCGTCAGCATCTACTCACTTACCCTGTGGGCAAAGTACATGCCTTCTGACTCCGTGATGGGCCAGAACGGTGCTCGCATGATCAAAGCCATTTGGGAGTCAATCGGTTCCATGTACAACGCCAACCTCCGCAACGTCGCCGGGCCATGGGACAGGACTTATGGTTTCGACATGAACCAATACGTCGCCATCATCAATATCTACATCTGGTCTCTCGTCGGCAAAGACAAGGCGCCCGGAATCTCACAGACATGGAGCATGACGCACGCTGACGACTTTGAATACGCGCCACTCATTTCCGTGTTAGCACCCTTCCACGATGCGCTCGTACCATCAGATGTTGTGGAGAAGCTCACTGCCTTTCCTGGTGAACACATCTACGAGACAGCCGCATTTTCGCCCCCACACGATTCCGTTCCTCGGAATATCACGACCTGGCTGTCTGCTAATCTCACCATCGGAGCCGAGTCTTATGACGAGGATACCCTCGGTGGGCCTCGCGAGGATCCTTCCCAATGGTCCACGGCTGTCGTGCAGTGGGCTAGGAACGACGGAAGCGTCGGATATGCCGTCCTCCATGGCACTGAAGAGGCTTTAGATGTGGACGTCAGTCCTGGACATCTCAGCCTATCCTACCCTCGTGGCAACTCCACCAGCATTTTCACTTTCCTTGTGAGCTCCAATCCCCTCGGTGGAAAGAGAGACATCTCCGGGTTCGACGACGTTGAAGGAATCCAAGTCAACGTCAGCGGCACAGTCAACCCACAACCAGAAATTGGGTTCTGTGGTCTTGTTGGCGGTACCTGTTCAATTATCCAGTGAGTTTAAGGAGTTCTCGAGAGTCCTGCAGTGGTTCTGACATAAAACAGTGGCTTCGAGTTCTGGAACATTACTTTCGTCATGCCTAGCAACTCAAGTGCAACTCCCTCGATTACACTCGACATCAAGAGTGCGAGCGAATGAGGGGCCCAAAGCTCAAGCTGTAAGCACGGTTGGCATCATGGGACCACATGAGACCGGGTTTGATGACACATCTCGGGCGCTGAATTCCACCAAATCTTTTTATCATTCGAAGATGTGCACTATCAGAATACAATAGTTGCCCAAGTTGTTGCTCTGGTTGCTTCTTGGATTAGTGAAATCTTCACCAAAAGACCCAGCCTTCTCTTCTGGTTCCAAGGTTATTAAAGACCCACCGTAAGCCAGCTTGCAACCTGCAAAGACTACAGAGGTTGTCAAGTGAGCCTAGTGAAACCACTTTTATGTTACTGTGGTAGTAATTATCACAAGCGTAGCCGCGTATTACTCTTCGTTTGTCCTGTCGTATGTAATCAATGTGAAGCTTTTGGCGGGTCCCGATGGTAAACCCCCAGTTAACTCCCAAATAAGCCAACAACTCCGCCAGGTAAGCAATTAATTGCTATTGCCAAGCTGCTTTACCGCCCGACAATTGTACATCATTACTCATAGCACCCACCATCAAGCTGTTGGGAGCAGGACTCCACCATCAAAGTGGAAGGTCAATATTCTGCTCGCAACCCACTTGTTCTCCATGATATCCAATCCCCAGCCTCCTGTCACAAACGCCCCGATTACCCCGCGATGAGCGGCAGAACTGCGTTACGATTCAGGGTTTGGCGCCGAGATGCTTACCTTGAACCGGCCAACAACTCCGAGGCGATGTCACATTCGCCCCGTCCAGAAGCCGGTCAGCGCAACTCCCCAGCTGCCACGGGACTCAACGACAGGTTGGTGGCTTGGTATGCGCCCCCTGGTTCCGAGATTTACTGCGAACTGCCGGGCCTATCAGATTGCATCATGGCGCCATGGGGTCACTAGCAAAGTCGCGATGATCACTTCCAACTCCAGGGCTCACCAACGGCTGTCGTCCGCGCAGGCCGTGAGCGCCGCTGCCTCCTCGACGATTCCTCCAAGACACCCAAGAGCTTTTGAGACAACTCAATAGCAGCTGCACAAACGGAGACCGGTGCGGGCCGAGGTGCTGTAGTGGGCTAGTCGACCTGCAGGATAATTGGGCAAACTTGCTTCAGCCGTCCCAGCTTCCTCTTCGACGACCGACGTTCCTGGTCTCGCACACCTCTGACTGGTCAATGGGACCGGAAGACAGGCGTCAGGATTCAGGAAGCCATGCACTGGCAGACATGGGGCCCGGGCCAAGCTTTTGAGTCGAACTGCTGAACGGTTGGTGGGCTGCGACGCATAGCCAAGTGGAGGAGGAATCGAAGCAAACACAAGGACGGCCAAGGCTTGGCCTAGCAACTCTTCCGGCGCGGGACGCGCGCACACCTCGATCATGAAGTGATGCAAAGCTCTGCATAGTCGCGGGAGATGGAGCTGAGAGCATATAAGGTAGCTCTTGATCCCCGGCATCCAGCTTCACGAGAGATCGTCAGAGCTCCCAGACTCCCAACCCCTCCGACAAGTCCTATCTCCGGCTTCTCAAAAAGCAACCAGACGTCAAGCAATTGTCGTCGCCCCGAACCGTCGCAATGAAGGCCAGCCTGCTCCTCCTCGCGGCCTCCACAGCCCTCGCTGCCCCTCTTGAGAGCGTCCCCGTCCCTCGCAGCGAGATCGGGTCTTTCCCCATCGCCGAGCTCGAGGCCTACTACAACGCCGCCTACTCCGTCAAGCCCGAGGAGACCGCCGCTCTCAACCCTGCCATCTCCAAGCGCCAGTATAACGGTGACACCTTCAACCAGCTCACCGATGGCACGGCCTGCCGCAAGGTCACCTTGATTTGGGCCCGTGGCACCACGCAGTCCGGCAACGTCGGTGAGGCAGGCTCCGAGGGGCCCGTCTTCTTCAACGCCCTTGCCGGTCTTGTTGGCACCTCCAACCTGGCCGTCCAGGGTGTCGACTACGCCGCGAACATCCTCGGCTTCCTCCTTGGTGGCGACCCAGCTGGCAGCACCACCATGGCCAACTTGGTTGCTCGCGTGAGTAGAATCTTCCATACCCAGTGCTTCGTTTAAACTAATAAATTCTTTCCAGGCTATTAGCCAGTGCCCCAGCACCAAAATTGTTCTCTCCGGCTACAGCCAGGGTGGCCAGCTCGTTCACAACGCTGCCTCCAAGCTCACCGCGGCCCAGACAGCCCTTATCTCGGCCGGTACGTCTACAAATATTTGGTATCTGGGAATGCCTGAGACTTGCTTGCTGACAGTCTGTAGTTCTCATATTTGGCGATCCGTTCGATGGCCAGCCCGTTGGCAGCATCCCTGCCTCCAAGGTCAAGGTTATCTGCCACGACGGCGACAACATCTGCGATGGCGGTATCATCATTACCGCCGACCACAGAAACTACGAGCAGGATGCTCCGGCTGCGGCCGCCTTCGTCGCTGGTCTGGTTGCGTAAGGGATTGCACGTGAAGGATGGGATTCTAGAAAGGGCGGAGGGAACTACACTTCTTAGTTCAGGATGATTTGGGTGTCTGCCTAATCTAATCGCATACATGCAGAGATAATGCAACCCAATCTGTCTCCAAAACTGCCAGTCGCTAGAGTTTCGTCTGATCAAGTTGCTGAGAATGACTGGTCGTGTCTTGAAGGTGCAAGCCCGACTTTTCGCTGCTGGATCCATCCGCTGAAATTGTCTGCGGCAACCAGGGTTGAATGTACTGCGGCGGCGTATCACCTCCTTCAACGCAACTCCGCGTCGTACAAATAGTCACTTGATTACCACGCGATGACTGTTACTGAAGACACTTGCTGCTCGTACCTTATCCAGGCTACTTTCTACCGGCTTTGCGTTCTAAGTATTTTCCTGCTTTGGAGTAACATGCTTCACGTTGACCTCTCTCCCCGTTCATCTTTCATGAAAAGATTTAGAAATTCAAGTTTAATGCACATTTTCACCCCTCTATAATTTTCACACAAGATTTTCTCGTTGAATATCTAAGATATCTCTGAGAGACGTAGCTGGCGAAAACGGTAGAAGCACCAAAGACGTTATTTCTACAGACAGTTCAACATGCGCCTCTCAAATATGGCAGCAGCAACCTGTACTGAGGTACTCAAGACTTGAGAACCAGAAGTAGGAGATGCCCGCCCACGAAAGGTTGCAAATTTATGCGAGGCCAGCGCTTAGGTGAGGTTGGATGTCGTGGCCGGGGTTCATACGTGGCCAATTATTTCGGCGCAGCTCGTTCTATTCTTAGAGCAAACGGGCCTTTCAATCTATCGCTAATACTCTCTTGGTAATTCCTCATACAGCGTGGGTAGTTGCATACAGTTATCTATTTCCTCGGCGACCTTGATATCTTTGTATTCGTGCGGCCACCAGCCTCGTAGTCCATACATCATTGTGGTTCTCAAATACTGCAAGATTCCTTGAGGCGGGGAGTCGCAGCACACTCTTCATCTCCTGTGTGTTTCGAAGAGATGGTCAGGATGCAGAAAACCCCAAAAACACAGCTATGCAATCTCGGAGTTGCTGGATCAACGCACCGGATAAAGCTATGTGGGTACAGATACAGACGTGCACCTTACTGCTATGATGGTATGACGAGAAATGTCAAACTCAGGCGAATTCCGTTCATGCTTCTCCGTGTAAGAGCCTGGCCCAACCTGCATGCAGCTTTACGCCGCAGTCTGCCAAGATGCCGACCGCCTTACTATCAGCTTTGTTTTTCAACTTGAGCCTGTATACTTGATCATGACTTTGTGTTTCACGGAAGACTCAAGCTACCCGTTATGCTGGTAACACAATGGGCTAGCCCAGCCGCGGCGACAGGCCGGCCAAGTCTGTCTCGCCCAACCAATATCTTTGCGTGCTTAAACACGCACATGTAACCCAACTTCATCCTGGCAACCTTACCTCCGAATCCTAGACGCCTCTGTTTTATTTTAAGAAGTACGGCTATCTTTGTAGAGAGTTGAGGTCTTCTTAGCTGGGAAGGAATTCTTATTTGGCCATATTTGTGCGCCCCTCCCACTTTGTGCTGTCAACAACCGTCCCCCAGTTCTCTTTTGCTAACCATTGTTCTCCGGTCATCGACCTCTTTGTTCAACGTCCCTCCTAGATTCTTCTATCGAGATATGCGCGTGGGAAACTATCTGGCGGTCATTTTATTATGGATAACACGCGTGAGGAGCCAAACGCGGCGCCTCTTCTGGACGACTGACACTGATTGGCCCAATTGGGTGGCCAATCCAGGTTTTGGACCCGATGGACCGTGGCAAGCGGTAGGACTATCTGAAAAGACAGGAACTAATGATGACAATAACATTGCCCACATCGTCTGGCCGACAGGTGGGACCAAGAGTATGTTGATGTCCATAGCATATGGCGGGGCCTACGACGGCAATACAGCCGCAGAAAGCACTCTCGTGGCAAACTCCAGCGCAGCGGAACTAATGGGACCCTAGCCTATCGGACTTGAGGAACGGACGCGCAGCCAGGTATATCACCACCGCGTGACCCTGCTCTCACGCTCAGGCGCCGGAACCGGTGGTCTCTGGGCTGGCATAACCATCGAAATCTGGGTTCCCAACCTGTACCCGGCGGCGTACTTTAACGGATCGATTAGAACCGCAGTCGTCAGAGTTCTTGGCTTGGGCGAAGATGTAAGCAAAGATCACTACGACTCTGGCGACATCCCCAGCGTCACCTCCCAACTATGGTCAGAACAGTGGATTGACAATGAATAGTGGTTTATGCACATGGGTAGCGTTGCGTTGGGTCAGCCAGGCTCGTTGACGTTGGGAGGCTATGAAGAGAACCGCATTTTGGGACAAGCAGCGGCGTTCTTTATAGATACCGAGCTCCCCCGAGTCTTCCTTGTTGACGTCCTTCTCGACTTTGAAACTGAAGAGTCACCGTACAACACGACTGTCGGAAGCGTATGGCAAAATGTCAATCTTCCCGATACCGCCCGGAGTGTGGTTAAGCAGTTTGGCGGCGCTTCTGGTTCTGCTATGGTCCTCCCGAACGCGGCGGTCTCTTACTTGTACCTCCCACCCGAAGTATGCGAGGCTGCGGCGTCCCATCTCCCCGTCCGCCGGGTGTCGGAAATCGGCTTGTACGTGTGGGATTTCCAAGGAGATCCGATCGGAACCGCCCGCTTTGTCAATTCTCCGGCCTACATGGCCTTTGTCTTTTCCGACGAAGTGTCAAGGAACCTCACCATCAAGATCCCCTTCAAGTTACTGAATCTCACCATAGACCGCATACCCTCGAGAGAGAGCGCCGTGAACTGGGAACTGGATTCGTACTGGCCCTGCAAGCCGTGGACCGCAGCAGACCTTGACGCTTCGTTGTCGCAGGGCCGGTACCAATTGGGTCGAGCTTTTCTGCAAGGTACCTTTACCGGATTCAACTACTACCGGAGATGGTTTTACATGGCACAAGCGCCAGGGCCAGGAATGGCACAACGAATCATTGTCAAGGACGACGTCTGGGACTCACGGTCGAGATCTGCGGATACTTTTGCCGATACCTGGAGGGCATCTTGGACGGAAGTCCAGTTAGAGACTGAAAGGCCATCGGGCATACCCCTCGACGCCATCGGCTTCAATTCCACTTCCACCGGCAGATTAGGAACGGGTGCAATCGCTGGTATTGCGGTCGGGGCGGGATGTAGTCTGGTTGCGACGGTGGCCGCGCTGTGGTTCTTTTGCTGGCGGGCTCGGAGGAAGAGGGATGACGACGACGTAGGTGGCGATCGCGGTCGCGGCGTCCACGATGTATATGTCTTCACCGGAGGCAAGGCGGAAATAGACGGAGAGGGAATGCCAATGTCAGGACTGGCGCATCGTGGCCCGAAGTCCGCGTTGGGCGGGCAAGAGCCTCAGGAGCTGCCGAAGCCCTTCACCTCGCTGATGAACGGCAGCCCCGGCCCAATTCGCATGGTTTTTGAACTACCGGGTGCCGACATGGTTTCTCATGAGAAGGGAGGCGGAGATAAGAGGCCCATATCAGTGTAAAGTAGATGGACATCGCAGAGTGCAGGAAAACAGACCAACTTTTATTTATCAATCCCTTTTAGAAAGCCCCGTACCCTTTGTCTAGTTGAAAACAACCGTCTTCGTCTTGTTGAGGAACACACGTCCCTCGGCAGTCCACTTGACCGCGGCAGCCAGAACCTGGCTCTCAATGTTGGATCCCTCCTCGACCAGATCCTTGGGGCTCATGCAGTGGTCAACTCTGGCGATGCGCTGCTCAATAATCGGGCCCTCGTCCAGGTCAGCCGTGACAAAGTGAGCCGTCGCGCCAATGATCTTGACGCCGCGCTCGTAGGCCTGGTGGTAGGGCTTGGCGCCCTTGAAAGACGGCAAGAAGGAGTGGTGGATGTTGATAATCTTGCCAGACATGGCTGCGCACAGCTTGGGGGAGAGAACCTGCATGTAGCGGGCCAGGACGATGAGCTCAATGTCGTTCTCCTTGACCAGGCGCAGGATGGCCTCCTCCTGCTCGGCCTTGGTGTCCTTGTTGACGGGCAGGTGGTGGAAGTCGATGTTGTAGTTGCCGGCCAGCCCCTGGTACTCGTTGTGGTTGGAGACGATGAGGGGGATGTCAATGGGCAGCTGGCCCGACTTTGCGCGGAAGAGGAGGTCGTTGAGGCAGTGTCCGATCTTGGAGACCATGATCAGGGTGCGCAGCTTCCGGGCGACGGGCCGGATGCGGTACCAGTCCAGCTGGAGATCGGCGGCGAGGGCGTCGAACGGGCCCTTGAGGTGCTCCGTCGACTCGGTCTCGGTCGGCCCAAAGTGCACGCGCATGAAAAACTTTTCCGAGACGGGGTCGGAGAACTGCTGGAGGTCCAGGATGTTGAGCTTCTCGGCCGCAAACACCCCCGTCACGGCGTGGACGATGCCGGACTTGTCCGGGCACGAGAGCGTCAGGATATGGTCGTGAGAGGCGGGAGCCATGTTGAATGCTGGTTTGGGGGTTCGGTTGATTGGGTTGAAAAGGGGCGTTTGGTCGAGCTGAAGGGATGTTGACTCTTTCACCGTGCTCTATGAAAATCTCATTAGTCGCCTCTAGTTTTCTCGCTCCTGAAAAGCGATGAGTCAAACACTAAAAACAGGCGAGGGGCGCACAGTTCCGTCTCCAGGGTCCCCTCCGACCTCGGGGATGTCTCGGAGACCCGCAGCTAGCTCAGTTCATGACATTAGAGATGTTTTCAATCATCACCCGTGAGGGCTTTGAGTGAGGAAATCAGCAAAATGATGATGTCGTGTATGAGTCTCATTCAAGTAAGAACCTTGGGGAGTGACAGGTGAGAAGAGGTGGGATGGGCCGCCAGTAAGACAAGAAACTGCACGTCTCATTCGACTCAAACATGCGACTGAACCTAAGTGACTAGGCACATCCTTCAAATGCCCCTCCTTAGCGTCGCACTGTCCAGAGAGTCCCGACAACATCACAGCGAGGTCACCAAAATTCGATTGTTCATCGGAGCAATCCAACCTAGGTAGCAACAAGCACAGAGGCATTATCGCCGTCAATATGTCCTTGATATCCCCTACCACCAGCGTCAAAGTAACACGTATCGGCGTCAGAGTCGTCTTCCCGGCGATGCCTGCAGCCTCGACTTCCCCGTCGAACCACGGTGCTCGTCATCACTCGACCCCGGCTTCCCCAAGATGGTAGCATGGCGAGATAATGCACCTCGGGTATACTTAGAATCATCGCACGCATCTTCGCTCATCCTGTTGGTCTTCAAATTCGAAGACACAATGAGATACAAGCGGTAACGGGCAGCAATGACTTCGTCCTCTTGAGTTTCAGCCGGCCAACCGACATTGGCCTAGCAGGCACTGGACCATTGACACATGTTCCTCCTGTGAAGCAAGACAGTGCTACAACTGAATTGGCCTGGCGATATTCTGAGAAGATGTGCCTATGGATGACCACGGTACTGAACACGATGCTGGAATACTGTCTGCCTCACTCAGCCTTGGCTCTCCATCGCGCAGCGGAAGGATCTCCCATGCTCATCTAGGAGACAAGGCAGCGCACAGCGGCACAACAGAGCTCAGCATTGCTCAATGTAAATTCCTGCCTCAGTCTGCCTTCCCACCCACTTGATACCAGTTTCTCAGGGCATGCTCATGAAAGTGTAGAAGCTCATCTGAAATCCATCTTGATCTCTTATGAGTTCCTCCTCTTACGAGAAAGCCATTGTTACATCAATATCGGTCTACTATCTCATGACTACACGTGTTCTTGGCATTTGGATATGAGCGCAATGCCAAATCTCATGAGACTGCCGTATTTTGTCGCAAAGGGCCATAGCAGGGGGTCATGAATATGATGTTTGCTACCGCAGGTGTATGGATGGCTGTGGCCTGTTCAGGCACATGATGGCACTTTTGCCATGTCACTTCACCTGTGACTCATGAACAGTTGCTGGTGTTCCGCCACAGGCCGCCCACTTCTTCGTTGGTGCCTGACCTAGCCAGACATCTTTGCATGAATTGATAGGGTATACTCTGTCCAATATACGTCACCAGAAAGGAGGGCCTAATTTTCAAACTTATCAGGCATTCATAGCCCAGCGAGTACTTTCGACCATCACAAGAAGAGTGAGCCGCCTGCCATGTGTTCGACTATCTGGGTTGAGTGCTTTATCTTCTGTCATATCATATTTCAAGTCACGTCCTTCCTTGCTCGTGGTTCCTCAATTCAGCGGTGTAAGTCTTCAGCGACAACATAGCGGTGTGTCACGTGTCTTATTCAATAGGTAGACAAGCACGCGAAGCACTCGGACAGTTTGGCTGTGCCTGAAGCCATCTGTTTCAAAAAAAAATCATTGTTGAATGTTTATTTTAGTATACATGTACTCTTTGAACCAGCTCAAGCCTTATTCAAACATAACTAGGCGCTATGCAATTTGAGGCGTTTCAATCCTGGCTGGTAGGATGCGCGGTTCTCCGGGTATTGAACCCTCATTAGGGAACAGGGTTCATTCAATATAGTGCAATTCCTTTGTTTCCGCTCTTCAGCCAACATGCCAGTCCTCGGCCTTCAGCCTCGCCGTCATGTTTGATCAGGCGTCAACTGAAGTCAGCTTACGCAGCGCGACTTGTACGAGGGGGAGCGTTCAAGATTACTTGGCGCAGGCAGACAAGGCTGAGGATTGTCAATGTGGAACCAACCGCGGCGGCTATTCCCGGACAGCACCCACATGATGCCTTCGGTGTGTGCAGGCATCCTCGTCATCCGCACCGTTGTGCGTTACGGACGCATCTGCGCGCGCGTGGCACCAATACTGTTCAAATAGCATGTTTTGAGTTGGAAAGGGTCTTTTTGCGCCATTCCTCTTGGATTGCCCGACCTTTTTACAATATCGGAACAGCCAGCTTGGTCAATTCTTTCAGTCTGTTCAGCAAACCACAAAGATCGTCCGATGGCAGGTCATGTTTCGGTCAACCAAGTATGAACATCGTATTTGAATGACCAGAACTGCCAAAGAATGTGCCGTTTTCTGCGCAAAATCCTGTTCAAGTCTTGTTCTTCGTGACAGATCAACGCTTCAAGAAACAGCTATCAAAGACTTCACTGGGGCTGAAATTCATGAATATCTCGCATTCAGGTCCTCGCCCAAGGACCGACACGTCGCTGGATGAAAATTTCACCGCGGCAAAACGTCTAACATGTTCCAAAGAGCCAAAGCCAACATAATTGCCCAGTGAAGTGGCTTCTGGCTTGTGGTCCTGTTTATGAGTCGAACAGAGTCGGCGTCAATGATGCTCGGCACAAGAATCCCTGTAGTAATTTACAAGGCAACGCACATAAAGCTTGGCATCTGGGTTAAGTTCATGATATTTTGAACAGGCCTCAGCGCAAACTCTGCTTCAACTTCAAACGAGGCACTCCTGCATTTCAAAGAAGCCCCGTTCGAAGTTGTTCAAATCCACCATGCAGGCTAAGAGTCACCTCGTCACTCTGAGCGCGCAGCGTCGCCATGGCTGTCTTGCAATGTCAGGCTACGTTAGTCCAGTGCACAGGTGTGCACAAAGCTACTCAAGGCTGCATCCACTGTCTCACTACTGCGCATTCTATTCTTCACATATAATGGGCCCCAATGTCTCTCTCTCTCGTCTCTCACACTCCTATCTAGCTCCTCCACGCGCATTCAGATCCCGCCTCATCACCATCATCGCCATCTAAGAAAATGAAGCTCTTGGATGTCCGCACCCGAATACTGGAGACTTTCGATTTCCCCCCACCAAAGAAGTACGCCATCTTTTCTCATGTGTACTCGACTCCTGGCCACGATGAATGGGATGCGTATGACTCGGCCGACGTGCGAGATCTAAGCCGCGAAACAATCATCAACAAAGCCTGTCTTCTTACAGAACAGAATGGAGTGAGCCATATTTGGATCGACTCGCTATGCATCGCCAAGGAATCACCCGTCGAGGTCGCTACGACCATCAATCACCTCCACAAATACGTTCAATCAGCATCTCTCTGCTTGGTCTACCTGTTCGACCTACTTTGCGAGCCGCCCTCATTTGGCGGAAAGACGTTGAAACATGCCGAAGAGGCGTGGAAACAGACCGAGGAGAGGTGGAAACGATCCCTGTTCTGGTCTCGGTCCTGGACCCTCCAAGAGATGCTATTCGCCAGGAAAATCTACTTTTACGACTCAAAGTGGCACCTTCAAGGAGAATCCTCTTCGCCCGAATTCTTGAGCAGGCTATTGCGGATCACAGGCATTGAAACAAGTGTTCTGGGCAACCCGCGTCTCCTGCAATGTCTTTCCATCGCAAAGAAGATGTCGTGGGCGGTAGGGAAGAAAGATTTCTACGCCGAGGATTCATCCTACGCTCTTTTTGGCGTCTTTGGCGTCTCCATCCCCATCGTGTATGGCGAGGGTAAAGCGTCAGCTTTCCGGCGTCTTCAGCAGGAGATATTGAGGACGACCAGCGATTTGTCCTTGTTTGCCTGGACCAGCGTTGACGACAAGCTACCACGAGGCCTGTTCGCCATTTCGGTCGAAGAATTCAAGTGGTTTGGGCAAACAGAATTTGGGCGTTCCCCTTTCACGATGGACGCATCTGCAAGGTTAACCCGCGAGGACGCCTTTATAAAAGGCAGGTGTTTTGAGCTCGATGATGTCACCTTTCTCGACCTTGGAATGAGCCCATGGACAATGGGCACCCAATTTTCTGCCAACAGATGCGGCATTTTGATCCGCCGAGGAGATTCTGGACGTTATCATCGTGTATCATCATCCGTGATCCACATGTCACCGCCACACGAGGCCTGCAAAATCGAAGAGGTCACCATTGATCTAGGTGACAAGAACGGCGTCGTCACGAGCTTGACGCCTCAACAAAAGGCGTTGAATCTCAATGTACGACTGCCAACGAGAAACACGAGCACGACACTGTGCTGGTCTGCCCAACGTCAACCATGTACTGCTTATAGACTTCCACAGTTACGCGCCCCTGTCAATGTTTTCCTGGCAGGAGATGGACACTCTGGCCCGGTGATTGTAGGGAAGTCTTGGATAGGACCGTGTCATCACGACGGTCCATCCCAGGAGGAGGAGGAGGCAGGTCGAACATCGATTAGAGGAAACGATCGCGACACTCCACCATCTTCTCCTAATCAAGACGGTACCATCGCGATGAGGTCTCCTCGGATCTCGGAATCTTCCAACGACAGCGACACTGAGCGCGGAAGCAATCCCGCCAAGGACGCTATGGCGACCTTGGTCGAGCCGTCATCGCCCAGCCACACAACTGACGCAGACACCGTTATTCGTGCCAGGAATCTAGCTACGAAGATTCTCCAAGAGTTTCGGACAAGTCGGCAAATCCTTGCTCACGAGACGAAAGAGCAGGAACAGCGTGACAAAACGAACCGAACGCATCCTGCTTCCCGGCGACGTGGCACGAACGCGCCACAGCGAAGACTCAGACTGGCTCGATCGACAGAACTCGCGTGTCCCTTCTTCGTCCACAGCCCTTGGAAGCATCTCGACTGTCTGCGGAGCGGTGCGTTCAGCACAATGTCAGACGTCCGAGAACATCTCTGGAGGTCACACCGCATGCCCTACC